TGTTTCGAACATCAACCGATCCAAAGTCTAATGGTAGGAGTCTCTTATGTATTACCTGCGAGACAAAATCAAATGGATGTCTTATCATTATTTGCTCACTTGCTTTCACATTAAGAAATCCCTTTGGACAAGCGCTTGGTTCCGGTCTCTCGACTTGATTATCAAAATATTATCCTATGGATGAGAATATATGTGTGTGTGTGTGTGTGTGTGTAGCTATACGTCAATGTGGTTGTTATCGATAAAAGCGGAAAGCGGATTTTTCCCCGCGAGCAAAAGAATTGAAATGATTTTGAATCGCCAGACTACACAGACAATCTGAGTTTCTGTATGATGGTACGCATCGATTGTGGTTTTTCTCCATCTTCATATCTGCGACAACAATGTTGACGAACGGAAAAGAACGATTAACGGCTATTGAGAAAGGATACAGTAGACAACGACGACAGCGAAGATGATGATGACGATGAGAAAAAGAAGATCAAGGTCTTCAAAGAGTAGTTGTCGATTAGACATGCGAATTTTATAGAAATTCAAGCGAAACGATCAAGTCGATCTTTACCTTTTCATTGTTCAGCATTATCGGTGAGAGTTATCTGCCGATTTCATCGTAAATATCGTTTTGTAAGATGATGCTGATAATAATAATAATAATATTACTGCTGTTCTCGAATGACGCTTGTATAGTTATCTGACGATGATCTAAAATGACAATAACGGCGAACTTAAAAATGAGAATTAGATCAAAAGAAACAGAAATGACTGAAACTTGATCCTGATTGAACAGACTGTTTTATCCTATCAAGACAAACAAATCAATGAATTTCTGACAAATAATAACTCAAATTCAAAATGATTGTTGCCGTATGTAATAGTAAATTGATGGAACAAGTCAAAGCTCGTCGCTTGGTTAATAAGATCATTGAGAATCTGAAAAAATCTTTCTCAATTCAGTGAATTTTTCCATGATGTAACAATCTATCTCTCCTCTTCTCTCTGTTTCCCTTGTGTGCATTCTTCTATAATAATAAAGTACAGGATTAATGGACAATGATAATAGAAAAGTAGTAAGTTAGATTTCAAGCCTATATTGTTCAACCTAATAATTTAACTATCAGAAATATTTTTCCGCTGAAGATGGCAAAAGGTCACACGAGTAGTAAAAAGTAGAAAAAGAGAAAGACGAGACATAAGGCCGACGTTGATCTTCTCGGTTGTTTCGATGAACATGAATAACAACTAAAAATCGAACATTTTCTCTTTTTTTCACTCGCACAAGTGGTTTATCTATAAATTGCTGATGCACGCACAAAAAAAAACAGATCGATTTATATATATATATGTTTTTAAAGGCTGTTGTGATTGCTACATACACAGACACACTCTCTCATCTTCCTGTAGTTGAATGCACCCTGAACGAGAGATAGAAATTGTTGTTCTAGTAGACGAAAAAGAAAAGTAATCCTATTCTTTCTTTCCATAAAGATTCCTCGTTTTTTCCTCTTCTTTCTCGATCTCTAGGAAAAAAGTAAAACAGGAAGAGAGCGTTCCGTTGTCATCTCTCTACATGTCATTTGAATTAGATACTTGCAGTTTGCGTGATGTCATTGTGATTGTATATGTGAGAAAAACCTTTGCTATGCATAGCATCATCGAAGCAAGTGCTCGATCATCGCACCAACAAGAAAGAGGGAGGAAGACACGCGCATTGGTGCTCGAACAGATCCGCCTCTTGTTAAGGAACGAGAGACAGAGAGAAGAGAAAGAAGAACGGCAACAGATAACAACTGTGTGAGCGTTTCATGTTGATTGTATTATTCGCACCATCAACATCATTGAATCATGGCGGCTCGCCAAGAACAGTAGCAAGAATTTCACATTATTAAATGACGACAACCATCTACAATACATTGTATACAACGAAATCCATCGAGATTTGTTGCTGTCATGCGTGTATATGTTTTTTTATAGATAGAGAGAGAGAGAGAGGAGAAGGAAAACCGCAACAAACAATCATCATCGTTGTCGAGTAACTAAGGAAAAAAAAGGACGAAGAAAACTTATTGAACAGAGTAGAGAAAAGAATCTGGTTTATCTGATTATCCACACATATATATACAGGCAAGCACTGAGATCGAAGTTCTATCTCGGAAACATGATCAAACCTAGCAACGATAGGGTGACAAGAAAGAAAAAACGATATGATCAAATACAACGAAGCGTGAGAAGTTCAAGAGCATCAACTATATGCAATAAGAGGTTATTTTTTAGGATGACTAGAGGAAAAAATGAAATTTCGATGATGACAGTAAGAACACTATTTATACTAAAACGACAATTGAAGAGAAATCAAACTGTCATGCTCTAAACGATTGATGTATGACATTTTCTAAGAACTCCAAACGATAGTGATAAAAGAAAGCAATGGAATAGTACTCAAGATTCCCAGATGGACAACTATGATTATCAAGACAAACGGACGATAAATGTCGAGTTATTTTGACTCAGCATGTTTATACGATATCATTCATCTCTCGATTCAACTTATCAAATCCAGATGTCGCTACACTTGAAAAGATTTTCTCCAACCTCTTTCACCAACGAGACGAGTTATCTCGCAAATGAAGCACAATTTTTGATTGCGACGCTAGCAAATCCAGCGAGGGAGAGAAATTGTATGTGTATGCATGTCATTTTGCGTGACATAGATAAACAAATATTGTTACTATTATATTATCTAATTTAGTTCTAGTATATAGTAACTTAATCAATGTATTGAATCGTTGTCAACGACGAGAACACGAACACTAAATAATCTATCATAGGTACATCATTCCGTGGACGAAACTCATTCGTGACATGTTTCTCCATGGACTCGATGAAGAGAACCCGTAGTTCGAATGGGAAAAGTAAGAGCCTATTCTACAAACCTTAGTTACAATATCAAGGAAAAGTAGTTGTTCATCGTCGATTAAAATTAATAGAGAGAGAGAGAGAGAAAATGTGAATAGGAGAAAATCAAATATTTGTTGGGAACAAATATGAACGCAGATGGAGAGAGAGAGGGGAAGAAAAGAGGATCTTTTTTTTCTACTGATTTATCATGCGCATTTACGAGAACATAGAGAGCATTGATGCCGGTAAGCAAATTGCCATCAAGCGAACATCATTGACCCGCGCCTTATGCAAACGTTTGCTAGAGCAAAAAAAAATTGACAGCTAAAGCATAAGGTAGGCTAGAAATGACGTGCGATCTACTGTCTCTATCTCTTCACTACCAAGATGACAGATAATAACACTTTCTCATACATGCACACATACATCGATTTCATTTACTGGAGGAGTCAACTAGATTTCTTTCTCTTTCTCTTTTTCAATTCGATTTGATTTTAAGTGATATATAATCGATTGGTATAAAGAAAGAAAGAAAGAATTTCCCTTTTGAATAATTTCCCTCTTTTTCTCCTACTTCTTCGTCATCTTATTGCTGGTGATTAGATCTCAATGACAGGAAATGACGAGTTCCGCCTTTGCTTGTGCGTCTCTACTTTCTTGTTAGACACTCACAATCATGCATGCATGCATGCTAGGCAAAAGTCGATTATGAATCACAAATAGGCTCAAGTGATCATCACGATAAGAGCGAGGAAGAGAGAGAGGGGAAGAAATGAGCATGCAAGTTAGCAGAGAACCAACCTGACTGAATAAATGGCAAATATAGAAGATTTGTCTCCTAAACCTAGAACACACACACGGTAATAGGCGTCAATGCAACAATCAGTGTAGAGATTTCTGATTGGCAATACAATGAAACAAGGCTGTAAGTGTGAGAAAGAACAAAAAAAAGCAACAGATAACAAAAGGAGAAGGAGGAGATCGTCAGTAGAAAGATCATGATGATCAGAAATCATCTTCTTCGTTTCTTCTTGCCAAAGTTCATCGCTATACTAACCGTACACAATCATTCACTGTACTACATGGCGCTCATAGAGAAAAAGAAACGGAATGGCAGATAGGGAGATGACAAGGTGTTTTCTTTCAGTCTTTACATATGTACATTCTTGCATTACCGTTTGTTCTGAGGATATGCATATCAAGCACAACAAACACTAATCCAGTCTATGTATATGTATATATAAACATAGAAAAGAAAACTATACTATGACGTGTGAATGGCAGCATCAATATTACTCTTTACTCTCGCTTTCTTTCATCATATAAAATAATCCAGCGATTCGACTCGTATGAGCAAGAGATCACTAGAACGTCGTTTCATTAACGTGATTTTCTTGCCAGCTAGGCGCATATTGAAACATTTATCATGTGGATACACTACTTACTTAATATGCACACAAAGAAGCAAGGGAAAGTGTTCGAGTGAGAGAAAAATAAAAGACTTATTGTCTCCCTCTCGTATTTTTATCATTGTCCCGGTATCTACTTAAAGCGAGCAGCGATCCTTCTTCTTCCTGCTTCTTCTCTTCAAAATGCATTCTCATAACTATTGCTTTGGGCTAATATTTTGTGTCTAACGTGTTAGTATATAGCGCAACTAATCGAAAGGCATTAGTAAAAGACGAGAGAAGGAGAGAGAAGAAGAAGTGTCGTCATTGTGGAGAATAGAGCAGAACAAAATCGAAACGAATCGATTAGACAATCTAAGAAAAAGAAGAAGAGAATCTTTTTGCTTAACGCGCTCTTGTATGTAAATAGAAATCAATAGAAATGATTGTTTCCAAAAAGAAGGAGAGAGGGAGAGAGATAAGCAAGCAACATATTATAAAAAGGCGAGAGAACCAGGACTTAATATACATTCTGTATATTGTCTGCATATTTGATTGGATTGAATTGCTGTTCAAATCGTTTCTTATTCTTTCTAATAGTTTATTTAAACGATCGATACATGAAAGTAATTGATGATAATAATAATACAATGTTCAAACACGCTATAATTCGTAATTCAATGCTGAAAACTAGACAATCATTTTTGACCATCGGTGCTATTCAGGTTCATTGTCATTATTCGTCGTATTGCGTGTTTGCGGATAGATAAACTCTCCCATACATAAATTGAATGATTCACCGTTGAGAAATCTGGCAAAAGAAAAGAAAAACATCGGTTGTTTCTCGAGACAACGCCAACTAATTGAATTTCATACGCCTCATCTTGATTGACAATTGGCATATTAGTGGATTGCCGTGTAAGACGAGATTTAATTCGATCTTCCTTCAATCGTGGCATGACACTACAACTGGGCGACCATGAAATATAATTAATACTCTTATAATAGTCCAGAAATGTTCGAGCTAAATTTCTTCCTAATTGTTGATCTGGAAAAAGAACAAAAAGAGAAAGAGAATGAGATTAAATCTCATTTTGTATTGTTAGACATCTTCTTTGTAAAGAAGAACTATTGAACGTAAATTCAATTAACTATTGAAAACTTTCTTTTCCCTCTTTTGAAAAAGCAATAAAGCGTATATAATATAATATCTTTCTCTTCTGTCAGCTTTTATGAGTTCTTTTCAAGTATCAATAAAGAAAATATTTTTCTTACATAATTCTTCCGTGTAAGGTATCGCTTGTGAGTTGGCCGAGGTTTGATAGGAGAAAAACGAGACTTCTAACGTGTAGCAATGTGTACTTTCTTGGAGACAACCACCAAGTGTTCTAAAGCGTATAAGAAGAATGCTTTTCGAAGAGATTTACTGAAGATGTTCGCTTACCGTCGACCGGTTCCAGCTTTGAATGCATCGCGATTAAATGTCGTGTTATTGATCGAGAAATCTTCGGCATTTCGAGAGAATAAACGAGGAAAGATACCGTGCTTTTCAAAGCGTGTCGTATCTTCGTAAACATTTCCATACATAAAGCCGTTCATCATTGTTGAATGAGCGTGAATATCAATGAAAAAATCCAATTCAAAATCCTGTGAAGAGAAAACTAGGTCGGAAAACATCAAAGCAATAGAAGATCGCTTACGGCATCTTCGTTTAAGTTCATTATATGTGTTTTAATCCCATAAATCTCCGGATGTGCCCAATGGGAGGGATCGTTCCAAACACGATTAAGATCAAAACCAAGTAATGAGCATCTAGGATATGAATAGCGATAGATTTATCAAAGTATACGAAAATCAATCGGAACTTCAATCTATTCGGCGCATTAACTGTCAATAACTTTTCTCACACGAAAGTAATGCATGAATTCGCTTGTGAATAGTTGGATCTAAATATTCAAGAGCAGACTAACCTCTGATTTCCGAGAAAAACGCCATCGGGATTCAGCATGGGTACAATGTAAAAAACAATATTATCTCGTAAGAGTCGGGCAATCGGATGATCACTGATGATAAAATCAATGAAACCTTGACAAACGTAGGATGATGGTGTTTCACCTGGATGTACACGAGCTGTCAGAATGACAACTTTCTTTCGTTTGCCTTTTACTAGCAATGCCGGATTGGCTACAGTCAGAAGATCGAGCCGACGCTTTTGCTACGAGTAGAAAAAAAACAGAAGGAATGCAAATTCTCTCGTTCCATCATGGAGAAATATCGTACCACGCTGTAAACCAATGGCCGACGTTGAACATAATCTAACTGACGTTGTTCGATATTTTCGAGATAGTTTTGCAGTTTCGTGTATGTATATGGAAATGAATAAGCGAATTGATAAACATCATCTTCACGATCAAAACAGAACGTAAACGACATCACGTAATTCTTCCGATGATCAGGGCAACGATAGTAGAAGACATTGCGTGTGGGTAAGCGTTGCCTAAACATAATCAGATGACGAATGATGTTCATCTAAACATGACCTACCATCGTTTACGACTTGTCGATTTCACTATCGGCGTCATTCCATCACGATACAATGATTTGGCTTTCGAGAAATTAACAATATGAAAAATAACTCTCTAGAAAAGGCAAACGAATGATTGAAACGTATGAGTTTAACAAAGGCATACTTGGTCCGCTTTGACGTTTTCGACGGTGAATAAAAACCAACATCGAAATCGTGGACAGCAGGTGTCAGGTCGAATGAACAGATCGTACTCATTGTCATTTACATAATCAACTCGACCAAGATTACCTTTTGAGAGGAAAAAGACATTCATCTTCGATCATTCAGTGATGAACATACCACACTCAAATGAAGCATCGAAAATAAGATGTCCCTTCTTCGGTTTTCCTTCGTAATTCGGTGGAATGATCGCAATACGTTGAACGTTTCCAATTAGATGATCATTATTCGCATCTGATTCACTATCTAGATGTGACCAGAATGTTTTAGCCTGAATTCAAGCACGTTTGCTTACCAGAATTGTTGTTATCACGTTTTTGTGTCGGAGATGAGCTTGCCTTTCCATTATTCTCCACCGACATATTATCTTCAACAAAAATAAATCTTTCAAGTTAACTTAATTGTTAACTCCTTTCAATCATATGCCAAAAAAAAACACATTGTTTTTCTGCATTCTAACGCAAGTCGTATGTGTAAGAAACCATTGAATGCTCTTCTACGTTGTTGTTGCTAAGCAACTCTCACGAGTCACCTTCCACCATCTATCTCATCGTCATATTTCGACGAAAAAAAGAATTTCTATTTTTAATCTCTACATCGCAAAAATCAACAAAAAATACGAATTTCTTGCACTTGTTCTATTCGATATTGTGCAAGCCACTTCCTTGCTGTTTGATCATCTAGTCAGTCAGACAGGTGTGATTAGAAGTTCGAAAAACGATGACGGAGCAAAATACGAAAAAGCTGTTCGAGCGTTTATCAAAAACGATCGTTCCAACTCATTATGATCTGACCATTCAACCATTTCTCGAAACATTCAAATTTGATGGAAATGTCACCATTGATATACAGGTTTGTTTATTTTTTGTATGCAGAGAAGATTAACGGATTTGATCCAGGTGAATGAGTCGACGGATGCTGTGATATTGTATGCTGCTGAATTAAAAATTCATCAGGCAACACTTGCATCGAAGTCGAAAGGTGAGCTCGAAGTTTTTGTTAGGATCGATCAGTTGTTTTTGGCTTTTTTAGATGAATTGAAAGGCAAAGTTGAACTCGATGAAGAAAATGAACGGTTGAAAGTCACTTTTGACAAACAACTCGAAGTAATCTCTTCGGATTAATGCGAGATATTTACTGAAGTTTTTCTTTTGTTTGTAATAGAAAGGTGATTATCAATTATCATTGAAATTCTCCGGTGAGATTACAGATAAGATGGTTGGTTTCTACCGAAACAAATACACAACGCCTGATGGTAAAGAAATTCGTTACGGTGCAAGTACACAATTTGAAGTAATCGATTTTCGCGAGATGATCGTTGATGTTTATCATTGTCGAGTATTTTAGCCATCGGATTGTCGACGAGCATTTCCATGTTGGGACGAACCGAATTTCAAAGCGACATTTGATGTCACATTGATTGCACCAAAACATCTTCGTGCAATTTCGAATATGGTTGGTGTTTAAATGATTGATTCTTGAAAGAATTCGTTTTTTTTCTTTAGCCGATCATATCCGAACAGGAATTTGCTGAAAATAAGGATTGGAAACTAACTAAATTTGATCGTACACCAGTCATGAGCACATACCTGGTTGCCTATGTTGTTGGTGAATATGATTACGTTGAAACAAAAGATTCCAATGGTGTTAGTATGCGTGTGTATACTCCAGTTGGTAAAAAAGAGCATGGTAAATTCGCATTGGATATTGCTTCGAAAGTACTACCTTTCTATGCGGAATATTTCAATATCAAGTATCCAATAGCGAAAGCTGATCAAATTGCCATACCAGATTTTGCTATGGGGTAAGACAACGATCTTTTTCTTGCCGAATATAAGTCTATTTGATTTTTTAGAGCTATGGAAAACTGGGGTGTAAGTTTGTATTGTATATTTCTTGTTATATACGGCAATCTGATTTAGCTGGTGACATATCGCGACACAGCACTTTTGATTGATCCGAAATTATCATCCATCAATTCTCGACAATATGTCGCTATTGTTGTGGCACATGAACTTGCACATCAATGGTTCGGAAATCTAGTTGTATGTCATCTGTTTTGTGAAATCGAGTAAAGTTTTCTACCGTTTCTCTTTGCTTCTGTTAGACTATGGACTGGTGGACTGATTTATGTAAGAAAATGAATGAGAGATCGATACGAGTGCATCATGTTCTTTCAACTTTAGGGCTCAACGAAGGCTTCGCATCGTGGATCGAATACTTAGCAGTTGATAAATGTTATCCTGAATTCGATATTTGGACCCAATTTGTCGCAGATACGTTTGCAAGCTTTCTTATTCCGGATGCCTTAAAATCTTCGCATCCAATTGAAGTGCCTATTGGTAAGATAACTCTATCTAACTCGGTCGTTACCGTTATAACCCGATCTGTTTAGGTCATCCGGCTGAAATATCGGAAATTTTTGATCACATTTCGTACTCGAAAGGTTCCTCTGTCATTCGTATGCTACATGATTATATCGGTGACGACGCTTTTCGAAAAGGACTTCATAATTACTTAAAAGAATATAGTTACAAAAATACTACTACGGTTAATCTTTGGTCTCATCTAGCTAAAGCATCGAATAAGCCAGTTGATGAAGTAATGTCATCATGGACATTGCAAATGGCAAGTGTAGACAATGACAAGTTGAATAGTAATAACAGCAACTTTGTTGTTTAGGGTTATCCATTAATCACCGTACACGAAGAACAACACTCAAATAAATCTCGTGTTTTGAAATTATCTCAGCAACGTTTCATTGCTGATGGCAGTGCTGACGATGAAAATCTCCAGTGGAAAATTCCGATAACTATTTTCACGAAGTCCAATCCTAAAGCCGTTACCAAACAGATTCTTATGGATAAACCTGAAGTAACCGTCACTTTAGATAACGTTTCGGAAGATGATTGGGTTAAACTAAATTACAATTCTATTGGACTCTATCGTGTCAAATATGAATCGAAGGCATTGGCACGTCTTCAAGAGCCTATTGCTAATAAAACACTCAGTCCACAAGATCGGCTCATCATTCAAAATGACGTGGCTGCTCTGTGCAATGCTGGTCACCAATCGTTTGTTGATTATCTCGAACTGTTATTGTCGTACAAGGAAGAAGATAACTTTACTGTTTGGAAAGCTATTGGTAAGAAGGAGAATCTCACCTAAACATTTGTATAACTCTTTTAAAACTATTCTAGCATCGACAATTGGCGATTTATCATCGTTACTTGAATATACGGATTACTTTGATCAATTTAAAGCCTATCGTTTGAAACTTTTCTCATCCATTCAGCAAAAACTCGGCTGGGATGCGAAAGAAAATGAAAATCCATTGATTGCTATGTTACGCCCGATGGTTTTGAGTCTAATGGGTAGATCGGATGACCAAGCCATCATTGATGAAGCAACAAAACGTTTCAAAAAGCATCTAGCCGGTGAATTAATCGATCCGAATATTCGCGGAACTGTCTATGGCTTAGTTTCACGTTATGGCAATGATACGACACAAGAAGAACTTCGAAAACTATATGATGCCGCTGATATGACTGAAGAAAAAGTTCGTTTACTTCGCGCGATGGGTCAAACAATTGATGGCAATGCTATTGAGAAAGTGATAAAATTCGTATTCGATGGAGTATGTTGGTTTAATCTGTTGATGAGATGTTCACATCCATTTTTTCTCTAGGATCATGTTCGCATGCAAGATTCCTATATAGGTCTTGTTAGTTGTGCTAGCAGTCGAACTGGTCGTGATATTGTCTGGAAATATTTGCAAAAGAACTGGAAAGCACTCGTTGAACGCTTCGGTGAGATGAGCAATTTCCTCGTTACTTTCGTCGATGTAATTAAAATATGCATGAAATTCTTCTAACAATATCAGCCTTTGATCTGTATTTAGGGTACGTTATCGGATTTCGTTGATGAAAAACTAGCTGATGATATTCAAGCATTCTTCGACGCAACGAATACCGCAATTGTAACGCGAGCTGTGAAACAAGTCGCCGAAACAATTCGTATGCGTGCAGACGTTATGAAAAGGGATTCGAAGGCAATAGCCGAATATTTAACTCAGCAATAAATACAGCAACTTAAATACACGAAGATGATCTCTCGCTAAATTGATAACATTTTTCGTTTGATTTTAACATGTTTAAGTTTAAACTCGAAAAATCAATAAAATCTAGAAAACTCGGTTTGCTAAATATGAGATGCCTCAATTTTGCAGTGGAAATTTCGATAAGAAAAGTTAGAGTTTCATTTGCAGAGCTTTAGCGACATCTCTCGGTGAAATACTTATTCTGCCGTTTGCCAATAACCAATCCTATCGACTCCTTTCTTTACTCAATCTTGCCATGTTGTGTCTCAATACCATACTTCTCACAAATTTTAATTCTCTGATTTAAATTCAGCACGTTGACTCAACAATCTTGTTTTTCTATTGACATATTCACCTATTTTGAAAAACTAATATTTCATTCGCTGTTTTTTAGTTATGCGAAAGACTCATGTATAATTAATAACCTTTCATCTAAATGAATTCATCAAGTCATCGTTAGAGCTCGTCACATCTGAATATTTTCTTTTCTAGATGTACAGCTTCGATGACATCATCTAGTGATAATGATGATAGTACATCAACAGATTCTGATGATGAATCAGTTTTCTATGATGCAAATAGTACTCCAACAACTCATGAGATACTCACGTAAATATGACTTTCATAGGCTATACTCGAAAGCCAATCTTTTCCTCTCTAACCAGATCTTTTCAACAAGAACCTCGATGGCGAATTCCATCCAAACAAGATACATCGACATTGCCACCTGTAAGTTGATTTATCTCTAACAACAAGCTTATTTCTTTTCCTTAGGAACATTTCTGTGCCATATCATTAACTGAAAACCAATTACATGATATTCAACGACGTGATAAACTTCAACGCCTTCGCGGGGTTGATACTCGACACAATTCAAGCATTACTGTGAAGTCAGCAACTGATTCGTCTTCGATTTTATCCTCAACGTCAGTTACAACAGAACACGACGCCAATAATGAAGATGCATCATCATTATCATCATCATCAACAGTCGATCCTTCAGTCAATTACACTGATAATGAACCTAACCGCATCAACAGCAAGGTTAGTAGTTCATACACTTGTCTTAACTTGATAAAAAGTACCTTTATTACTTATGCTAACAGTTTTCCCAAGGCAATCGTATATAAACATATATGTCATGTCCGCACTTGTGTTGAATTGTAAATGAGGAAACATCTGTAATATACTAACGCAAGAGTTTTATGACTGAGAAAAGAGAATAGTCTTTTTTTTTATTATTGTGACAGACGGCATCGGGTTATTGTCTGATACATAAATGACAAAGTTTACTTCGTAAATGACAGATTTTTTTTATTGTCTGCGATCTAGTGGTACGTAGCGATCTGATCATGATCGGAATGTTTTTCAAGCGAACGCATCAGCAAGTACTGATAATATAGCATATGTTCTTTTCAAGGTTGATTAAAATCTATTGATGAATTCTGATTGGTTTGTTGCTTGGTTAAAGTATCGTTTGTGTTCGGAGTTAATTATGTTTATAGAATTCGACGTCTTCCATATCGAAAACAACAGCAATCAATTCTTCTGTCAAGTCTGGTGCAGCTAATTGGACATCTTATCCCATCAGAATCGCCGCTTCAGCTCGTGGTACAGGTGGATATTATTCAAGTAAAAGGCCTCTATCGACAACAAGCGAACCTAATCTAGTCGATCTGAATACCATCGATCGTATCACCAGATACGGAGAATTACATCCTAATGGTCGAAAGTTAAATGACGAGGAGATTCTTCAACAACCGATAGTACGTAATCTTGACGATGGTCGATACATTCCATTGAATGCCACGAATCCAATGGATCTTACTATTATGGAGCGTATTCGCGAAACTGAAAGTATGGTTGCGTTGCGTCGTAACTCACTGATAAATTCTGCGAATAATTCAAGAAAAAAGTCAACTGTTAGTCTTCCAGATAAAACTCATGATGACCTTTCGATGTCATCCGAATCGTCCAGTCAGACAGTGGCTCGATCAATTCTTGAGCGTCAATCATCAGGATCGTCTTTTAGGCGTACGACATCTTTTCGTAAACAGTTAACTAATCTAGTGGTGCGAAACATTTTACGCAAGAGACAGAGTAAAATCGGGAATCACGATGATGACGAGGATGATACCGAACGCGCGTTGATTAATGATGGTTCAAACGGAGATTTGAAGTACAAAGCATCGCGCTATCTAAAAGAACAGACACAATTTGATAAAACACAGCTACTTCAAACCATCGTCAATGCCCACGATGGACCGATATGGTGTATGAGGTACGAATTGATCGAAACATCTACTTAAAATCTGAAAAGAAAACAAGTTTAGATTCTCTCCCGATGGTAATCTTCTCGCCACATGTGGACAAGATACACTATTAAAAGTTTGGATACTAAAACTAGCTCAACCACATTTTAGTGAGTTTTCTCAATTAACATCGAATGCGTCTCAGCAACAGAATGAGATCTTAACTAATCGACTCCACGAGTTTCATCGAACGATCTCAATCGACACGGTGACATCTACAATAAATACGAAACTTGGTTTGAATGAATTACAAGCACCACTCTATACGAAACCATTTTGTGAATTTAGTGGTCATCAAGCACCCGTTCTTGATGTTGCCTGGTCAAAATCTTTATTTCTTCTCTCGTCTTCCATGGATAAGACTGTTCGTCTATGGCATTTAAGTCGATCGGAATGTTTATGTTACTTTCGACATGTAGATTTTGTTTCGGCCATTGCATTTCACCCACGTGACGATCGATTTTTCGTCTCGGCGAGTCTAGATGGGTAAGCATTTTTTAATAGAACTATTTTCTCAGAGAAACGCATCGTTCAATCAATGGTTGTTATGAGACTGGACGGAAAACCGTTAGACTATTGGTTTGGGTCTAACCGGAACTCTTTACCATAACAATCATTCAATCCTAGTACTTCGTGACAGCCCGACTCGCTTCCTTTCTCTCCATTCAAAACATTCTGTAACAGATTTCTACTGCGACGGATTCGAAGTTTTCCGTATTGCAAATGACACACAAGAAATGCCATTATCGTCGCGCATATATCAATTTCCGGCATTCCCACAGATGTTTGTTTTGTGTGCTTCCAAAAATAATGACTGATCTCTCCTAAAATATCGAACAAGTTTACTTCAATTTCGTTTCTTTTCATTCAGACATGTGCGTTTATGGAATATTCCTGATAAACGTGTTGTTTATTGGTCTTTAATTCCTGCTCAAGCTTCATCACAAATTCCGGCTGCTCATGCAAACTTAATTACAGCGGTTAACTTTTGTGACGATGGTCGTAAAGTAACAGTTGGTACATTCGATGGCCGGTTTTTAGTCTATAATGATTCCTTACAATATGATGTGAGTTGACTGGTGATTTCTCCTGGATTGAACTCGTTTTTGTTTTCATATAGACGGTAATGAATATCGGGGATAAGGATGGTAGTCGAAGTCATCGATCGAGAAAAAAACGAAAGAAACCGTACAAGATCACTGGGATCGAATCAATGAGTTCTGATAATGCCAAGGTATGATAAGAAAGAGAGTTTATTAAAGAACAAGGCAAATTTATCATAGGTATTGATCACTTCGAATGATTCCCGTATTCGTTTGTATAATATTCGCTCGAAAGAAATTGAACGTAAATATCGTGGTTATTCCAATCAATCCAGTCAAATACGAGCATCCTTCAGTCATGATGATCAATACATCATTAGGTAAGATAGAATCTGCATTCTTCGAAATCAAATGATGATTTTTGCTCGACTAGTGGAAGTGAAGATAGTTGGTTTTATATCTGGAGAACGGAACCGAATACGAATGATAATAATACGCCCATCAATTCGAGATTAACACGAAGACAACGACGATATTTCCATCGTGCTTACGAACGTATTCGAGGTGAGATCAAAGATTTTAGTAAGAAGTATCTTGATGACTTTTCTTTCCAGTTCATAATACAATGGTTACCTCTGCTATTTTTGCACCGAATCCTACAGCAATCATGAATTATGTATATTCTCCCAATGAATCGTCGCCTTCTCTATTTCGATCAACGCCTGCAGCGCAAAGTCCAACTAATCTTTCGAATAATCGTGCTCGATTGAACTGTGTATATCGTTCGATGAATTCCACAAACGAATCATCTGTAACCCTTAATACCGGAGCTGTGTATGTGATGATTACAGCGGATTCGAAAGGTCAATTGAAGATGCTTGTTAATCGGTACCATCGTTGAACGTCACCGCTCACTATTCGTGTGATAATTTCACTCTGGTCTTGTACAACTGATATAACATTCGAACAGTGATATGAAAATGTTTTTTTTTTCTTCTTCTTCGAAACAGTAATTATTTCTGACAAATATTATTGGTGAATATGTCTTTCAGACTATTGTTTTTATTCATGTGTGTGTTTATCTTTGATTGACTTCTCTTTGTTTTGTTTTCGATCTGTAGGAAAACTAAACCTTTGAAGAGTTTCGAATGAGAGAAAGAAATGAAAGACTTTCTTTTTTTGTTTTTTTTCTTCTTTTAGATTGGATTTTTATCGCACGAATAGGTGAATGACTTTATCGCAAAGATCTTTTTTGCCTACGATTAACCTTTTTGCGTTCTACAAATGCTGACCTTCTCCAATCGATATAATCGCCGATGGGCAAGTGTGCCGAGAATGATACTTGATTGTAATGACAAATGCTTCTCCTCCTCCTCCTCCTTCTTCTTCTTCTTATCGTCATCCATGTGCTTGATGTTTGATAGGATCGAGGAAAAAAAGAGCATTAGTTTGGCAACGCAAAGAAAAAGAAAAATGACATATTGTCTGTATGTATGTATGCGTGTATTAAGCGAGCAGCATGCGAAGCTTTAGATTTATTTTTGCTCTGTCTATTGGTAGAAAACAAACGCTAAAGTAGATCTCTAGTTTTCAATTTAGTATTACTTATCTAAGTGAAGACAACGAGAAGAGGATATCCGAGAATTCTTTGAAAAAGAAACTAGTAAAGAATGTTTTCTTTTTTTTTTCTAGCTCATGTCAACTGATGAGTTTTTCAAATGTTTCATCGTACTAATCATTCGTTCTAACTGGATTTTCTCGCGATGTTTCGACAACTGAGAACCTTTTCTCTTCCTCCTATCTTATTTACGTTCGAATAACTCTTTTTTTACACTACTTAGCCGTAACCTTATATTGTTAACAATGATAATAGATGGTCCCAGCTGACTGTTTTTTTTTTGCTCGCGAGTCACATATTCCATCTACGACCGAATCGATATTATTAATATAACTGANAAGAAGAAGAAGAAGAAGAAGGAAAAGAAAAAGGAGGAGAAGCATTTGTCATTACAATCAAGTATCATTCTCGGCACACTTGCCCATCGGCGATTATATCGATTGAGAAGGTCAGCATTTGTAGGACGCAAAAAGGTTAATCGTAGGCAAAAAAGATCTTCGCGATAATGAAAGGATTAAAGAAAAGAATGAGCGCGAAGTAAATCTTGCTGTTTTTAGCTTCTACAACGTCATCCATCCGATTTCGTTGCCTTGCACTGTCAAGAAGTTGGAGGCAAAGATTATGAAAAACATATGCATATGCTAGATCAATTCTTGACGTAAGTTTATTTGAATAGTTTCATTTTCTCTATTTATGATGCTGAAATAGAGCTCTACTACAAATACCCGAGCTATCATCGGAATACACTCGACATCGCCTATACTTTGATTCGGAATACTCATCGCAGGAAACATTCACAGTAAAGTTGACAAATTATTATTTGCTTTTTGGAATGAACTCTTTTGTCGCATTAGGCTCTTGGTAGTGCATATTTTATTCGTCAAAATCTCTCTGTGCAACAATGGAATTTCTCAAGTAAGATTTTCCTTGGAAAAGCAAGTCATCATGTTATCTACGATGTATTTAGACTCAACGTTTCATCCTGTTGTTAATTGTCAGATTTTTGCTGGTAATGTGCGTAATGCTCAAACATTACGCAAAGAAAAATATCCTCGAGAATTCTTTCCTGAAGTAAACGTCACACGCGCGAAGACAGTGATTAATTTACTGGACTTTCTTTTTTCTTCTAGGCGAAATGGTCGAGGAAGGGCTTCACTCAAACTCGTTGGCTAATCAATGGCTTGTAATTGAATTTTGGCGAAGAAAAAGAATCCTTTCTTGCATTGTCATTCTTTTCTTCTAGCACATTCGACTTGCTTAATGTACACCTATTCCATGACGCATCTAATCTTTTAGCAGCTGAACATAGTCCATCGATATATAGTAAATGTCGTCGCAATGCTCTTGAATATACTTTACAAAAGTTCGGATGATATTTTTGTTTTTTGTCTTCACGAATCAATTTGTTTAGCTTATCAGTCGATCCAGATGGTAAACGTGTCCCCTATGTTATATTTGGTGATTTTAATTTCCGACTCGATGCCCATCGTTTAGTAGAGGTTTGTTCGATAAATATTTGCGAAGATTTGACTAAGGAATTTTTGTTTGAATATTGAATAGCACATTGCAGACAAACGAAACGATTTAATTGATAAAATCAAAGGCAAGAATAGCGATGAAATTGCCAAGATTATTATTCGAAATGAAGATAATAAGCCACGATTGACAATCGAGAAGAAAGAATTCAATCTACACGAAAATCACGATTCATTCTTCAATACAAATACAAAAGAGGTACAGAATTTGTCTCATTTAGGAGAAGCTCAGCAATTAGTGTCCTAACGAATGTTTCTGTCTTTCACGAAAGAAATCAGTAACGGTTAATTAGTAATGTTGATATTGAATAAACATATCCCGAGGCATCGAATTGCACAGCATGTGTTGTGACACATAACAACCTTGTTGATCTAGGCTATACGAGCAGATATTCTTTAATCACTGCTCGTAGAATACCCCAAGGATCACCGAATAGAGCTGATCATAATGTCGATCATTTCATTCTAGGCGCATAAGTTTGATTTTGAATCCTCGTCATTCAATGATTATTTGTATGAATATGAAAAGACTTTTCCACCGAGGTAAGTATTCATCTAATTGGGAGTATTTGAACGTGTATGTTTTTTTCTTGCATTTAGTTATCCATATAGTGAAGAACATCATGAAGCCCGGTCATATTTACGTGCTCGTTGTCCAGCATGGTGTGATCGTATACTTCTTAGTCATTCATTTAAGAACTTCGTTGATACAAAAGTGAATTTTGTTCTTTCTATGCAATATTTCTAAACTTGAAAGTGTGTCTCTTCAGGCGAAAATGCCATCCTATGATATAATTGGATATGATGCATGTGTGGGCGATCATAAGGTGAGTTTCAAAGACAGCTAATTGAAGATTTGTATTCGTTTTCTAATCTTCATATCTGATTACCTAGCCGGTTTATTTATCTCTAACTGTTGGTTTGGTACAAGGTTGGTTTTCGTCCCCACTCGTGTCATTTTTTTCTTGCGAATGGAAAACTGTGGGCTTATGCGTGCTATTGATATTTGCATACAAAGCATTAGTTTAACTGTGAAATCATCTGTCACTGTTAGGAATAGAAAGATATGTGATCAGATCTTCTGAGTGATACAACATTGAACATTCAATTGTAAGTAGAATGTCTATATCATTTGCCTTTTTTCAACCTACTAATCAGCTCATAACTGCTCCTAACAGTGACAAATTGTTTTCGATATGTTGTTCTTGCATGACGCGTGTTGGCATTGCTTTTTCGTCTCGTAACGCTCGTTGCTTCCGCACATTGTATGATTGAATGCCGGGGATGTCTCTCTCAATCTTTCTCTTGTTCTAGAAAATATGTCATGATACTGAATGTCCTATCTAGTCGCATTGCGAGGGTAAATACAAATCAATCCCTCTTATCGTCTACGACCCATCTAGATATACATTACTTGTCATTATCGTAGTTGCAGTCCCGCCCATCACTTCTTCTCTAGTTTCATTTTAATGGGTGTACGCTTTCATATCATAAATCAATCGAGACACGAAATGCCGAGCATCGTCATCGTCTACTGTCTTTTTCTAGGTAATTATGATGATATTCGACGATGGAATGGTGCACCGACTTATTCAAATTTACTACCTGAAACATATTCGTCCGAGAGGACAAAGACTAGATCTGAAGAAATCGATTACAATTCAAAAAATCTCCCGTCATCACCAGCAAGCGAGAAGAATGATGAACATCGAACTGTACATGCTCATCATTTATTCTTTGCTAATATAAAACATACATTTATTCGATTTCTTCGCGAGACGCCGGTGTAATCTTTTCATCGTTTTTCTTTTATTTCTCTCTTTTTCGTTTTGTGTTGTATATATGCGAATCTCTATATGTTTTTTTTCTTTTTCCTAGTCTACAAATCCTCATCAGCAGTGAATTTTTCTATCATTTTATTTGTTGTTTGTTTGTCTCGTGTTGTTTCGTGCATATTCTACTTGCAGCAATATATTTACAGGCGACGTGTCGGTCTGTATTTTAGATGACATCCATGATGACTGATGAAGTCAATGTGAATCATGACGGATTGTCAAATTCATCGAAAGTTGTGAAATTTTCCAACTTATGTAATCTACTAGAAAGAATTTCAAAAAGCCAGGGTGCCATCGCCAAACAGAAACTCATGACTCGATTCATCAGCGATTGGCGGAAAACACATAAAGAAGTTCATGTAAACGATCCGCCTGTGACAGCACCTGCTCCAGTAACGACAGCTGATGGCCAAACCGTAACGGGCGGCCTTAGTGGAGCGTCACCAACGATCCTGCAAGATTCATTCTATCCAATTATACGCTTACTTCTACCACAATCCGACCGAGAACGTATTGCGTATGGTCTGAAAGAAAGTAAACTGGGCAAACACTTAGTCGAAGTTCTCAGCATTTCCAAAGATAGTGACGATGGAAAGAAATTGTATGTAGAAAATCATTTCTAGCTCTTTGTCGACAGTTCTTTGACAATTTAGGTTGAATTTTCGTGTACAGAAGAACACACGTACTCAGAAGGGAAGCGACTTTGCTGAGGTTGCTTATTATGTTTTAAAAAATCGATGTAACGATGATGTGACAATGAGCATCTGGGAAATCAATAAAATTTTGGATGAAATCGCCGTTGAGAACGGCAAAGGAAAAGAGGGTCAAAAAGTATGTAAGACATTTGGTTTTTCCAGCGCACGTATTTCACTTGCTTCAGGTTATCGATCATCGTTTAACATATCTACTTCGTCATCTTAGTGCTTTGGAATTAAAATGGTTGATCCGTATTTTATTGAAAGATTTACGTATATCTCTGAAAGAAAACTCCATTCTTGAATGTTTTCATCCCGATGCGAAAGATCTGTTTGATCACACGAGTAATCTATTCAAAGTTGCTGTTTATTTACACGATCCAGAAAAACGTCTTCATGAAATCGGTTTGAGTATATTCTCACCGTTTCGACCTATGCTTGGTATGAAGAAACATAATTGATGTCCGAATAAAAAATAAAGAATGACTTTATTTAGGTGAAAGAACGCGTGCTGATAAGATTGAACAATTGATTCGAAAGAAATCAACAAATCCAACCGCTGCTCTTGCAGAATTCTATATTGAAACGAAATATGATGGCGATCGTTTTCAATTACACCGAGACAAAGATCAATTCATGTATTTTTCACGTAATGGCCATGATTATACAAGTGTGTTTGGACCTGATTCGAATAATATCGGTACTTTGACACCGTATATCGCCAATACATTCAAAATCGATTGTGAAAAATGCATCATCGGTAAGTTGCCTTCGAGATAGTTGTCGAATAAATTATATTTGACACACTTGTAGATGGTGAAATGGTTATTTATAATCGAAATGAAAAAATTATACATTCCAAAGGTGACAGTTTTGATGTCAAATCGATCCAAGCCAATGATTCACAATTACAGCCTTGTTTTATCGTCTTCGATATTCTCATGTATAACGATGAAGTTCTGACAAATAGACCGTTAAATGAACGTTTACAATATTTACATAAGAAGATTCTCGAGCCAATCGAAGGACGAATAACCTTTTCGACTATTAAGCCCGGTGCATGTAATCAAGATGTCATTAATGAACTAAATTTAGCTATTGAAGAGCGACAAGAAGGTATTGTAGTCAAAGATCCGTGGTCTGTCTACAAACCAAATGTTCGAGAAAATGGCGGTTGGTACAAGGTACGTTCCTAACTCATCGAATATTTAAAATCGCATAAGCATCTTTGTTTCTGTATAGATCAAACCAGATTATACTATTGGTAAGATCCAATAAAACTTCACTGTTTTATATCTCATCTGGTTATTACAGGTCTTAATGATGAAATTGACTGCTTGATTGTCGGCGGTTATTTCGGTACTGGTCGTTTGCGTGCTGGTATGCTTTCTCACTTTCTTTGTTGTGCTGTTGTCAAACAAAGTAATACTGAGGCGAAAAATGCCGATGACGAAAACGCAGCAACATCGTCATCTCAATGCAAAGTCGATGTTCGCGATTTTCTCTATTATTCGTTCTGTAAAATCGGTTCCGGTTATACACACAAAGAATTGCTCGACTTTAATAATCGTTTTGCTAATAAATGGAAGCCATGGTCGAAGAAAACCGCACCGTCATATATCCTATGTACATACGAAAAGCCCGATGTCTGGATTGAACCGAGTGATTCCTGTATCGTTCAAGTGAAGGCGACAGAATTCATGGCTTCAGATAAATACAAATGCGGTTTTACATTACGCTTTCCACGCTTGGAGAAATTTCGTGAAGATAAGGCTTGGCATGAGTGTGTGACGTACCAAGAGTTGATCGATTTAAGAGAAAAAAATTCCGGCAAGTTAGCATCACGTTTTATGGAACATGAAGGAAACGAAGATTTCGATTTGAATGATGATGGTCAACGGACGATAACTATGACCAGAAAATTACAAACGAAATCTCGACAACAAGCTAAGCCAACTGTTGATTCACGTTTCCGCGGTATTGACCAACAAGCGGTGAAACAAACAGGACATTTCCTATCCAATTTGCAGTTCTGTATTATGGAAGGCAATGCAAAACACACGAAAGCTGATTTGGAAAAACTCATCTATGAAAACGGTGGAACTTGTGTACAAAATGCCATTACCAAAACACATTGTGTTATAACAGGTATACAAACTAAACATCCACGCAAAGTTCCGTTTCACTTCGGTGTTCTTCATTTAGATAATCCGTCCAGTATTCGTCTTCGCACATTGATCAAAAACAAACTATACGACATTGTTCATATTGCTTGGTTAATACGCTGTATCGAACATAAAGAACTACTTCCATATAGTTTATCTGATTTGATTTCCTGTACTGATAAAACTCGTGAAGCTCTGAAGTTGCTCTATGATGAATACGGTGATGCTTACTATGCACCGACCAATGAGGAAGAACTCCGAGAAATATTCAACAAGATGTCATCGATTCCTTCGCCGCCACCCTCTGCGCCATCGACACCGAGCAAAAAGTTACCAGCAAATAAAAAACGTCGTCTCAATGAGCTAGTTCCGTTGTCTCAAACGACAATTAACATCGAAAAGATACCAAATCCCTTAGATGATAGAGACAAACTCCGCACATTTATCTCTGAATTTGAAAATGGCTATTTTCCTGATGAATCATCGGAATATGGACTTTTCCGTTTATTCTATATCTACTTCGATCAATATTGGACGATTGGTGATGAAACAACTCAATTTATCGACTCCAATCATAAACTGATTATCTTACAAAGTCAATTGCATGGCGCACGTATAGCCCATTCCGTGACATCGGATGTTACTCATGTCGTTTGCATCAAACCAGCTAAAGACGACAAGAAATTAAACGACCGGTTAACTCTTTTCAAACAAATTAATCGTGATCGTTCGACTAAATTTCATCTGATTAGTTATGATTGGATCAAAGCTTGTATCGAAAACCGCCGTCCTATGAAAGAGCTACCGTTTGCTCTTTAGAAATATTTTGCTTTTCCTCTGTTAATTGTATACATTTTTCTGTAACGACAATGTTGTTTTTCACTGTGAATTTGATTAATGGAATAATAAGCAAGAACTAAACGATTTTCTTTATTAGAATCTTACCACTAATGACATAATCTTCGGTTAGAATTGAGATAGATAAGTATGTCTACGTCTGAACTGACTACATTTGATTAAAGACAAAGGTGAGCTTATGCTTTGCAATAGTATGTGAAGGTATTATTACACAGCGAATAGAATTAACGAATGATACACGAAAAAGAGAAGAAGAAGAAAAAAACGTGAAATCACAAGTCTGGAAAGACAGTTGATGATTTTAGCGAATAGTTTTAAAATGGATCATCAGATAATCCAACGAATTTACGACGAATGACTAGAGAAAAAAATAGAGCAGATATAATCAGTTATATAAAAGATCAAATCGACACTTACATCCTCGTTGATTGGTTTCTTTATTATTTAGACTGTGTGATGTACGTTTTTCATGTTCTTGTGACTCTTGAGATTCGAGTGATTGATCATTTAACAGGCCACGTCGTTTAGCTTCCAGTAAGAAGTTCACCAGTCGTTCCCGGAACAAATCATTTGAAGTCTAAACCAATCAAACTCATTGATAATATCAACTTTTACCTTGATTACTTACGTGCTGGCTTGATTTCGCATCCAGCATGGAGATTAAGCATACGGCCAATACTATGGCCAAAATAATTTTCGTCGTTTGCATCTAAATTGGGTAAAGGCCAAAGTTAACTAGTACAATACACCCTCAAGAACTTACCGATACTGATTGACTGTGCTTCGCAATTGTGTGAGAAAATATATGTATAATGTTAATACAAACGAAAACATTTTTATTTTTCGATATCTTTATAATAACCGGTGATGCATATCCGGCGGATTAATACCTTCTTTTTCTACTTATTGTATTATTTTGCCTACACTTATCACCATTCAGGTAGGCTATGACGCATCTTACCCATAGCGTCATCATCATCCGTAAAATCACCGCTAATTCAAACTTTTGTTTTCTTATCTGTAATTTCTTCATTCTATTGTAATGCTTATTAGCAATGACGCATCTAATCTTCGTTTGTTATTAACATGGTCGCTGATGATTACTTTCTTTGCATTTATTTAACGAATAAAACAAAAATAATGCTAAGACTTCACTTTACAGCAACATTCACTGCAGTGGAATAGCATGACTTTAACATCAGTGATGCGCTGTATCTTGTGATCGATCAGAAAGCGAATTGATACTGTTTTAATAGTTCACTTGAAGAACCTCGTTTGAAGTTCACTTAATTAGATGACACATAGCAGGCGTTTTCACCTGAAGTACAGACGATAAAAGTTCCACTGAACAAACTTCTCGGTCGCAAGATGTTAAAGTCTACAATAAAAAATTTATTAGATAAATAATTAAACATCTTGCATTAATGATGAATGAACACTCATAGCAAACAGAACAAATTCACGCGCCGTATATTTGCAGACGTCAGGCTGATGGTAGCACCTTGCAAAGCAAAGTACATTATCCTTTAGGATCACCGAATAATGTGTATAGAAATGAGGAAACTCTACTTCATACTTTGCTCTCGCGCTTTATTGAGAAATAATAACTAAGTGATTACGGAAATCGAAATGATGTGAACTGGTCGGTCTCTATGATCCCATTTTGATCCGAAGCTTCATTTACACGATGAAAACGAGAAAAGAATAGCTATTGTTCAATCGTTCATCATCCACATAGACTGTCGAAAGTGTCGTAGTCCTATACAACAATGAACAGTAACACAAATGCTTCTACCTAAAAGAAGGCGGACTGTTTTCGAAAATCTATTAATACATTCTCGTTTAACCGCGCTGAATAATTCATGAATTTGAAATAGAAACATTTCTCAGGTTAACTTCTGTCTCATTTACATATGAAATGAACTTTGCGGGATGTGCGTGCTCTAAAAGGACTATGTTCTCGGTTTTCGTGAAAACAAATAAACTCATCTCCATATTTCATGTATTCTCTACATAAGCGTACTTCCGTCCTCCAAGAATTCTTCGAACGTCGTGCCTTCGAATCCTTCGTATGAGCAAACCGGAATCCATATGTAAGATAAAAGTGTTATTTACTAATGACACATTCAATCTGTCCTATGTTTTGCATCCGCCTTCTGTTGTATCATTTCCCATGTCTCACGTAGAAAAGTACATATAGACAAGTAGTTATTCATTCACGCAAATATTAGTTTGTTGTCGAAATTCATGTTTGCTGATGAAAAGAACAATGGCTGCAAACTGAAAATGTCTTTAAACGAGAAAGTGATATATTGAAACACGTTTGAGAATGATTCGTTGTGTTGCTCGAAAGATATGAAAACGATGACAGAAAACAAAAGGTACGATTTCGTATCAGGAAAAATGTACGCATTCATTTTTATATCGGTAAGAGAAGTTGAAACAGCTCCAAGGTATTCGAATCGAACAAACAAAAAACGACAGAAAATACTGAAAAAAAAATGAATGAGTAATATTCGCGTCATTGATGATAGAACCGGTTTAAAATGGATTGTCGCTGATGCCAACTAATTTTCGACGAACGACTGAAAGGAAAACGGTGGAATTATCCGTGAGTTAAAGTTCAAGAAAATGAATGCTTACATGTTCGTCCTCGGTTTTCTTCATTACTTTCTTGCTGAAACCGATTGGTTTTGAATTTGGGTGAGTCGTCTTTCAATTGTTTGTACTTCTTCAATAAATATTCACGCCATTTCATTTCTATTAACGAATCCAAAAGCCGATCTTCGGATAAGTATGCTGAAAACTAGAAAATATTGTGTTACATTCTTTCATCGTGTTTTCTTTTCTTCGACATACTGTTTGACGATCATTGGCATCGATGGTGCTTATGAGAGTAGATACGATAACGATGACTAAGAAGATAATAACGGTTTTCATCGTGCTGTTCTTTCGTTTAATCAAATTGATATCTGAAAGTATGAAACAACAAAAAAGAAAGCATTAAGTGAAAACTACATTTCTTATTGTTTTTGTTGCTTATAGGCAAAGCTCTTTGTATTAAAAGGGAAGAAAAAAGAACTATACAGTTCGGTACGTCGCAGTGAAAGAGTTGTATTTTCTTTTGTACTCAAAATATATAAATTGCACAGCTGTAAATCAATCCAACAATTTGAAAAGGAGAATTCACCAGCCGTCTTTTCATCTCGAACGATGATGGAATAATCTCATGCAAGGGATTTACAGAAATATGACAATGGAAATGTCAACGAAAGCTGATTAAACATGAAAATAATGCATCAATCAAATCCCCCGTATTTGACCATGTCTCGCAGCCTTAGAGAATTTGTTTTGGGACGAACCTGGGCAAAGTTCAGAAGAAGAAAAAAGGAAGAGATCCTTCGAGATATTCAGGTATTTCCATTCGAATTCGATGAGTTTAAGCCTCCGAAGATCATATCAGTGGGATCGACTAAAAGTGAATCGTATTTGTCGTGAAGTTCTATTATTACTTACCGAAGTGATATTTTATGCGGTAGTGTCAGGTTCGTTCCTTCTGTATGGATATATATAGAGGGAGAAATGGAGAGAGATAGAAAAAGATATACGTATAAAAGTGGGTAGGTGTTTAAGAAACATATGTAGGTGCTCAATTTGTTGTTGATCTAAGAAAATAGCGAGGAAAAACGACACAGTATGTTCTTATTTTTAAGTATTTATCTTTCTACTAAATTGATACCATAAACATAAGTAGAGTAGAAGATTACATAGAAAAACCGAGGTGACGTCAGTTCGTTTCCACGCTCAAACCAAGGAGGCAAGTTAATCATTAAAATAATCAACTTATGCATAATGAATGACAAGCCCACACTCCATATATCTGTTCATTAAAGAATTCTAATCGCAATAATGTTGAAAAAACAATTGTTTTATTTTTATCTTGAGACTGGCATGAATTGATAGAAGTTCTAAAACTTTAATAACAATATCTCCATCGTTATGGTTTACCGATTAGGTTCATTCCTTGACTGCGAATGTTTTCTTTTCAGAATCGAAAATTTACATTCATTCCTCATTTATATGTGCTCATACGGCGTGTGTCATCGTTTACGAATGAATGTTAGCCAATACTTTCAAATGTTTCGGTTCATTTTCTGAACTGTTAATCAATCAATTCTGATTTTGCTGGTAGAAATACGTTCTTCATTTGTTATTCTCTCCTCACACTGTTTGAAAAATTTCTCCGTTGAGTTCACTAATGATACACTTGCAAGTCCGTCATATCTGCTAGTTAGTATTGTGCATTCCGAAGGAAACAGACGTTGCGAGCATTGCATAGACTAATATTTGACAGATTTTCTTACTCACTATGTGCAGGAAGTTTATATCTGTTAAAAAATTTATTTACGTGACAAACACCTACTGAATATTATGAATGACTAAAAGGCAGTCTGACATCTCATCTCATTGTTTCTGAGGAATTGAATTTGATTGTCACTGCAGTAAATACTGTATTCGATTTCGGTCGTTACGTGATCCTGACTGGTAACCGTTCAATCGATTGTCTGAGGACATCTATCGTTTTGTTCACATCCGTTCTGCTCATTGGTAGAGAAGGATTATACCGAGTGAAAGAAGAAGCATCTGTTGTATATGTAAGCAAGTAAATAAACTTTCCTTGGAATAGATTCACGTGAATTATAACATTATAGATGAAAGATACCAACAATTTTCGAGGTCGTCTATTCGATCATCAAGAAGAGTAATTCATTACTTCGATAGACTTTCGTACGTATGGCTCCTCGAACGAAAAAAGTCGTGCGTAAAACACGACGCGACCAAACGGAAATCAGTCGATGTATTAAGTATGGTCAAGTGAATGTTTCTAGAGGCTTCTGTTCTACGCTTTCTTCCATTTAGATACTTAATGTTTGGCTTCAATATTCTCTTTTGGGTAAAGGAACTTGAGCCAATTGTTCTTTGCAAAAAAACGTCGTATTTATTTTGTTTTTCAGATCCTTGGATTTATGATTGCTGCCATTGGCATCTATGCTTGGATTGAAAAGGACACATTCGACAACTTTGGTCGTTTAACAATGGGTGGAACGTTATTCTTCGATCCTGCCTTACTGTTCGTCCTTGTAGGAATATTCATGTTCTGTATTGGATTTACTGGCTGTGTTGGATCATTACGAGAAAATACATGTTTATTACTTTTCGTATGTCGACAGAACACATCTTTATTTCATCGAAAATATAACCGATTTCTAAATTGTAGTTCAGTTTTGCTTTGGCAGTTATCTTCTTTATCCAACTTGCGTTTGGTACATTAGTTTTCATTTATCGTGAAAAGGTTTGAGTTCTTTTTCATCTCCAGACTAACTTCAAAATGTTTTGTAACTGATTATAGGTTAAAAACGAAGGCGAAAAGCAATTGATGATCATGATTCAAAGTTATCGTGATGATCCTGATTTACAGAATATGATCGATTGGATCCAACGTGATTGGTTACATTGCTGTGGAGTGAACAATTATCGTAATTGGGAAAGTAATGTCTACTTTAATTGTTCATCGAAAATTGTTGGAAGTGTCGAAGCGTGTGGTGTGCCGGCGAGTTGCTGTCGCGTTGAATATTTTCATGTAAGAGATGACTGGAGAAACGAATCCATTCGTAATTTGTCTGCTTTCAGAATAACAAGCAATGTGGATATGGAACGTTGGAACCGTCGGCAGTAAGAGTGAATTTGAAGTTGTCCGAAAAAGAAATATTTGATTTCAGGCTACACATATGATCTATACAGAAGGTTGTTTACCAAAAGCTTCACACTGGTTTGAACGACATATTCTCCCCGTCGCAATAGTTGTTGCTGTTCTTGCTGTTTTACAAGTAATGAACTTTCCGGTTTTACTTTTTCATCTGTAGAACTTTTCTTCTGTTAGATACTCGGTATTTGTTTCGCTCAAAACCTACGCAACGATATTCTCGCTCAGAAAGCAAAATGGTCGTGGCATACACATCCAATGATGAATTACTATCGACATCAGTGAACTAAGAAAACACACACTTCAATGTCAGATTGAACAAGATCTCTCTCTCTCAGGACATCTCACGATTGTAATTAGAAATGAATGTGTATGTCTTTCACTATTGTCAATGTATTCCTGTAAATACACATATACATTCATAATAAATAACGATTTAATTTTCGGCGTTTCTTTTTTCGTGTTAGTCTTTAACGAAATGATTGTAATTCTTGTATGGTTTTAGAAGAAAACAGACTGCAATGGAACCAATTAAAAACGCTCTGTCACAAGCTGGTGATTTAGTGCAACAAGTTGCACATACAGTTGTTGATGCAATTCGTGGTACAGACAATGAACAGGCATCGAAAGACAACGTAGGACGAGGAAATGAAGAAACTATGTCTAAATCTCTCTTTTAGGATGATAAACCGAAAACTGAGCAGAATATTGATAGTAAGCAAAAAAAATTCGATAAGGAACAAGATAGCTCCATCCAAAAAAGTGAAATCACAACGCCACCTGGTGGTTATCAAGATTCTGCACAACAAGTAATTAACTTACAGAAGAGTTTTTGAGAGAGAAAAAAACAAACTGTTTACTTTTAGAGTGATGCAAAAGTCCTGGCAACATCATGGCCTGATCTAGTCGGTAAATCACGTCATGATGCCGAAGAATACATTAAAGCTAGAGGTTAGAAGAAGAAAATTGCGTGGAAAATCATACCGTTCGATTTTCAATATAGGCTATTCGAATATCAAGGTTATGAAAAAAGGCACATCATCAACCACGGAGCATGATGAATCACGGGTGATTTTATTTGTTGACGATAATGATGTTATCGTTGAAGAGCCCAAAGTTGGTTAAAAAACAATGAACTGAAAAATACTTCGTTCTTTTTTTTTTATATTGTTATTCGAGCTTTAAAAGCACAATAAACTCTTTCGATTAATTCTTTCATTCTTGATATTTTTGTTCGTCTATGTTGACGCTGAAGTCGATAGCGATCAGCAGACTTCTCTCGCGCACATACAGGTGCTTACAGAGAACTTCAGCTACTGAAGAGATCAATTCATTTTAATTGCATACCCTCCGATAAATTGTACATCATGATTTGAATACAGATACATATTTCACTCCTACTAAGCTATCAATATACATTTGACAGACAACGATCAAAGCAAGTGCAGCGAATAGAAAACACACGTACAAAAGAGATATAATTTTTCTCTTCGTATATAAAAGATCACAAATGCACATTAACTCCGCGCTGTTTGAAAAGGACTAAAAAGTTCCAAAAACTGTAATCGCTCGGGGACTTCTTGAGTAATATACATGGTTTTGTCAAGCCTATCGACTCATGACGATCGAGGGCGTTTCGCCGGCGGACTTATTGCCAACGTATCGGTGAGAAAATCGAAAACTTGAGAGTAATCGCCATGCAGCTGTCCAGTAATTGTACTCGGCGCAACGTATCCGTCTGTTTGGTTGTTCGCAAATTCTCCTGAAAAAAAAACGTTAATGATTAACAGTTAAAGGAAACATTCGCTCTACATACGATCTAAACTTCTCAAATACGTATAGCCATCTTCGTAGATCACATCTTGCTCGTATTCGATCCTGATACGAACAGTGGCACGCTCGCAGGATGGATTCAGATATTTCGGCATGAGGAAGGTGAAGTTGTTTCCGTTCTTTTGCATCTTTTTGACGGGAATCAAGAAATCACGACCGTTATCTTGAATTATCAAAGCGAGGTTTTGTTTGTAGTCTTTCGGGAGAGGGCCCTTGGTTTCTATGCACACCTTTTGATTGCCGCACATTGGGCCATACTTTTGAAAGACATCCAAGATTTTGAATTCACCGTATTCTAAACAAAAAATACATTGATAATCAAATCGAAAGATTATTCGTTGCTAATCTTACTCTCAGCCATTGTATCAGAATAAGCAGTAGTATCTTCATCGGCTACATAGGTGCCATCAGAAAGATGATACATACATGTAAAAGAAAGTTTGGATAGGTTCAGTTGTTCCTTCGAAATTTTTTCTTTGGTGATTTCACCAACTTGTTTCCCTTTGATGAACTCGATGTGGAGTCTAGAAAGCAAACGAACGAACTTCATTAAACTATAGGCATGCACAACAAACTCACGTTTTTTCGCCTTTTTCACACTCTTCTTTGGTCAAATGGAAGTAAAGGGTATGTGACTCGTTTGTCTTGAATACAGAAGGCGAAGTTTTACGTTCTTTGTTCTCGAGTGTATAGACATGAGGTTGATGATCCACCTTGACAAGAGTCACTTTGATAATGTTTTGGCCGGGATGCCAATTTGATTGAAGCTACAATAGAAGAATAAACTATAGTACATTGATTATACGATGGAAGTCTTGATGTACTTTTATGGTAGGATGTTCGTGTTTACTTGTCTTGTTGCATCGTAGGAAGTGCGAGGAATCTCGACTTTCTCGTTCTGTACGAGGACGAAACTCAGTACGAGGAGGTGAGATGATTTCAATAGGTTTAGATCGTACAGAGTGTAAGTTTGATTCTGAAATAAATAAAAACTCATTTGGTAAAACAAAATAATGAAAAAGACGTCATTTACTCAGCAAGTTTTCAAACGGATCGCTAGACGATTGTTGACCATTGTTGGACTCTGAAAAAAGCAAAGATACTTTTAAAATCTGAAGGCGTATTATTTGTTTTGAACATACGAATTTGACCAGAAACTGGAGAGATTGTACTTGAAGTTTGGTACTCTAGGTAAGGAAAAATGAAATTTACAATTCAATCTTTTTCATAATAATATTTGACATACTGCTGTTGGGTGAAATTACTATGCCATCGAACGACACATCATCCAAAGAGTCGAAGTCATAGTCTTCTAATCTAATGTCTGGAATAATGTCCCATGTGAGTGGGGATAGGCTAGGATTCTAAAAGAAACATGTGATAAGACAATTAAGATAGTTAAGATTCTTTTTATAGAACTTACTGTTGGCGTCTGTAGATCGGGTGTGTCAATGTGATTCGTGCATAGGATCTTATCATTGATACCATTGCTTGGTTTGCGCGTCAAAGCAGTGAAAGTATTCATCTATAAATAAAACGGCAAGTACAGTATGAGAAAAAGTTGACTGAACTATAAACCGTGCAATGTATAAAAGCGAGACGTATGTCGAGACGTTGGTATATGTGCGCGATATTTATTCTCGCTTGCGAAATTTAAGCATATGTAGACAATTGACTTACTATAAATACTTTGTTTTGGACGTGTGCGATATGAAAAAACCCTTTTTTCCCGTTCTCTGGTCGGAAAAATCCGATCATAAGTGTCTTACACAAGCGCATGTTGTGTTTGTACAGCGCAACTATGAATCATCATCTTGACTCATACGATATTTTTCATTTGTCATAAGCAAACAAACGAGTCGGGGAATGCATACTAATTCACATTGAATAAGTATCGGACGGTTTAACGACTAAAGATGATTGATGAGCAATTGTGATAAATATGCAGTGACAATTGTTAGTAATGCAGGTATTAATTCGAAGCATATAATCCAAGAAAGTCGAAAAAATAAGATACTAGTCTAACTAATTTTTAGGTAACGAAATGACCATGAACTGATGTTCTAACAACCTGAAGATTTCTTTTTGGATCTCTGCTGATATGTGTTGTAAGTGGTTGCAAAAAAATTCAAACGCTTGACTTTAATATACTGCCGATAAGGGAAAAAACGAAATGACGTGTTTCAAACATAACGTGCCTACGCCGCCCCAGTGCCCTTGTTTTTCTCTTTTCTTTTCGAGCGAAGATATTGTCTATAGCAAACACAAGGCACAGACATACTTAAAATTCGTATCAAATGTCGCCTACACCTGACAAAGACTTCTGAGGGCGTTATAAAATAAACTGTAAATTCCAAAAGAACCGCCCCCCAGTCATTATCTTATCTAGGACAATTTCATATCAGTTTTTTTGTGGATCATGTATCTTGAATAACTGCTATCCCACGATTAAGCAGTAGAAACATGTATCGATTTCTATACGATGCTGAATATCTACAGTACAAGTGAATAGTTCGTTTCGACGATAATTTTCAAAGTGAATTCACAGAGGAGAAGAACATCATCATCTGCTATAATCGATTCATTGAATAATAAATCAAATACTCGATGTTCACCGTCGACACAGATAAAAAAGACCTTTCTGGTCACTAAATGGTTACACACATCCAAAACAGAAAAGATGAAGCAAAGTAGTTGACGTTTTCATTAATAGAAGAAACCTGTCGTCATTCACAGATCGATACATCTTTCCCGTTCTGAACATGGCATCAACATTTTATGGATTATTTTTATTTATCTTTTTCACACTCGCACCGATATGTACAACAAGCGCATCCACACATGACAGAGCAGAAAATAGAAATGAATGTAAAGAACACAAAAGTAGAGTGTAGGTCTCTTTTCTTTGAAAAAAAAACCGTACTAATTTCTAAGTTCAACGGTAAATACACGAAAGCGTTCTGATATCCAAATCAATCTCAACCAGATATTTTATCCAAAGTAGAATATAATTTGTAATAATACGAAAATAAAGCCAGTCGGTTTCACCATACCATAGCGCATGTTCATTTAAGAATGGACTAAACGTTTGGGACGCTTAGCCGTTCTGGATGATGAAATGACTGGACGCACACCGGTAGCTGAGATCATCTCTAATACATCGTATGTATTCGAGAGTGATGAAGCATTTGTTACTGCATTTGAATTGCCCAAATTGAGTGCTGCTAGTACTTCTACAGAAGAGAACAAGCCAATGAAGATGAATGAAAGAAATCGGAGGACTTACGATCTAATGAACCATTGTATAGATAATTCGATTTATGAAGCTCTTCTCCTTTGTAAAAGATTTCTATATATGCAACACCCTGATCAACTTGTGGACATGGAAATGGTGGCATCGAAAAGTAGATAACATTTCCACTCTTCGTGAATGATACTGATTGTCGCCAGGTTGTGGCTCCGATTCCGACGAATACGGTGATGTCATCCTTCAGCACACGACCTTTCAATACAGCATACACTCTTTCATTCCCACATATGGGCCCATACTGTGGGCCGATATGTTCCACACAGACATCGCCATAACCTGAAGATTTTCAATAGAAATCTCTTTCTTGAACGTGAATCATTTCTCACCTTCCGTCATAACGCAAGAATATGCCACACTATCTTCATCACGTTGAAAACTGTCTTTTTCCGTTTCGAAATAGCGTGTGAACCGTAGCATTGATTGTTCCAATTCGCGTTGTTTAATTAAATTTTTGGTGAGAAAGTCATCCTGTTTACCTTTGATGTATTCAATCATGAAGCTAAAAATAGTAAGCAAATCAATCGTCATTGGACACATCCGATGGTTCAAAGTGAAATATACCTTTTATATCCTTTTGATATATCCTCAGGTGTTACGCGAAAATATAAGGATTGCGGTTCATTCAAACGGAAAATTAAGGTATTTTCCTCGTATCTAGGTTGACATTGCCTGTTATCGATCGTGTAACAATGAGGCTGTTTATCCTTGGCGACAAGGGTAACTTCAATGATGTTATTGACCGATTCCATAGGCCATTTTGGAGAGATCTGCAAAGCAAAGAATTGATTTCTTTTAGAAATACAAATCTGCTGAGCACCATACATCAATGGTGGGATATTCATGTTCGCTGAGTTGTTCACAACGAAGATAGTGTGTGGCAGTTTTGCTTTCATTCTGCGTCCGTGGGCGAAATTGCTTTCGTGGTTGACATCGAATTTTGATCTGTTTCGAATCGAGTGAGTCGAATTGAAGCACTACAAAGAGCAAAAGTGATGTTTCGTCAAAGAAAGACAAAGCATTCGAACATACATTGCTGTTGAAAATCAAACTCAGTATTGATTTGAATTGATGAACAAGGTTGACATCCACCATACGCTGAAAAAAGGAAGGACAAGTCATCATCAACATGTGATTGTCAACTGTCAACATACAAGCAAGTATATCAATTGGAGCGACGGACGAAGAAGTATGACGGCCAGCTAAAAGTAAATCGAATAGAAATGTGTGAAAGTAAAAACACATCAGTTTATCTACCAGAGTTCTTTTTCAATTTCGACGCATTTTTGTGTAGCCGCTGTTGATTTCGGACACATTGTCGAGCAGCAGCAACATCTAGAAGACGAAATATGATTACATCGACGGGAATTGTCTGATTCCTTACTATCAAATGCCTGGGGCTCCACAGGCGAACTGCCAACTTGAGTGGAAAATGATGACGACAACATAAAATCTTTTCAAAAAAAGTATTTTGTTGTTAGATCATAGGAAACCGATTCTCCTACCTGTTGGCAATGGATTGATATTCATATGTTCGAAGGTATCTTCAATAGAGTTTTGTCTTGGCACTTCACCAATATTCGAGGAAATTAATGAAGCTATGTCTTCGGACTCGAATGAGTGTTGCGGGGTAGTGGTGAATACTATAGAAGATCAAAAACAAATTTAATTTATACACTGATTTACATGAATTTCAGAAATTATATCAGTTGGTATCTCTTTGGTTTATTCCAAAGATGGATATTTAGATCCTTTGCAGTTAGTTTGTCTGCTTGTCAATGGAAACAAACGATCCTCTCACTATGATGGTAAACGTCCACATGACGTCATCCAGGTGATTTTATGATATAAAGATAAATACTTACAAGCTGAAGGTGAATCGATAAGAGCATTGTGAATATCATCCGACGATGTTGAATTCAAGCTGAGAAAAGCATCCGACCCAAAAGTTAAATCATTTAAGATCTGACAAAAACAGATATTCGAAACAATCAATCTATTATCTTTGGATTTACCTGATTATCCAGAGATGGATCAGATACGTTAGGCATTGTTGTTGGTTGCGATTGACCAGTCAAATTCATTGACTCAAGTAAACTCTCCATATCAAAATCTTCCGCCATATTTAGCACAAAACAAAAGATGAATTAATCAATAAGATCTAGAACAATTCAATCGATTGTCTGTAAATGGCTAATCACATCGATGGCCGGAAAACAAACGATAATCTAACTTATACATTGCAACGAGTATAATGTAAAAAATAACTTCGCCCCGCTCCGCTTACATCGAAAAAAAAACAACAACTGATGAAACATTTTTTTCTATTTGCTAACCCTTTTTTTGCCTTACCATATTAACTATCGTTCTCCCTCTTTTTTGTAAGCAAACAAAATCGATGCAGCACAAAAAAAGAAAAGAAAAAAACATTCCTCTCTCGTTGCTAACCTCTACGCATCGTCGTCGACGTGTGCGAATGTCGCTGTTAGTGAAAAAAAGGGGCTAGTGCCTCTATGTAGGATAGAGAAAAAAACAAACGTACGGGGGTAATGCTTTTACAATATGCGTCATGACATATGCAATTCTTGTTTTTTTTTCATGCGTCATTTATTCAATAAACTATAGACACATATTGATCGGATAGTCTCGCCGATAATAATTTAAAGACGAAGAAAATAATGAAATAACAAAGTGAATAAAAATACATGAGCAATACGACGAAGTAACGTTCGGATATACATTGATACATGACAAGTTGAAGTATTTTATCACGGGGTTTTATATATCTTTATTACACGACACGAAATAAGTCATAATTAATGCTTTCGCTGACTGAATGATGAAAAAAGTGACTCGATTGCCCCATGAAATGTTAGTATGTAGAATACACGAAGTGGAACTGTTGGAGCAAGTAACGATTCAACTGTTCGATAATAATCGGATGGGGACTGAAAAAGAAAAGTCATCCTCATATGGCAATAAGATAAATCTGTAAGATATTTACATCAAATTTGATTTTGTACAATTGCCACAGTGTCGCTCCGGTGAAAAGCCTTAGAACATCTTCGAACCTATTAGAAAGAATTCAGTTAGAAAATGAGAAACTCATCGAACTTACATTTCAAGTTTTTCGCGATTTAACCATTCAACAACATCATAAGTATTCCAGTCATTGACATCTTGGTATTGCAACCAAGAACTGCTCATTGTTGTCATCGCTCGGGTAGAATTGCACGACGTAGTTGTTGAAACTAAGAACAAAATCGACAAATAATCAATGGATAACTTCAAATATGAAATATTACAATTGCTAGTTTGATAATCTCCATCTGCTCCCAGTGATACTCGGATGTTTTCGATTTCACGTACAAGTAAGTCAAATGCTTGGTCGAACTGTAATTGACTAAAGTCAATATGAAGCTTCGAACCATTGATGATTCCAAGCCACCCATTCGCTTTTGTACTCATTCAAATTCTATCTCATCACTTATGTACAACACTTGATTGTTCTTCTCAATTATAGATGATCAAATATCTATACAACTGGATATAGTCCCGTTGCATCAACATTGGGATCGATGCTTTATTGCGTTCGAGTGAATACTCAGCTTCTACAAAAACGAATAAAAGGATTAATCTTATGATAACAGTAGACTTTGATGTCAAACCTAGCCGGCAGTATCGACTTTTAAAATACTGCTCGTTGATGGCCATCAAAACAACAAATGCATTTTCAACGGCAGATGCCATGGAAGTTAAAATATCTCCGGAGATATTGTCTTGATCGATCCAAACTGAATAGTTTCTATCCTATACAAGCATGTCGACATGTAAATATAAATAAATGTGACTGGTTAAATCGTGCGCTCATACTTTCAATGCTTTTGCAATTCTGGAGCATACAAGCTTAGTCGAATGATTGTAACTGATCATAATATGTCCGAGATCGTTACTATCTTTCTTTGGATCGTTGTATTTCGTTGTCAGTGTTGTTGTTGTCGTAGTCGTTAATGATTCTTTGATAATTGTGATATCTATTAAATTGAATTTGTTTTACGAACAATTCCGATAAGATTTCCTCTTACCATCTTTTTCAATTGTACACGGTTCGCATAAACTTTGTTTACAGAGAACAGGAGATGGTTCATTTGGTTTCGTATCACAAATACTGTCAAAATCGACAACATCACTGGAAAGATTTTCTTCATGTGGAGCAGTTTCATCTACCGGCGAACAAATATCGCCATCAGGATCTGGCGAAGGTTCATGATGAAATGAGACTAAATTAAATCAACTTTCTCGAATACCGACAAAAAACAAAAAGTCAACGAACTTTGTATACTACGTTCATCTGGATCGACTTGAGGTTGATCTGGAAGATTTCCTGAAACAATGATTACACAGATATGAAGAAATTCTAATGAAATGAACATCATACCATCGTCAGTAGCTTCAGTTGGACGTTCATCATGGCTATCTGAATCAGTTTCATCTAAATAGAAATGATCAGAAAAATCCAAGTAGACGTCTATACATACAAACATGATTGTTCGATGGATAATTATCGTTTACATTCGACTGTAGATCAGCTGGTTCGAAGGGAGATTCTTCAGGTAATAGATCAAATTGTTGCTAAAAGAACAATACATATCATTTCAAGTTGTTCATAGACGGAAACATACGTCGAAACTTGGAGGAGTTGGCAAAGAATTTTCATCGTTCATTATCGATGTTAAATAATCTATTCACAAGAGAAATTTCTTGAAAGAATTATAAACCAAGACAAGGCAGCCGTTTTGTATGTGACTGGTCTATCTTTACACTATCCACGGGACTCGACGTCTGTCGGCTTTAAAAGTTATTCTAGAATACTATTAAATATGTGTAATACATGACATTTTTACCAAATTCACTAATGCATCCGAAATCACAGCATAGTAACACGTGTAAGAAAAAACAAGACGAAAATCACGAAAAACAAATGTAACTTATTTTCTTCAAAGTACGTCAGAGACGCAATCAGTCAAAAAAAAGCACATCATCGCTGGTTGGTTACGCGTGTTTTTTTCACAAAAATATAACATGGTGTGAAAAAGACCTCCTCGATTTCTCCGCTCTAACGGTTCGTTACATTTAACCCTGATCGTAAGTCACTTGATAGACTGAGTCCATCGTCGTTTGTACAAACACAAGTCATTGCGTATAAACAACTAAACGCAGCACCTTTGATTCGGCGAATGTTGTATGACGTTTCGTCTGCCAGCAACCATCCACGTCTTTAGTTGTTTTAAAAAGAAATGACGCAGAAAAAGACATACTTCAAATGTATGCTTTATACGCAAAGATAAAAAAAAGTAGACACGAAATACGAATACATTTTGAGATAAAAACAACAAGCGAAAGAACATTAAAAGGCACAACATGTCAAGAAAAACCTTTTTATTGCATTCAAATACGACGATTGAATTTCAGTCTATTGACATTCGTATAAGTCAAAAGTATTTCAGTGTGTTGTCTGGTTCGTAGCAATAGGATTTGGGACAATATAGTTCTAACCATTCTCTCTCTGTTACCTATATCTTTCTCTAGTACGTTTGTCCCCTCTCGTTGTTTCTTTTTCGAGATTGTATACATAACTGCATGTTTTTATACGTAAAAGATGCGATTCTTGGCTAGAAGAAAGAAAGAAAGGAAAGCGTCATTTCATTGCCCAAACACTTCTTTCAACAATAATCCTCGCAAGTTGAGTTTCTAGACGTTTTGTATAATGAATGTTTATTTGTTTTAGACATGGAGAAGCTTGGAATGATATTTGAAAAGAGCACCTAGTGCCAGTCGAGTATATCCGTCATCACATAGGAAAGATGAATTCAGTTCGACTCATTCAATAACGTGTTTGTAAGTGAAATTTGATTAAAAAATATGTTAAAAGAAGAAAGATTCACAGACACCGAAGAAACATGTCAGGAAATATGAGTATTGCTGTGAAACGAAGTTAAATAAGAATTTTCGGTTCTGTAACACTTTCTGTAATGGCTTTATGTGGTAAAATAACCCCACCATTGATGAATAATTCATCTTGCACGGAAACATCCAGACCGAGGACGGTGGTATTTTCCATTCGAACCTGAAATGAGTCATACGATTCTGAAATTATCGATCTCGAAACAATTTTACCCATTGTCCAATTGTGCATCTCCAGCCAATGATACAATTAGCGATCCATGTATGACTTTTAACCAATGAGTCGGCGAGAATAGTGCAGTTTTTCAGACATACACCATCTTGAATGATAACTCGAGGGCCAACAACTACATTTGGCCCGATACGGCATCGTTCGCCGATCTTTGCAGTTGGGTCCTAATGAGAGAATCATGTTGAGATTGCTGAATGTTAAAATCAATGCGAACTTTACCAATAACACATTGCCAACAATTCCGTTCTCGCGTGATAATCGTTCCGGTTGAGAACGACGAACGTGATTTAGATATAAACCTATACCAGTTAAATAATCTTTGGGTTGACCTACATCCATCCAGAAACCTGTAAATGAATGAATAAAATATATGTTTACTGCGTTCTTGTTACTCGAGATCAAAGGAAAACTTCAACTATTTACCTTTCAATTCAAACGCATACAGCTGTTTGTCTGTTGCCATCGCTGGAAATATTTCCTTTTCAATCGATGTTGGTCGTAACTAAAGATTTTTTAAATGATCATCGCATCAGATCATTGTATATTAGTCTCACTTCGATTCGATCGAGAATCGTCGAATTGAAAATATATAAACCAGCATTGATTTTATTCGAAACATATTCACGTGGCTTTTCCACGAAACGCTCAATCCTACCAGTGGTCTGTTCGTAGACCACAACACCATATTTGGATGGTTCATCTACTTTCGTTACCTAAACAATGTCAACAGAAAATCATTTTAGATGGTCGTTGTACTCAAAAGTAGGCTACATACACAGATAGTACCTTCGGCTTGATGATTCTTATGAAATTTAATCATATCTTCAAATGGAAATTCGCAAATCACATCAGAATTGAGAACAAAAAATGGATCATTGTCGCCCTGAAGATGATCACGTGCTAACGCCAATGGGCCAGCTAAATAGCATGAATAAATTACAATTTACAACGAAGAGATGTGAACGATTATCTGACCTGTCCCTAATGGTTCTGCTTCTTGAGAAAGAGTTATTTTAATATTCAAACGTTTTGCTTCGACTTCCATTTCTCGTTGAAGCATGTCCGAGAGATAGCTAACCGCCAGAATGACATGGGTTACACCAACCTAAACAGACGAATACTCGATTTCTATAAATAATTGAGTGAAACAATGGAGTATATACTTGAGCTAGAGCTTCAATTTGATGTAAAACCATTGGTTTATTACAAAATTCTACTAATGGCTTCGGTTTTGTCAATGTTAATGGCCGCAAACGGGTACCATAACCACCAACAAGAATAAGTGCTCTCATGTTCGTCGAATGATGTGATACAAAAATGAGAAAATTTGTCTGAAAATGACAAAACGGATCGATTTAAGCAGCTCGATAAATACTACAATAGCAGAGATGAAATCTTCATTTGCTATTCAGAAACTTTTGTCAGCTGATCTGCCTTACTTTCCTCATTGACTAATAATTACTTAACATACGATGTGAAATTCGTTTTTTTCTTATTTTGATCGGACCCACACTGCAAAGGAGAACAAAGACCACCCGTATTCTTTTTCTGTGGCTAGTTCTTCCCGACTTACAAGACATTGACAAGTAGTCAAATCATAGAAAACGAAGTATTTCATGCCTATAATGACCGATTATAGGTGACATCTTTTGAAAGATCCGAAGTTACCACAGATTGTATGCAACCGTTTCTCCGAAAAATCTGCTTGTTATCTTGTTTATGAATATGAATTCAGCCATTGTTAATCGATGAGATTTATTCGCCTAGTAAAACATAGAAAAACAAACAATTGGTATAGTTCACCGTTCAATTTGAGGCGTAGAAAAGACTAGGAGAATATACAAACGAAGAAGAAAACGCTTCTGGAAGACGATCCATTAGCGCACTCGATAGAAGGAAAATGAGACTATTTGTTTTTTCTTTATTGTTCGCATAGACACAGACACGCACACACAAATACAAAAAACTATCGCCGTTGCATATTCTGATTACGCAGGAAGGGTACATGTGATCTGGTACATTTGTTGGCATAATGACTAAACGAAAAGAGAAGAACAGTTTTAAAAGGTAAGAGAAGAAGTGATCTTTCTTACCCTCTTTCACCGCATTTGAAGCAAGTGACATCGTGCTGGAACGGTTGTGACATACCCATCGTTGGTGGATGTTGCTCATCAGTCGCATGATGGTTTGCAGACTGGTGAGATGCTCCTCCATCTTGTTGATGATTGTAATTCTGATTTTGACCATACGGCGGTCGATTATATTGTTGTTGAGGGTGAGAATTATTTGATGGCATGTTAAGGTATTTTTGTCGTTCTTCGTATGGTAGTTTAAAACATGATGATGCTTTATGTCCTGTTTCGTGACAATAATCGCAAACGAAGACCACTTTACGTTGTACCGGAGTAAACTCGTTTGCATTCGGTAGTTCAAAACTCGGATGTGATAAAGTACACTTTGGTCCCTCAGGACAAAATCCACAAAGATAATTCTGACAGAGAACTTTCCGAGTGTGGCGATTTTTACAATTCGGCCCATGACGACAGAATCCTCGATCATACCAAGGACAATCTAACGTAGAAGAAATGAACTTCTAGACATGACACAATGAGACATTGTTTTAAAACATACCACGTATCTTCGATTCTGGATCCAAATGAAGAAATGCACATTCTTTATTCAAACATTGTCCGTATTTCGAAAAGAAATAGCACTCAGGCATTTTGGCCATGTCATATTCATGGAGAAATTCACAATCATNTGCAAATTGTAACTGAATTCCATCATGTTCAGAAAATTTCCAATAAAGAATGGGTAAGAGAGATATGTGTGAATGTACATGATGAGAAAAGGTCGTGAGTTGATTGTTTTTCCTTGAATTGATATGTATGTATGATTGTCTGTGTCCTACATATTAACATCTAATTGCATTCGACGATGTGCTTTGTTCATCAAGCGTGATATGTGTGTACTTGTTCGTACATTGTGTATGTCTATTGACCATACAAGCTCGTTTTTATTTTTAATCAACCAACTGAGTATCGTCATCAGAGTGGCACTCTTAACAATGAATAACGGTGAGAATGATCACTCGATTTATGTACTTGAGTAGTCTACATTGGTAGAGAGAGCCGGAATAATTCCTCGATATTTGTATAGTCTATACAGTCGAAGTAACAGCTGACTACATTATTCCGCTCAATTCACCAGTCTCAAAGCGCAAGTTATTCGTTCAAATCATTACGTCAGTGTCATATGCTTTTTTTTGCGATTATTTAATGATAAGAAGAGAGGAAAGAAAGATTCAGCTTACATTTTGCATTCGTTAGTAATCAGGTGCAGTGAACATCTGTGTGAATCTTTAGAAAAGAAGATAATATGTTGTTACATCATTGTATATATGTCTTTTCCTTATTCATTAGTTTTCACAATTGAATGTGACACAAAACGAAGTATAATTTGCTTTTAATATCTTAAAGAGAACTAAGGAACTATCCTGATGAATGAAATGGCATTTTCTGTTGTTTCCTCTTCTTCGTCTCCCTCGCTCTCTCTCTTACTCAGTAGGTCTGCCTTTCTCTTTCATTGATAAAAATTCAATTTAGTTTGTTAAACATACGCATGTGCTGGTTATCATGGGAAAGCTACGAGCTGCTATTCTCTCCTAATAAAAGGTTATTCTCATAGTCATTATTAGTGCTTCTTGTTCGACATGTTCATATGCCACAAGTCATTCTCTTCCGGGTAGTTCTGAGCGTGGCTGTTATTATCCTCCCACTGTGCTTCTTAGTCATCGTTTGAATGATGATTATCGTCGACTAATTGTATATAGATGTGAACAGAGAAAAAGAAAAACAGCAGAGAGAGAGAGAGACAGAGAAAAGAGAAAATAAGCACAACCAGCGCGCCTGTTCATCAACGAGTACGACTTACAACCATCACCAACCGTGTCGGGTATTGTTCGCACGTCGGGTAAAGATTTTCTTTTTCTTCTAGTAGTCATCCCAATCGTGTCTATCTAATTATAAAGTTGAGCACGTCACCTGAACAATACCTTTCACGAAAAGGTTTGTTTATCGATTTTGAATTATAGATTGCATCTCATTAATCAAGCATAAGAAATACGCTTGTCTTTCTTGATCAAATGTCATCATCACTGATGTGTAGACTGTCTTCATACATTTGATCGGTTTAACACTATGACGAGATCGAAGTGATAATCATTTTGAGATTTTATGTAAATATTTTTGATTCGATCGACAGAGATGATAGACTCGTTATTGAAACGGACGTGACTTTTGCCTGACAAGCGTTCAACCATTAATAATAACACTATATTAGTTCAATCGTGAACTATTAGGCTTTTGTACATTGAAACAATAGACACTTACTGTTATTACCCTGCTTGATAAATGCATATATGGATTTGTTCTTGTTTCATGTTTCCTAATTAAAACATCGTTGTTTTATTGCCGAACATCGAGCAATCTTTCTTTTGATCTAGTTTGTCGAGAGATTGAGAGAGAGAGAGAGAAAGAGAAGATGAAGCGACTTAACCCTCGAGCAAGTGAGTACGGACATGTATGTTGCGCAGTCGTGTCATGTTATCACATTAAGACATTATGCAAGTACAACATCTTTGCGTTACTAGTAGTGCTGCAATCGAAGATAAATGTCTTATGTTTACTGACTATTGCGAATAACTTTATACAACCTTTGTCACATTTTCAGATATATTGGTGATGATTAGAAACATGTTCAAAGTATTCATATACGCTATAGTATTGGTCCAAGTAATTCATTCACTGGAATTAAGTAAGATTATGACAAGATTTTGTATTTGAAATCTAGCATTCTGTCATAGAGAAACTATCAACGTGCCAAACGGCATTGGGAATGCAATCGGGCTCCATTCCTGATTCGGCTATTTCAGTATCGAGTAGTTACGATGTAAACACCGTTGGACCAAAGGCTAGTCGGTAGGTAGCTGATGTTTTGCTGAATAGATCTGTTCAATAGATTATTTTCCAGAGCTCGAACTGAACAGTATGGAGGCGCATGGTGTCCAATGAATCAAGTAACATCTATATCAAGCGAATGGTTAGAGATCGATTTCGACAATTTAACCTATTTGACACAAGTCGAAACGCAAGGTCGTTTTAATAACGGTCAAGGAAAAGAATATGCTGATTATTATATTTTAATGTACACGCGAATGGATAGTACAAAAAATGAGGAAACAGTTTGGATGGAATATAAACCTAGAGGTGAACAGAAGAATTCAACGTGGATACGCGCCAATCAAAACACTTATATGGGAGAAATTCGACAGCTAGGTAAACACTTCTTTCAATTATGATGTTTGCGATTATAAAACTGTTTATTCAGATCCGCCAATTGTAGCCAAACGTCTTCGTTTTTATCCTGTTAGTAAACAAAGTCGAACTGTATGCATGCGTGTTGAAGTGTAAGCTAAACAAACCTCGATGTTACCTTTCCATCGCATTTTTCCCATGAATTTTAGTTATGGTTGTTTATTTTCTGATGGTATCGTTTCATACGCCATGCCACAAGGCCGCACAGATGTAAATTCGTTTGGTGATGACACTTACGATGGAAAATATCTTCGTTCGAAGAAAATGTTAATCAATGGTCTCGGTAAATTATCGGATGGTATCACTGGTACCGAGGACATATCAGTGATTGATGGTCGTCAACCTTGGATTGGTTGGTCGAATGACACAACAAGTAATTTCATCCGAATCAAATTTCAATTCGATACCGTTCGACAAATCAATCGAATGACAATCCATACGAATAATTTATTTTCGAAGGAAATCTTGATATTTCGAAAGGCTATTGTTTCGTTCTCGATTGACAATGAAGAGAAAACTTATTCAAATTCAGTTATTTATCAGCATAATCGTGATGATATATTCGAAATCGCTCGTCCGATCTTAATTGAATTGAATAATCAAATTGGCAGATTTGTTCGATTAGATTTATACTTTGATTCCAAATGGTTACTGATTAGTGAAATTACATTCGATTCACAGATTTATGATCCGAAAAGCGAAAAGAAGGCTGACTTGAAACAACAGTCTCTCCCAAAAACGCTTACCAGCGAAAAAGACTTGCATAAATATCAAAGAAATACTCAACAAACGAGAATAGCATCTACCGCAACACCAGTCAATTCGAAAATGAATATTCCAACAGTGATCACTGTTGAATTGTACTTGGCATTTCTGACTGGTGCACTAATTGCTATTGGTCTTTTACTATTTGTCTCATTACTATGGATTATTCGACGAAAGAGAAAACTACGATTTCAAAAGTAAAACATCACCCTTACACCCTCATGTCTTTCATTTTCTTTCGTTTAGATTGACGGAAAAGCCAGGTAGTAATTCATCATGTTATACCTATCCGACATTACCTGTTCGTGAATTTTACGATTTGAACGCACCGATTACAAACTCAGGTGATGACCGTGATTATGCAGTACCCGATATGAATTTCTATTCGACATTTTCTCCTGCACATCATATCTATACTCCTCGTTTGCTACGAGCATCAGCACTAAATCCATGTCCGACATTAAAACCAACCTCATATTGTTGTTTACATCAACAGCAAGAACATTCGTATGCAACCGCATGTCAACAAGTTTTTCCTCCTGTTGTTCAAGACATTTCATCGATTGAAGCGACATGTGGCAATAGTTTAATGATTCAAATGAATTCCATGGGAGAAAATCACCAGATGTCAATGCAGGAAATCACTAGTGATCAATTAGTTTTCATTGAGAAAATTGGAGACGGACTATTTGGAAGTATTCATATCGCTGAAATGAGCAATGATACTGATAGTGAAAAACGAACGGTAGTGATAAAAGTGCTAAACGATAATGTTGCTGAAGATAAAAAGTACCTTGTATTTTATTTCATTATGAAAAATATTCTCATTTTCGTCTGTATTTCAGAGCATCGTTTGCAAAAGAAATTGAATTGCTCTCAACATTGAAGAATCCAAATGGATGTGCTCTTCTAGGTATTTCAAATTCACAGAAGATGATGGCGATATTTGAATATTATCCACTTGATCTATACCAGTATCTTCGTCAACAATCGATACCATTGGATAATTGTTCGGCATCGAGTTTCTTACTTTCATTAGCCTGTCAGATTGCAGCTGGAATGAAATATTTATCATCTCTTCAGATCATTCATCGAGATTTAGCAACACGAAATTGTCTCATCTCACCATTAAACCATCAATTACGTCTGACAGATATCGCGATGATCAAGTCGGAGTATTCAAACGATTATGCACAAATTGGATTGCATCAATCACGTATTCCAATACGATGGATTGCACCGGAGTGTCTCTTCTTGAACGAATTCTCACTGAAATCCGATGTTTGGTCGTTTGGTGTCACACTTTACGAATTATTCACCTATGCACGTCAACGTCCGCACCACTCATTAACAAATGAACAATTAGTACAACAATTCGCTTCTCTTTTTCAAACCCAAATGTCGCTACTGTCGAATGCAACCTACCTTCATCTACCCAAACCAGAACTATGCTCCAAAGAAATCTATGATATGATGTGTGAATGTTGGCAACTCGATGCTCTACGACGACCATCATTTTTGGATATTTCGACGTTTCTTCTGGGTAGAGCATCAGGCTCAACTATATTAATATCGCCAGGATCGTAAAAACCAACTTCAGGATTATTTATAAATACAACTTTACTTTGAACTGGATCTTATTTTTGTTTTCTGTTCAATCTCTCAGTCAATTATCGATGTTCGACATCGAGTGACATCTATCGATAGTAGAATATCTCATGATACGATGTTTTTTTTCTTCATTCTGTAAAATCAACAATAAATATTGACGAATAAGTAAGAGACTTCATTCCCATTCTCGTTGTGCGGCAACAGATGATCGAAAAACTTTTTGTCATGTTCATTTGGTTCTAATCGGCATGGGTAATCATCATTCAGTCAAACGTGAATGTTTACACGAAGCCATTCGACGAAAAGATGTGAAAAAAATCAAACAAATCGTCTATAATAGTGACAGTGACTTCATCAAAAACGATTTTAAATCTCTCGAACTTGCAACACTTTACAATCTTACCGAAGTCGTTGAACTTTTACTCAGTCGTGGTTGCGTACCAAGAGATAAACGAACAGCACGTGCATTCGATCTTGGTAAGAGATCTTGTCTAACAAGAATTACCTCTCACGAAAACAACGCTTCTTCATTTAGCTGTTTGGAAATGTCACAAGGACATAGCGACGATGTTTTTGAAAGCTGGTATTGAATATCGAGGAAGAAATCAGTTCAATGAAACCATCTTATTCGTCTCTGCTTGTGGAAATAATTCAACTTTAACCGAAATTCTCATCGAAGGCGGTTGTGATCTGAATGAATGCACTCGCAGTTGGACAGCGTTGCATGTCGCTGCAGCCAGAAATCACGACGAAGTCTTACGAGTACTCGTTAAACATGGATGTGATCTAAATATACGCGATCGAGATGGTAAATGCAAAAAACTATTTCGATTGAATAGCTGAATTTGCTTTGTTTAGGTTTCAATGCCTTGATGTTGGCGATATTGAACGAAAATTTAAGAAATATCAAATTTCTTGTTCAATGTGGCTGTTCTATTAACATTGAAGAACTCTATTCGACGCCGTGTCTTGCTAAACAATTGACGAAATACCCTGAAATTGAACGTATTCTTTGGAATGAACGTACCCGTGCTAAAAATCTCAAAGAACTATGTCGTCTTCGAATACGTTCAGCCTTAGGTCAACGTTCATGGAAGAAAACGTCTTTATTACCACTACCAACTCGTTTGAAAGATTATATCGCATTGAAAGAACTGTTCTCATCATGTGAAGATCAACAACAAATGACATTAAGTCGATTACCACGCACGAATCTTCAAGCAATTCAATCATAAATAGTCATTCTTTTGCTAATCTTTTTTTTCAAGACACACTTGCTCTTCTGTTCGGCCTAGTCATGTACTGTGTTGTATATTCAGATTGTTTTTGAATCTTTTCGCTCTTTATTCATATATGTTTACCAATGGAAGGACGGCTTTTTGTCGAGAATATAAATAATGGGTATCATGTAAATGACGATCAGGTTATGCACTTCAGATACAGTTATGTCTATTGCGTCGGCAAGATCGCGTCGGTCGTCGGCTTCTACTATCAATTCGAAAACATCGAAACCACCTCCTTCTGCTACTCCTCTGCAGGTGATGATAGTGTGCTTAGTCGATTTTGTATTTGACTTTACGTTGTTCAGAGTCTTCAAATCGAAAACGAATCGCTTCGTCTAGAAATTCTTTCCTTGCAAAAGATTCTCGAAACGCCAGTTGATGAGAATCGTCGTTACACACATTTCCGATATCAGATTTACTCACTGGAGAAGCAAGTTGCGCTATTGACGCGATTACTCGATGCCAAACGAGAAGCAGTGGCAACATGTGAAACCATTCTCATCGAGCTCAATCAATTTCTCGAGTGAGAACGATGAAAACTTGCTAATCATCTACTTTGTTTACATAGAAATCTAAAGGATAAAATTCATCGAAAAGAAAATCTCGAGGAATCGCTGGTACAATCATGGATTGATCGAATTGAAAGTAATCGAAAGAAATCGTTCAAATCCATGCAGGTAAAATCTCTTCAACCTGACTTATTCCTACATGATTTTCATAGGATCATGCAAATCTATCAGATAATGATACACTATTCGCTCCGAATAGTTTGAAATATGTCAATCAAGCACCCATTCATCTACTAGATATCTGTTCGGGAAAGATCGAGCATCTGAATTTGAAAAATATTGTAAAACAACACTTTCAACTTCACGCATATGAATACTTCGTTCTTATAGGCAAATCTAGAAAGTTCATTGTACAATCTTCATGCTGATCTTCGCACATTCCAAAATGAATTACTCGACCGAACGAATCATTCCATTTTCCCCAATCTCAACAACGATCTAATTCAACATTCCAAAGAACTCTGCAAAAAAATCAATAGTACAACCAACGAACTTTTCTACCTGTCCATTCTTGTGCCAACTCGAGTGACTATCCAACTAAAATTTCCAGATAGTCGCAACTGTTTTCGTATTATTTCAGCATCAAAAATGTACATTTGACTCCGAACAAATTACTACAGAATTTCTCTGCCAACGAATCAATTCTCAATTTCGCTTATCGCCCAATATCAAACTTTACTTACAATCAATCTTCAATTCGCTCGTCTCTGCATTTAATCATGAGATTTATCTGTTGAAAGCGGAACTGAATATGAAAACTCGCCAATTATCTTTCTATCGGCATTCTTTGACGAAAATTCATTGTCAGTATATTCAAAATCTCATTCAGATCTTATCGACCGGTCAACAATCGTTCAATAAACAATTACAAACAGTTCTCTACGAACCATTAGTAAACATTATGAAAGAATTCAACAAAATGAATGATGAAAAAAGCGATGAGTCCTTGAAATCATTTTTATTTACATTCAAAATTCACGTTGATCAATTCAATGAAATTCTCCACGATCTTTACCAACAGATCACCGATGGATCGAAAGCAACTGAACAATTGTTCATGGAAACCAATGAGCAAATGTGGCGAGATATCGAGCAACAACAAAAACAATTAATTGACGAAGTCAGCTCGATCAAGCACGAGAACAGTTCTCTGAATGATGTAATGAATCTATTGCGCATGTCTGATTTTCAGAACAATGTTTGATTCGTAATAAATTTTTCTGTGAAAGGTAACTGTTTATCTTGTTGACGACTTTTTTATCGCATAATAAAGTCACTCAGCGGCGCGACGAGAATGTTTTGAAACTTTTTCCAACTTACGCAGGAAAAGAAAAACATCAACACGATTAGACGCGTGCATGCTGTGTGTGTTTCTAAGACAAATAAAAAACGCAGCGTCGCCGAATCGTTTGCAACAAAACGTAGCGATCGCACAGTTGTAAATGTATGCAAGATGAAAAGCTTTACTTGAATTGCTTGACTTTCGAAAATAGAAATGAGAAAGTCTATGTAACTCGTTTTTTTTAGATAATTACCCACCATGTTTGGCAAAAAACCAATAAGACACGATGATGACGATCAACATGATATCAACGCTCGTCAAGGACTTCTTCTAATTTGGCTAGATAGCAATTTTGATCCGAGAAGTTTCGAGCATATAACTTCAATCGCTCTGTTTCAACAAATTATTCCCACTGTTAAACCATGCACTGACAAAAAGCATTGTATGAGATATATTCAAAGCGCGCAAGAGTGTAAAATATTCTTGATTAGTTCCGGTTCTTTTGGCGAAGAAGTTGTTCCAAATGTTCATGATATGCCTCAAATCGATAGTATATTTATCTTTTGCGGCAATAAGCCAAGACATGAACAATGGGCTCGTAAGTGGTCTAAAGTTCGAGGTGTGTTCACTGAACCAATATCAATCTGTAAAGCTTTGCAAATGGCAATCGACGAATCCGAAGCTGCGGATATCCCGGTACATATAATGTCATCTAGTAAGACTCCTACGGATAAAAGTAAAGATACTCTGGATCCGATATTCATGTACACTAAAATTGCGAAAGAAATTCTGTTAACAATTCAATTCAATGACGAACAGATCAAGCAATTTACTGATCACTGTCGTGAACTATATGCTGATGATACTCACGAATTAGAGAATATCGAATGGCTTGAAAAAGAATATCGTGACCAAACAGCGATCTGGTGGTATACATGTGATTGCTTCTTATACCGTCTTGTCAATCGTGCTTTACGAGAAATGGATATGATGACTATTATAGAAACGGGCTTTTTTATTGCTGATCTTCATCGAGAAATCGAACAGTTACACAGCGAACAATATGGTAAACATGGTTTTAACAAAACTTTCAAAGTTTTCCGTGGACAGAGCATGCCTAAAGAAGAGCTGGCGAAGTTAACGAATAAACTTGGTGGTCTAATTTCATTTAACAAATTTTTATCAACTGGCAGAGATCGGCAAGCTGCTCTCCGGTTCGCTCATCATGGGTTTGGAAAGCATGGCTTCGTTGGAGTTCTGTTCACGATTATAGTTGATCCGTCTCAACCGAATCAAGTGCCATTTGCTTCCCTAGCCAACAATAGTTATTACACAGAATCAGATGAGATTCTATTTTCAACGCACACAATCTTTCGTATTCTTGATATCAAACCAGTTGATCGAGGTCAGCGCGTGTTCGAAGTAACTATGACACTTACCAACGATACTGATGAATCGCTCGAACAGCTCGCAGCTAGTATACACGAAGAGATGAATTCAATTCCAAATGCGTGGTGCAAATTAGTTCAATTATTGACTAAAATAGGCCAATTCAAACAAGCCGAACAAATGAGCTATAGACTTCTTCGAACACTGAAAGATGACTCTGAGAAAGTATATATTTACAAACAACTAGGGTCGATTAAAGCTGATCAGCACGATTACGACAAAGCATTAGAATACTATAATCGCGCTGTTGAAATTCAACACAGTATCCTCCCTTCAGATGATCTTCAGTTAGCATCCTCCTATGACAATATCAGTAGGATATATCAGAACATGGAAGATCATTCGCAAGCACTTTCACTATTGGAAAAAGCACTTAAAATCAAACGAAAGATACTTCCAGACGCTCATCTCGATTTGGCTTCTTCATATGAGAATATCGGTGAATTACATTCCAAGATGAACAATTACACAGAAGCATTGTCATATTACGAAAAAGCCTTAAAGATTCGAGCTAAATCTCTTCCTCCAGATCATCCTGATTTAGCAATAATGTACACGCGTAACGGTACGGCACTCAATCATATTGGGAAATACGAAGAAGCACTGCATAACTTTCAGAAAGCGCTTAACATCCAACAAAAGTTATTGCCTCCTAATCATCCCGATATAGCAACATCATACACTCATATAGGCATGACGTTCAACCATATGACCAATTATCAAGACGCTTTACATAACTATGAGCAAGCACTGAAAATTCAACAAGCAACTCTGCCTCCAAACCATCCTTTATTAGCTGCTTCGTATGACAATATCGGTTCTATATTTCTGAGTATGGGTCAATGGCAAGAAGCATTGGGTTCTTACGAAAAAGCATTGCATATTAAACAGAACTATCTTTCTCCTGGCCAACTACTTCCAGCTGCCGAATATTACAAGATTGGTATGGCATTTAGACATGCAAAAGACTATGAGAGAGCGCTTTCATTTTTTGAAAAAGCGTTGGAAATTCAACAAAAAGCACCGACTTCAGATGATCCCACAATTGAGGATTGTAACAAAAACATAGAGAAGATGAAAGCAAAACTACCATTGAAATTTTGATAGCTTGATTTTATCGAAAGCTTCAACATTCGACTCTGATTAGCATCAGTAGCTAGTGGAGTTTTTTTTTGTTTAAATAAATTCAATCTGAACCATGAAACAACAATGTTGACGAGACAGATCGTAACGGTTGGTAATTTGTTTCATTTGAACGAGCAAAGACACAATGATGACATGACATATCATAATCATTGCACATATATACCACGACCTTCTCTCCTTCGTTTTCTTTATGTAAAGAAAGATCATTCCATCCATCAATCAGCATTCGCCTTTCAGGTAGATGTCGCTCGACATCCTCATCGCATTTGTCATTAGGATTGGTTGACCATTTGACGAGAACGAAGAAGAACGAGGAGCCTTGAATACAATTCAAAGAAATCTGTTGTTTATTGTATTGAATCATCTGTTCGATTGCATTTCAGAGAAAAATTTCACCGAAACTTCACAATTAGATGCCAAAACGCGTTCACAGCGCCAGTGATCGCGATGATAGTGAGTCAACTGGTTCATCGAAACGAACTCGCAAAGTAGCTGATTTAGTACGTGATTCTCCGTATCTTTTCCTGTCCGAATTTCACCCTGTCACTTGTAGGCTGATGTTTGTCAAGAATTCTACAATGATGTACGAGCTCATAAAACTGAAGATGGAAGAAATCCATCGGAAAGCTTTATTCGACTTCCAAATAAGAGGTTTGTTGGAAAAGTTCATCTCGAGGAGCGTTTTTCAAGTTGTTAATTTAGAGCAAGCGCAGATTATTACAATTCAATAAGTGATCCAATTGATTTCACACAAATTCAACAGAAAATTCATTCTGAGGAATATACTACCTTGGAACAACTATACGATGATATTGAATTACTCATCAACAACGCAAAGAGTTTCTATCGAGTAATGAATCATTTTCTTGTTGACTTCTAGAAGTGATTTTTTTCTCTTTTCTCTAGAAAAATTCTAGTGAATGGAAAGATGCGAATGAACTATCGAGATACGTTTACTCGAAAACCAAATCCGAAACCATCGATTCTCACTATTTCGAAGAATTCTTCACAGCGATATACAACGCTCAAATCGATGATCGACCCATCACTGACATTTTCCTCTTCCTACCTTCACGAAAAGTAAATTCAACTCTTCTAAATCCTCGAAAACCTTTTCTTCTCGCTTTAGATCTATCCTGATTACTATTTAATAGTAACCAAGCCAATTGATCTAAAAATGATCGCAATGAAAATACAAAACAATGAGTACAGTACACTTGATGACATGGAGAATGATTTATTACTAATGATTGCAAATGCAAGGAAATACAATGACCCTAAATCACAAATCTACAAAGTAAATATATCACACAACAAAACTGCTGATTCGAGTTAACCTTTGTAGGATGCTTGTGCTTTGAAAAAGATCATAACCAATGTTCGAAATGAACTTGATTCTGCTCTCAAATCTCCTAATGATCGTTTGAGGTAAATCGAAAAGAGAGAATTTCAATTCCATAACTTCGATGTTTCTAAACTAGACTTCGTAAACGTGACGTTCTTCTATCATCGGAAGTAGCAAATATGGAATATCCTGAAGAGCCTGATGATGAAGAAATTGTTCCATCACAAACCGATGATGCTGACTCCGAAACGAGTTCACTTGGCGATGAAGATGATTTGTATAGAATTTTGTACAATGCTGTTCGATATTATAAACTTGGTGCTCAGAGCTTAATCGATCCATTTATGAAATTACCGAATAGGAGATTTCATCAAGATTATTACGAAGAAATTCAACGACCGATAGCAATGTCTGTTATTAAAAATCATATCAAAGTACGAATTTCAGCGAAAAAAAGATTCTTAATCGAGATTATATTTCATTTGTCAATTTAGAAAGGAAAATACACGTATTTAGATGATCTTGTCGATGATCTGAAACTGATGTTTGATAATGCGATGCAGTATAATCAAGAAGGATCGTTAATTTATAATGTAAGTCGAGTCAGATGACATTGGCAAATGTGTTGAAATATTTTGTTTCAGAGTGCCAAGAAATTACTTGATGTTACTTTACTCAAAGCTCATGAGCTTGGTTATGACGAACAAAAACCAAGGATCAAGGAAGCTTGTACTAATTTTCCAACGGTAAACATCAGTTTTATCCTATAATCAGACTTATTTGTATCTTTAGATCAATGTCAAAGATGAATATCGGGATTCACCAAGTCCGCAATCACCGAACGTAAATTAACGCAAGAAAAATTTTGACAGTGATTGTGATTGTTTTTATGTTTTAGTCACAACGAGGACGACCACCGAAGAAACCTGTTATCAAAACGACAGAACAGAACATTCTCGCGATTTACACTTACATCCGAGAATATCGAGTAAAAATCTTGTTGATCATTTTTTACTCATTAAATTCTCATGTTTTCATTAGGAAAATGATGTTGGACTCATTGCTCCATTCTTGGAACTTCCATCTGCGGAGGAATATCCTGACTATTATGAAACAATCGAACAGCCGATTGATATGGCTATGATCAAAGAAAAGATTGATAAAGGAATCGTGAGTTTAGTCTCGAACCTCAATTTAATGGATAAAGATGCGCTCTTTTCAGTATAAACGTGAACAGGATATAATCGATGATCTCAATCGGATGTTTAACAACGCTAAAGTTTATAATGTCGATGAATCCTATATATTCAAATACGCTGCTCGTCTCGAACAAGCCTTAACAACAAAATTCAAATCAATGGTTGTCAAAAAGGAAAAAACATCGCAATCACTTCCACGAATAATCAACAAACGGTATGTATGACACACCATTCTATTCATCATTTCTTCTCGTTTGATTTAGATCATTGAATTCCTTACAAGATAAAATCTCCTATCTAATTCAAATGATTAAAGCGTATACAGATCATCATGGACGAACTCTATCAACAGTATTTTTGACATTACCATCCAAAATCGACTATCCGGATTACTATGAAATTATTCACAAACCGATCGATTTGAAACGTATTGAATCACGGCATTATTCCTCGATTAATGAACTGTCCAATGACTTCAAATTGATGTTTGATAATGCATTATTGTACAATGAACCGGGTTCAGTGATCTATCGAGTAACTTTCGAATGACGTCATTTGAAAACACTTTCTAACGCTTACCATTTAGGATGCGTTGACTTTACAACGATTGTTTCTGGAGAAGAAACGTGATTTTGTACAGAATGAGAGCGTACAAACTCTTGTTTCTGAGCTACTGATTTGCTTATTCATTCGATTATTTAATTACGAGGTCCGAATGATTTTCCTACCGTTTCGTTTGTAATGTTCTTTATATATAGGATCAAGATGGGCAATATATTAGCGACTCATTTTCGGAATTACAAGAACAAGCAGAAAACGAACCGTAAGGCAAATCGTGAAATTGAAACCGAAATATTTGGAAATTCTTTTTAGATTTGATATTATCTACACATTCGATCTCATCCGGCAAAATCTTGATAAAGTAATCAATCGCACGAACGAAATGTTATCTTTTACTCTTTGTTTAGTATCGATATCGTCGTTTGGATGTTTTTCAAGACGATCTGTTCAAAGTATTCGAACGTGTGCGCAAATTAAGTTCAGCAACATCACCAGTAAATCCTCTTCGACCGAATTCGATTGACCATCTCCCATTCTATTGTAGGTTTATCAAGATTCGATTAAGTTACAACGTATTTACATTCGTTTACGAGATGACATCTGTCAACACGGCAGTTTACTTCGATCACCGGCACTTCTATTCAATGAAGAACGATTTCAAGAAGAACTTGTTCGCGAACGAACGGAGAAAAGTTCAACGACGAATACGAATAATCAGGACAGTAGCATCTCACCAACGAAATCATCTGATTCAGATGAGCAGAAAGTTTCGGTAAGTTCGAGCATTGAATGTCTCAATAAACTAAACATTCTCTCCTATTAGCCAAGCAAATTATCATCACCGATCGAGAAAAGTTCCCTATCCAAAGGTCAAACTTATTATCTGGGTGATTTTGTTTATATCGAACCATTCGACGAGTCTAGTGAATCTGTGATTGTTTGCATCGAATCATTCGAACGTAAGAATAACGAGGAATTCTTCAACGGCTTACAATTCGTTCGTCCTAATGAAACGTATCATACTCCAACACAAAAATTTCTTCGTCAAGAAGTGTTTCTCACTCAACCGATTGAACATATTTCCATGAATAAGATTCAAAGCTTGTGCTACGTTCTTCATGTCAAAGATTATTTCAAATATCAACCAGTCATCGATGAAAGCGATACGCCATTCTCCGATCAAGATGTGTATGTTTGCGAATCACGGTACAATGTGAAGACGAAAATGTTTAAGAAAATCAAGTGGTGGAATGTACCGGACAATAAACGTGTGAAGTTGATCCAACGCGAAGTTCCGCTGGAGAATATACGTATGCCATCAACATTGGTGCATCATCGATCGTCGACAATGGATACTGATGTGACAAATGTAGACATTATCGATAAAGCAAAAGAAATGGTATTGTATGATGCAGTTATCAATGATAAATTAAATGAAAATTCGTCGGTTCGACGAGATTTCTACGAACAAATTGTCTTCTCTCCAAACCGATTTTACAAAGTTGGCGATTTTGTCTACGTTACGAATGTCGAGAATAATAACAATAATGCTTTACAAAAACAATTTATCATTCGAGTGGATAAAATTTGGAAAGACAATGAGTAAGTTTCGTGAAATGTAGAGTTCTGATATTGAACGCTTTTCTTTCAAGTTCGTATTATGTCAGTGGACCGGTTTTCATCCAACCATCAGATATTAATAATCGAGAACAATTAATCATCACTTCCAAATGTTTCTATGAACGAGAAGTGATTAAACGCGATGGTCCGAGTACGCAGATCTCATTAAACAATATGCGAGGCAAATGTTCGGTGCTTTCTGTGAAACATTTCTGCACTCGTAAGTCCTATAGATTTGATTTCATCGAATAGAAAGATTGTTGGACGTTTTAGATCGTCTAACGGAAATTTCCGAATCGGACGTATTTGTTTGTGAATCGAAATATGTTAGTGAAGATCATAGTCTTCGTGCATTATCAAAACCATTGAAAGTAAGAAAATTAATTCAATCAGATCACGTTCATAGGAACATTTTCTTTCTATGTGAATAGAGAATATCGTTATCTTCGAAAGCAACAGCTGATGAAATTTGGACTTTCCGAAAGGAACTTTTACTTAAACAGGTAAGAACTCTCTTCATCGAATTGAAATTGATAAAACAAAAGAATGTTATCTGAAGGATACACCTGGCGGCTTAATGAAACTTGTTGACGAAGGCTCACCAATGGATATCGATGATCAATCGAACTCTGTTCTCAATGGTGATGATCATCAATCAAATTATGAGACAAGCAATAGTGGCACAAATCTGAATTCGTCATTTTCAAATCGTTATAGCAACAATCGAGTAAGAATTCGAAAAAACATGACAAGTTGATATTGAAAGAAATTCTTTACTTATTCAATAGAAGAGTAATCGACGTGTGTCAATAACTCGACCAGTCTCTGGTTATCTCGTCTTTGCAAGTGAATCACGAAAACGCTTAGTACGTGATAATCCAGGCATTCCATTTGGCGATTTGAGTCGAATTATCGGTGATCAGGTAAATTGCTTCAGACATACTATTGTTTATTTGTTTCGTCTGCATCTAGTGGAGGCGTTTGCCTGCGTTGGAACGCGACAAATACGAAGAAAAAGCTCGCGAACGAGCGAAAGAACAAGAAGCTCACGTTGTTAACAGTCCGATTGTTAACGAACCTCCACCGCGTATAGTCAACGGTCCAATAACCACGAATGGATATTATCCTAGTATAGACTTTCTTTTCTTAAAAGGAAATTTTCATCTGTCAATGATAAATTTAGATGTCCAACAACCAATCAACGGTATTCTTCCTGTTCTATTGAAAGCACCTACAACAGCTCCTGTTATGAATGCTCCTCCACGAGTGCAACGCGTGGCACATTCAGAAATGTATTCAAGATATATCGATCATTTGAAAACTGATCATCCATTTATATCTGATTGGCCAAAACAAATCAAAGCATCAATTGGTAATAATGGCCATATATCGTCACGACCGTTACCGACGCATTGGTTTATGAATAATAGCCCCGGTTTTTACAATAACACGTATGAAGCACTATGGTCAATGCGTGATAATATGTGGTCGGATGTAGTTCGTGTACGGAATGTATCCTCGGATGAATGGTAGACAGACATAAATGCATATTTTCTTTCTCTTATCTGAACACACTCATTCTACGAGTGATGTGAATATATAGTCCTAATTGTTCCTTACAGTAAATATATATATATCTATCTCTACATGGACTATTGTAGGATGTAGTTTTTTTTTTGTTTCGTTCTCTTCATGTTTATTTCGGCTTCTTGTCTGTATGTATTGTTAATTTCTCCTGAATCTATGTGTAATGATGAAAAACCTCTGCTTAGACACGCATCAGCAATATTCTTTGTTCTCTATCCGTGATACATGATGGGATATATTGTATGTCTTTGTGAATGCCTTTTTAAAAGAAATGTACAGACACTATTATGTTATTGAAAGAATATAACACATGATTGAAATGAAGATTCGATTGCGTGAATATCGATTAGGCTGATCTGGTCGACGTTTATTTGTGAATTTTTCATCAAAAGCATGCTGTCTTATTTATCTTTTCATTGAACATCGAAAGGAACAAAAACAATAAACAAACAAACAAACAAAAAAGTAATGCGCTATATATGGATGAACGAGAAGAAGAAGAGAAATGAGAGAAAATAGGAATAAATTTATTTCTGACGAAACAACAAGATATCGATCATAGCTTGATATTTTCCTCATCATAAAATCGTTGAATTGATAATAAAACGAAACTGACTTGTTTAGTTTTATGAAGGTGGTGGACCTGGTGGTAAAGGTGGTGCTGGTTGTTTCGATGGCTGACCATACATCTGATAAGCTGCTGGATAAGCAGGAGGTGGCGGGTAGGACATCTGGTTGTAAATTCCACCGTAAGCGTTAGCAGAAGATGATGATGAAGAGGACGATGATGGTGGTGGCGCATTGACTGCATTGGATTGAGATCTTTGATGTGAAGACATGCCATTGCCGTTCATTGATGACGATGCATAAGGATGTCGAGATTGTTCGTCCTAAAGTAAAAAGCAGTTTTTTTGTCAATAGTAAAAATCAGTGAGGAGACATACACGAGAATGTTCAGTCCGCGGTCGTTTATAGCTGCTGCTATAATTGTCATCAAACCGTGATGGACGTGGTGGTGGACTACGACTTCGTGAACGCTTATTGTTGAAACGACTAGGTCGAGAATTGCCATTGCTCGACATACTATTGCTGTAACCGCCTGCACCACGATTACCGTTCATACCATTTCTTCGATCGAATCCTGAAGAAGAACAAATGATTCTCTAATTGAAAACATCTCCTGATCGGTGACATACCGCCTCGATAACTGCTTCCATTACGATTATTATTGAAGAATTTCGTTCTAGCCATATCGTATAATTTTTCGTTGACATCTTGATTAGAATCTTTCAATAATTGGATTAATTCTTGTGCTTGTTTAGCATTCTCGCGAGTGAAAAAGCTATACGCGGTGCCCTTGGCACCCGAACGTGCCGTACGTCCAATACGATGGATATAATCTTCTGTTTGAGCTGGGTAATCAAGATTAATCACAATACGTACATCTTCCACATCTGAATAGACAAGAAATCGATTATTCAAACGTTCCTTTCCCTTCAGTCTTAGTTTCGAATTAGAGAAGAATCTGCGAGCATGACGACATCCAACTCCCAGTTGGGTTTTCTCAACAAAAAAGAATCCTCTCTTCCCTGTTTGTTTCTTCCAGTTAAAAGTTAATCTTATGATAAGCATGAGAGAGAAAAAGAAAAGAAAGGAAAAATAAAACATGAAATTATTACCGTGCTCTTAGTCCAAGATGTTCAACGACCGCCAATACTTTCATGTGTACGCATTGGTATCGAACGAGTATCTTACCAAATCCGTTCGAAGGCAATACGAGAACATAACTGAGCGGCACGCCGAACGTCGATTATGACTTAGCACGAATGTAATCAAATTTGCAAACGTCGTCATGTCACAAGACTTAAGTAGTCATTAAATACGCATAGGTTATTCTCTCTCTGTCTGCATTGCATGGTCAGTCAGCAATGACATGTGCAGGCACGCCTCTGCCCTAAAGACGCACCTGCAAAAATAGAAAGTCAGACAGAGTTGTGTCAATAAAATGAACTTGTTCAAATAAAATCACCTATGAGGATAACACATACCTAGACCACGAGCAGCAACGTCAGTTGCAATGAGAATAACACGAGGTCGATTGCGAAATTCTAGAAAGACGTTTAAAATGAGCGAACAAAGAAATGAATATATGAACACGAACCTTGTAAAACTCGATCGCGCTCTTGTTGACGTTTATCTCCGTGAATTGGAAAAACAGGATAACCAAGACGTTTGATGGTAAAAAAGAAATCATCTACGCGCTTCTTCGTTTGAGCGAAGATAATCACTTTACAATCTTGGTCTCGCATAACGGCTGCTAAAACTTTTGCTAACCTATTTAACGAAGAAATACACATTTATCAATCTATTTTCTTCTTGTTCAGAATAGATTCTACTTGGAGTCTTTTTCATGTTCTTCGCAAACATCAACTATTTGATGAATGTTCTGGTTAGCATTTAGAACAGCTTTGCCCAATGTTATATGAGTGCAATTTGTCATGAAATCTGATGCTAGTTTTTGTACTTCTTTCGGCCATGTTGCACTGAACATTGCAGTCTGACGGTCGGGCTAGAATGTCACGAAAAGAAAATGACGAAAACTTTCAATAGGATAATCACTCACTCGAATGCATCGAATGATTTTTCGTATTTGGGGTTCAAAACCCATGTCTAACATTCGATCAGCTTCGTCCAAGACAAGAAATGTTACCCGATCAAGATTAATTGTCTTCTCTCGGACAAAATCTAATAAACGGCCTGGTGTGGCGATACACACTTCAATGCCATAACGTATATCGCGTTTCTGTGGTGGTTTCGGTGCACCACCGTAAATGCAGACACTTCGGGAATTGGTTGCTCCGCAAAAATCGACGCCAACAGCTTGTATCTGCTGGGCTAGTTCACGTGTCGGTGCCAGAATAAGTACCAATGGATCACCTGATCGTGTATTCGATTGACCAGCAGCATGAATCAAAGCTGGCAACATAAACTAGAAGTAAAGAATTCGAAAATGATTTCGCAACACAGAAATAACTTCACGTACCGATAAAGTTTTTCCGGAACCTGTCTGAGCGATGCCAACAAGATCGCTTCCGCTTAATAAGATCGGCCAAGCTTGAGATTGAATAGGTGTAGGTCGGACATAACCAAGTTGACGAATGACGTTTTGTATCGAACCTAAACATCACATGATTATGACGAAATTACATGAAATCAATCTTACTAGGAAATTGAATTTCATCAAATGAAAGTATCGGCTTGGGTGCAAATCCGCGTATGGTCATTTCATTTTGTGTATAAAATTGATCATTAACATGCTATGACAAAACAAAGGAAATTAGTTGCATCGATATAAACAAATATCTACATACTTGTGGACGATTGGAGATCAGAGGTGATTCCGAATAAAAATTCTTTATGACTGGTGGACCGGGGCGTAATGGTGCAACTGTAAATGAGTCCAGATCATCTAGTAAACTATTTCCACCATGTCGATCACGGTCATTGCTTCGATAATTTCCTCCATGTGAACCTTAATCAACGACTTTGAAAAAAAATATAATAATGAGTTCAGATCTTACTTCTCGGCGGTCCGTAACTGCTTCCTCCGCGGCCGTGATAACTCATTTTATCTAAAAATGAATGCGAGTGATATTGGTTTATCTGTCCTTGAACAATGACGAAATCTATGTGTGGGACGGATATTTATTTATTTCGAAAGAAACCATTGGACCGGTCTATTGATATTATTTATGAGGGATATTTTTTTTATTCTAAAATATTTTTTATAAAAATCATTTCAGATTGAAATTATTGTGAGAAAGAGACTTTACCATTTTATTTTTCCTACGAGCTTTTATTGTAGTGTCGCCACATGTTCGTGACTAGTGGCGCTACATGAGTGCATTTGTCCTTTTTATCTCACAACCACAAATGGAATTCCCTCAGCTAGGCCAACATTGTTCGGCTAAAACATGTAATAAACTAGGTAAAACTTTCCAGTTTCTGAACCTTTTTTTTTCATTCAATCTTCTTTAGACTTTCTGCCGATGAAATGTGACGCATGCAATGCTATTTTGTGGTAAAGTCTCTTCATTTTGTCCTTCATTGTCTATCATTCGTCTTCATTTCTTAGTAAAGATCATATAAAATATGATGAACATCAATGTTCGTCAGCATATCGTAAAAATGTTCAAATTCCCGTCTGTCCGCTCTGCAATCAACATGTTCCATACGAATATCGAGATCAATCGCCAGATCGTGCTGTCTCTGCTCATATAGATCGTGATTGTCAATCACGTAAACGTGAAAAAGTCTATGCGAACAAATGTTCTGTTGCATCATGTAAACAACGTGAAGCTATTCCAGTTAATTGCGAGAAATGCTCAAAAACATTCTGTTTGCGACATCGATTTCCTGACGATCATAGATGTCAAGGCTTCCAGCACCAATCGCCAGCGAAACAGAAGTATTGATCATCAATTTTATAGCGAAAATGAGTTCGTATTGTTTAGGAAACAAGAGGATGATGACTACATGTTCGCTAAAGCATTACAAGAAAGTGAACGACAAGAATTGCAGAGAATTCGTCGAAATGTAAGTGTAAAAATGCCTAACGGGATCGATTTATGTGGGTTTTTAACCTTCTTGTAGCAAACGACTTCAGCGGCAGCAACTGCGAATACTAGCGCATCTTCGACAGATAATAAAAGTTGTTGTGTTCAATAACAGTTTTCTTTTTGTATTTATACAATTTGCTTCCATGCGGACTTTTTATGAATTTCTTCTTGAATCTCAGTAATTTCAGATAGAACTATGGACTTTGGTGAACCATCACCGGATATTATCGCACGATTATACAAAGAGATTAAAGAGAAAAAGGTTTCGAAAAGAAAATTAGTTTTGCTGAAGCGAATGATTGAATATTTTTAGATTCTTGAACTCGATTGGAAAAATCCAGGCAAGAAGAATCGAATTAAGAAACAGAAGGTCGACACGCATATCAATTCAGTCAAGTCAGATGAATCGTCGAATTCGAAGAATGAAGATAACAAGTATGAGTGACAAATATTTTTCTCTGCTAAGCATTGTTTTAAAACTTAGATTAGTGAACGAAATCGATGAATTTGATCATGATGATGCTTTGAAGTCGAATAACATTACCGTCTCTTCATTTCGTTCTGCTGGTTTGTAATTCTCATATCAGTAACTTTTGAAAAACACCCTTCTGTTTAGTTGGTAAACCAAAACCCAATGAAAAACGACTGATCGATATGAATACAGTCATTGCCAATATTGAACGACAGCAACAAGAAGATGAGCGACTTCGGTGAGAAGACTAACAAGAGACAGAGAGAGAGAGACAAACTGTTTCTATTCGACAATATGTTTGTTTATTTTCAGACAGGTTATGGATACATCATCGGATGACAAAGCTTGAATTATTCACATACGTTATGTATAAATTGTACATCATTGCTGTTCCTCTGTTAATTTCAAATATCTCCAATAAAAATGTTCAGATTTAAGATTCCTTCAGCCATTTGTGAATGGACGCAAGTTGTTTCAATTCATCCATACTGACACGATACTCATCGGATGTCACATTATATTCCCAAAGTCTAGCTGCAGATGTTCGACCGTGTGCACAGATAAATGGCATTGAACACGATTTCAGTTCGTCGAGAAGATGTTGACATTCACTTGGTGATAAAACATCGTTGAATTTGATGGCATTGTGACAAGCTAGAGATTTTAGAGCATCGTACATGATTAGTTTCGATTGATTGATTGTGCTTAGAAGGATGTTGGTGATAGTGTCGTAGATCAGTTCGTTGAGAAGAGATGTTCTGGTGTGACGTTGGCCAAGTGAAGGAAGCCAACCAGGAACGGCTCGAACAAGAAGATTGTGAGTAGAAAAAGATGAAAAGATAAAACCGGTACGTTCAAGCAAAGAGATTTGGTCGGATGCGTAAAGAAATCGTGGATTACGAGGGATGCTAGTTGGTTCGGAGAGATAGAATGGAACTGATTGAATATTCTCTTGGTGAAAATGGTTTTGAAGTCGTTCAAGAAGAATACGTTCGGAAATGGCGTGTTGATCGAATAGAATTAACTGAATTCGTTTCGTATTCGTTGAATCGTGACTGACATGCTTTGCAATGACGAATTTACGATCGAATTGACCAAGAAAACAAGCCTGATGAAGAGTTTCCATACTCATTGATTTCTCTGATAGGATTTCTCGAACATTCAATGCTGGTGGATAGATTCGTGCGGGTAAATTGTTACTGACAACTGGAGATTGAATATCAGATGATTGCTGCAAGTTTTTCTCTGTAATTTGAAATGTCTGACGAACATTCAACGACAGACAAGGCTTAGAACGTTGAGATTTCGACCAATAACGTCGTTTTGATTGCAAAAGCGTCTGTTTATAATAATCAGTACGAGACTGTTCAAGACTTAATCGTTGTCGTTTGTGATACAATGTTTCCTGATGTTCATTGGCTTTGTTGAACATAGTCCGTGCTGCATAATATCGTTCCAGAATAGGATTCTTCTCCGTCGACATGTTATCCGTTGTTAATGTTTGATTTCAAAATTCAAATCTCGATGAACGTTAGAGAGAGAATCATCGTACGTCAGTTCCAAATATAACTATTTTATTTATCACTTCTGTTTTCTCTTGAACACACGCACACACACACGCGCAGATGGGTGAAATGAGATTACTTGTTAAATATCAAACAAATCTAAGCGAGAGAAAAGTGGATTCACAGGAAAGATGCTACAATTTGGAAGAAAAAGTCAACTACAATCGGATCCGTTCTTGTTAGACAAGAAAAATAGAAATCTATGTTTGTCGAAACATGCCCAGATCGCGATCAGCTGCTTGGATTTCGTCAAGTTTTTTACTGAATATTTTTAGAAGTTTGCCAGCAAATTCTTCTTGTGAAACGAGTAATTTCGAGACTTTCTGACGAATCTTATCGCTTTTATCAGCTTGATCATCTTTCGGTTGACCCTAAACATTCCGTAGAAATACTTTCACAAGGCAAAAAAAGACGAATCTTACATGAAAACTATCTTCGGTTGTCGACATGATTTCATCCAGATCATCCTGAGTGAGATTTAGAATTTTACTTGCGGTATGTAGAGCTGTATCATAACCAGGTAAGGTTAACGACAGCGATTCACGGTGTTTTTGGTGTTCGCGTGCTCGTTTAATCGAATCCTTCATTTCAGAACTTCGTCGAATCATTTCGTGTAAAAGACCCTAGAAAAAAAAATCGATATTTTTTCTAGAAAGTTTGAAAAGAAGGTTTGTTTTTCGTGTATTACAATGGTAAATCTTTCATGTTCATTCAAAGATCGTCGTGTTCGATCTAATTCAATCGATAACTTATTTAATGTCTCCTGATTCTTGTTGTCTAATGTAATCATTTGCTGTTCAGATAAACGACGAGATGTAAGAAGTTCTTGATTCAAATGTTCGTGATTTAAACGGTATTGTCGAAGTTGTTGTTCGTTCAAACGATGTTTTGTGTGAAGATCGTCATATTTGCTTTTCTACGGAGATAGAATACATAAAATTCAGAATAAATTCGAGTCAGATGTACGTACGAGACTTTGATGTTCATCGAGAAGTTGTGCATAACGTGCTTCTGCTAATTGTTTATCCCGCGTGATGGCTTGTAAACGATTTTTATACGACTCAAGCTAAACGAAGAAGATTAGTGACTGAGAAGAAAGTAACAAAGAACTTGCTTACGGAAACTTTCAATTTCTCCATTGCTTCTGTTAAAGATTTTACTCGTTCCTCATCATTCTATTCAAATAAACATATTTTGCGAAGCATTGAAGAACAGAACAGACATACTTCATGTGGATTTCTCTCCTGCGCAGTTTTGACTGTAGTTTCCATATCAGATAAACGTGATTTGTAGCTTTCGATTAATGTTCGTTTACTTGCAATGTCACGTTCTGTATGTGTCAGCCTAATAATCAAATGTTCATAAACTAATGTCAAAATTTCCTTCGATATACTTTTCCGTTAATGATTGCAGGTTTTTCGTTAATGTTTCATTATCTTCTTGTAAAGTTTTGTTTTGCTTTCGTTGCCGTGCTGCATCGAATGACGTATTTTTTAAACGTGTGTATAAATTATCAATAGATTCACTATTATCGGTACTACTCGAATCGAGACGTTGATGTCCACGTATCGGCAACATCGGCTGAAAAGTATGTTCAGTTTTCAGACGATCGCAATCGTTTGTTAATCTCTATGACATACATTGAATGAGAAGATTGTGAGAGATGAATTACTATACCTGATTGGTATTTTTCAGCATATTAACTCGATTGTTAGCGGTTAATAAACGTTGATTTAGTAGTTCGTTCTCTTCTTTAGCATCCAACAAATTCATTTGAAGTTGTTCCATACGTTTACGCATTGTCGTCATCTAAATGACATGTACATTAGTATGATTTCTATTAGAGCAGAATCCGTATACTCGTGTGAGTGATTTTGGTGCTGTTGGCTTCCGCGTAAGTTGTGTATATGGTTCTCGATGAAATGAAGTCGACAGACGAGCATTCTTTTTCGATGAACTATCTGAATTATAGAACAAATTTATGTAGAAATAAGAAATAAAGACCATTCAAAATACGAACATGTTTTCTTGCATATAGATGGTCGTTTTTTGCGTTTCATGAGAGAAGATTCGGTATGATAATTACAGAGACTGCAGGCATGACATCGAGGTCGTCGCCAAGTTTTGGGTGATGAGACTCGATAGAGTGTTGGCGCTTCTTCAGGAAAATGCACTGGAACACCTCGTGGACTTGGATTTTGATCCAATAAAATTTCTAAACAAGATGTGCTGGTTCTCTTTTTTACAGCTCGTTTCTTTTTGATTAACGACGGTGCAATGGTATTCTTCTTCGTTGTTAATTGGTTATTTCGTTTCAATTTATGGATTTGATCTTGCAATGCGAGAATTCGAAGTTTCAGTTTCTTCGTTTCTCCTCCCGTTTGCGTTCGTTGCTGAAGAAGATGTTGTTTTTCGTCAATACAAAGATCGAGATTGGTCTTCAAGCGTTCCTGTTCGAATAGTAGGCATGTTCGTTCAGTTTCGAGATCATATAACTTTTTATCAAGCTCTTCGATCAAACGTTGTTGATCATCATTCGATGTGAGTACGGTTGGAGAAGGTGGTTTCATCCGCAATTGATCATCTTTATCATTGAGCAATTGAATTTCATTGCGAAGTTCGCCAATGACGATCGTTTGCTCATTGATTTCGATTTCTTGTAAATCGATCTTCTCTTGTAAACTGACACTAAGAAATGAAACCGATTATGCAGGAAAGTACGAATGATTGTCTTACTTTTCGTTTACTAATCGAGCATTCTCTCGTCTTAACTTGGTTACTTCATTCCAAACATTGTCATCGTCTTCGTGTTTGAGTACCTTTCGATTTGCACCTGTTTGTCTTCGTCGTCGTTGTTCATTGCAAACAGAACACCCGATTTTATTCTTTCGTATCGCTCTGCCGTAAAAATAATCATTAATGCAATTTTTTTGTAATGCTTCTTCATCTGTATAAGATTGTAATTCATCTTTCACAGATCGATACTGTTTCTGTAAATGCTTTAGACGTAACCAGCGTTTATCATGAACTTTTTTCAAAGTCGCAATTTGATCATCACGTTTGACAAGTAGTTGTTGAACATTGGCTAAACGATCAGTCAACGTATGAATTTTCTTTTTTAAGTATTCCGTATCCAATGGAGACGATGTGGGAGAGACATCGCGGACGGGAGGAGATGGACGACGTTTCTTTTGCGATGAAGATCGACTTGGCCTAATAGAGATGTACTTACGAATCAGTTCACGGTTAGAAGTCAACTTACTTTGTAGCGGATGAATTTCGACTAGGATTATTGTTACAAGTTCGACAGGGACCGAGTGGAGATGTTCGTCCCTTGATTAAAGAAGATTGGCTACTGAAGTAATACAAACGAAAACTTACTGATTGGGATGTATCACGTGAACGACGGAGAGTTAATTTTAAATGTTCAATTTCATTATCCCGATCACGTAGTGTCTAAAAGAATCGTTCTCGTAAGCTTCATACCATTGATGGTATGTTGATATAGTAGAACAACTTTCTATTCAATCGATGTTAGGGCAAGTGCTTATATAAACATTCTTAGTATTTACATTGTAGGTCTTCTACTTTTGTTTCAAAGACGTCGACATCAACTAGATTCATTTTATTTGTCTTGTTAAGAGTTGCGAAAACAAGCATAGAGCATTTCTTTGGTTAGATTGGATTCTGTATACGATTACAGTTTCAAATCGATTAACAAATACAATGTCAACCAAGGCTGACTTGTCACGCATTGAACAACGTAAAAAGGATTAATTCAATAGTAAAATGCCTGTTAGACGTTTCTTTCACAAGTGGTTATCGTTGAAAAAGACGCCAGCGGAGTCCATTATTTTTTACGTATTGATGTTATACCACACCCTACTGTCATAGACTGCAACGAATCAATCAGCTTCTTACGATGTGTTCATTGTTTAGTCAAAATCTGATTAGAACGTTGTTCAATCCGCTTAGGATTAGCACAAATGTGCATGCATTCAAACGTTGCGTGACTAAATTGACTTACGTTCTGAAGTGTAGCAATATGTACTTTTAATGAATCGTCTTCGAAGTCTCCATCTACAGAAAGATAGCTTTTCGATTGAATTTCTAATTGTGAAGTGTTTACTCGTTTGTTTTTTCTTTTGCAAATCGATGATCTCTCGTCTAAATGAAAACGAAAGCTTCTATACGAGTGTTTTTTATTCGTGGATATGTCAACCTAAGTTTGGCTATGGTTTCCTCACGGTCATCAACTGCAGCTTTGTAAGAATCAAGTTTCTGTCGCCATAGTTGTGTATCAGCAGCGATCCGGTCGAATGTCTAGAAATAGTTTTCGTTTCTACTTGGAAAAATTCGGAAAGAAAAGTCTACCATGATTTTTTCATGATTAATCGCCTCGAAATCGGATCTTTCTCGCACTTGCTTCGTCAAATCATTAGCATGCTCGAATAAACCTAAATAAAACCGAAATCTACTGCAAAGACTGAGTGAAAAAACATACGTTCGTTTTCACTTTGACAATCACGTATAGTTTTCTCGAATGTTTGTACTTGCAACTGATGTAATTGCTCAAAAGTTCGTGTCTAAAATATGTTTGTGGTATTTAGATGAAAAGTAGACAAGAAAACAAACCTTTTCTTCATATTGTCGTAGTTGCTCTTCGAGCGCACGGAATTCGGCATTTCTTTTCTTCAATAAATCTTCTAACACTTGTTCACTAAGTATCGAAAAGAATCAAATACGAGCGAAGCAAGTGATTCATGAATTTACCGATCTTCTAGTTTGGTAATAGAAGCGTTCTTTTCTTGAATTACTCGCTCTAATTTTTCGATGAGTTGCTCGCGGTTTTTCGAGCGAAGTTCTTCACTATTCAAAAGCACAAGTTGATGTTCATTTGTAAAACTACAAAACAGAATGAGGAAAAGTGTGAATATGTAAACTAATTCTTTACGTTGGTTCTGTGACAGCACTCAATGGCGCATGAAGACCATTCAAACTTGCCATATATTGTATGGATTAAATTCACATGAAATCGAGTTCGTCTTGTTCAGTCGAACATTACCGCCGTATTCCTCTGTTGTTTCCTTGGTGACTCTCTCTTCGTTGACTTCTGTATTTGTAAAGTGCACTACTGTGTTATATGTACAGAACGATGAAAAATTCGCGGCTAGTCTCAATGTTTTCATCTCGAGAAAAATAAATTGAAATAAAATTTTCTCCGACGTCGATCACTTTCATATCATTGTTCTTTGTTACTAAACATAAACGTCGTCGGACTGTAGTAGAATCAATTCGAGTCTTTGTTCTTTTCAAACTCCGACAGTCTCGAATATATCGTTTGTATTCATTTCCTTTCTTTTTGCTTCAGAATTCGAACGATCGATCAGTAAATAGATCAACAATGGCACCAAAAAAAGCAGCTAATAAACAAGCAACAACACCAACTGAAACCGAGACTGAATCCAAGCAAATTCAAGTTCGTATCTGATCGCCATCGACAGGTGAATGATATCGAGGAGTTTCTTTTTTAGAAAAAGATCGATGAAGAGAATCAACCATCAGCAGAAACTGAACAATCAAGTCCAAAGAAATCTTCGACAGAATCGAAGAAAACAGCTGTGAGTTGTTCGAAAACTGATTTAGTCCATAAGTGTCAATTATCCTAGAGCAAAGCTGGTCGGTCACGAAAGAAATCCGAAGCTGAAAAACTTCAAGAAGAAGCATCCGGGGTAATTAACTTTCGTCCACTTCTTCACCTTTCCATCCCGTCAATTTCAGTTTATCGATCGTGTGAATAAAAAATCCGAAGCAGGTGATGAATCCACCGAAGAAGATAATGATGAAGAACAACCATCCAAGAAGAAAATGAACAACGCTCCAGCTGAAGCAAAACAAACCACAAAAGGTGCTGGCGCTCGAGGTGGTAAACGTCAACCAGCCAAAAACATGCCAACACATGATGAAGAAGAAAACGACAAAGAAGACGAAAAACCAATGGCGACAAAAGCGCCAACCAAAGGCAAAGCAGCTGCTGCTCAAAAGAGCAAGAAAGTCGAAGAAGATGAACAAAAGGATGCGGGTAAATAGTTTGAAAATTGCTGTAAGATAGGACGATCGAAGATTTCTTGTAGGTACCGGCGAAGATGATGATGTCGAAAACGAAACTGAAGCTTTAGATAAAAAACCTAAAGGTAAAACGGGTCGCAAGCCAGCTCAGAAGACTAAAGTTGAAGCTGAAAATGAGAACGGTAAAGTCAAACAAAACTCTGTTCCTCGAAAATCTACACTTATAGTTTTAGAACAAACCGAAGAAACGGAAACTAAGAAAAAGCCCACAACTGCTCGTAAGGGTAAAGCTGCAGCTTCAGCTAAAAAATCTGAAGCTGAAGAAGCACCAGTCAATGACGATTTGAAATTATCTGAAGACGATGAAGCTACCGAAGATAAATCCAAAAGTACAACAACGAAAAAAGCACCGACCAAACGATCAGCGCCAACATCGGGCAAAAAAACAACATCAGCTGCATCCGCTAAGAAGAAAGGTCAAAGTGATGAACCTTTCGAAGATCGTACCAACGATGAAAAGCCCGAAGACAATGAAGAGAACACGGATGATGGTTCGTTAAATAATCCTTTCACTTTAATTACATGATTTCCTTTTGCTTATAGAAGCTTCAGCTGCTAAACAACCGAAAAAAGGTCGTTCAGCCGACAAGGCTCCCGCATCAGCCAGCAAAACTGCCAGTCGTGCTGGTAAAAAAACCAAAGCCACATAAACAAACAGATTCCAACCATAGTATAGCCATACTAACAATAGTAGAGTTTCTTGTCTTTTTATTACATATGTTCAATAATTGTAGCTATTCTTTCATTGTGATTGTACAAATCTAATTTTCTTATCTTGTTGATTCCTCTACTTCATATGTTTCCTCAGATCTTTTTTTCTTTCAAAATTGATTGTACTAATACTATTGATTAAAACACAATAAACTCTATTCTCTAAGCAATTCAATTATAATTCGTTGAATATTTCGAAGGAAAAAATGACGATTTTCTTCATTTTATTCAATTCAATCAAGAAAGCGCATGAAACTTGTCTTTCCACTGTTTACCATTCGATATCGAATTTAATTGGAATATGGTCACTAACATCCAAAGCTTCTTCCAATGACATGCCGAATTTCTCTTGAATGTTAACTGTTGTGTTACTCTTGGGAACGATAGCATTGGCAAAGTTGGCACCGTTGATGAGGATACGATCGTATGTGCATGTTTGACGAGTGTTGGTTTTAACTTCGTTGTTGATAGCCCAGGTGAAGTCAACATAATCGATTGTTCTAAATGGAAACATTTCAAGTAGAAGTTAGTTTCGTAGAGTGAAGTTTTACCGGAGGAGTTGTTGACGTTTGGTGGAAATGTATGAGCAATCAGCATTGAAATCACCGACGATTAAGATAGGATGATTGGTTTTCAAACTTGGCTTGTTACCAGCGGTGGCATTTTCAACATTTTGATCTAAAGCTTCTTGAAGGGATGTTGGTGTTTGATCAAAATATTGTGGATGAATTTGGATAAAATCTTCGATGACTGTACGCATATCAAGTAATTCTCTGTAAGCAGCACTAGGTCGGAGATGAACATCCATAATTGTGAATAATTTCACGCCAGATTTGCCTGGGTTTTTTACTTTGAATGTACCAATGAAGCTAAAAGAAGCGAAGGAATTGCTGTATGAACTTGTTTTAGTTTCGAATCTTACGGTGGTCGTTCGAATAAGTCTTTGGTATCATCGTAGATGTACGATTCGACAATTTCAACACCGGATTGACTTTCACGATTGAAGAAAATGTATTGTTCCTTTGTTGCTGAACGGCCAACACGTGGACTCAATGTCATAGTGTATGGTTCTTGTGAAACTTTGTTGAGTTCTTCGAAAAGAACATATGGAGCTCTCAATGAAACATCACTAATTTCTTGAATGATAGCTAAATCGAAATCGCTGATGATTTGAGCAACGGTATTGGTTAAATCAGCATTAGCTGCCTTTTTGCTTCCATACTGATGTAAATTGAAGGAGCCAATACGAGCAGCTGAAGCATAGGTTGCAAGAGCAATAGCGCAAACAAGGAGATTGGAAACGAATTGCATCGTGAGTATAGAGACTTATTTCCAATAGGGAATCTGTCTGGCGAATGTCTCAAAATAAGGTTTTGCAAAGCAATTTATTCGTAGAGAATAACATGACGAGTGATTTAAAGGCTTTAGTTTTAATTGCATTTGAGCACAGGTGAATAAACAATGACGAGGTTTTCTTTTGTGCACTGATTCTCACGGAAAAATATAAGAAATATTGACATGATCGAATTTCAAAGCTAATTTTCTTTTTCTTCGCTTTGGCTTCACCAACTATTCAAAAATACCAAAACAGAAGCTTTATGAATAGCCTCGTTCGATGTAAATCCACTGTTTGCAATGTCCTTATACTCCAAAATCGAGGTTATTACACAAAAGAGGACAAACTTAACAAGAGAATGTTTATGATGATGCACTCACGTATATGCCTTTGCTTGCCTTTATGTCACTGTTGAAACAACATTTTCATATGTTCATAGCAACAACAAATATTCCAGTGTTAATTAGAGCATTATAGATAATATAATCATCGATGCATTTCGCACGCCCAATTCCCAACTCAGTGAACATTTGTTTCACTACCGTCGCGTCTAGTAAACAAGAAGCAAGTGATTGGTTTGGAAGGATTCAACAGATAGTATTCGAACAAGAGTTAAGTGAAGTATATCACATGTACCGTATGGCACATTACACGGAAGATCAATCTCAGAAACAAATCATGCGATTAGAGATTGTTTGAATGAAAGTTTCATTCACGAACTGATATTAGCTTTCCTAGACTCGAATTCCAATGCCGTTGAATCAAGAAAAGGATCATTCATGATGAATGTCCCACTTTGTTGATATCTCGATCAGTTTTACTCGACAACAGGATGATTTCTTTCAAATCAATTCTTTTATTGTATCATCTTCTTTTTCACATTCGTAAAAATAGACAAAAGAAAAGACAGAAGAAAAATGTCTGAAGTCGTCGAACAAAAAGAAGATCGTGTATTCATGCATCGTGAAAAAATAGCTATAAAACAGAAAACGAGGAGAAAGAGTGATTAGATATTTAACAATTCATCAAAACAAAAAAAAACGAAAAATGTCTTTTTTTTGTAAATATTGACAACGAGAAAGAAACATTTGAGTATTCTTCATCGTTATTGAAGAGCATTTTAGAAAAAACCAAGCGGTTTCTTTATATTCGTTTGTTTCCAATATGGCAGAGCATAAAATTCATCTTTCGTCATGTGAAATTCTTTCTAAACAGCGCGAAAACAATAATTGCGACGATCGAATGAAAGAGAAAAACATGAAACATACTTGAAAATCAGTCTCCGATAGATACGATTCGATTTTCGATGGATCAACGCCTGAATGTCAAAATATTCATTAGAAATTATTCAAAATCTGCGACATTTTCTACCTTCGGGTAATGGACGAGCGCGAAGTTCTTCAATACTATACTGTTCTCGACACAAGTTATTGAGTACATCGATGACTGAATCTTTTTGATTCACTTTTTTACCTTCCTACAATTCATTCGAGATGATTATGTAATGAAAAAGCAAGACGGCATAGTTACCATTTGATTTCGTTGTCGAGCTTTGATATGTACATTCCATTTCGGAAATAAATTGATAAAATCGATTGGTTCTAAACCAGCATAGACAATCGAACAAGGTAGATCAAGTGTGGATGAACCCGTTTTTGCTACAGGGAGTAACAGAAGAAGTTCATTCTAGTTTGGTAAACTTGAATTCGGTTGAAATTTACCTTTGTAATAGTTCAGAGCAGTCAGAAATGCGCAACGACGTTCTGTGGTGAATCGAATGTCTCTTGGAGCACGAACTGATGCATTGATATTCGAATGCTCAACATCTGATTGATCATTCCATCCTTGCCATATGTATAATTCCGCATTTGTGTCGATTAAACACAAAGCCGGTTGGTGAAGTTCGTAGAGATCAGATTGAGTAAATGGAAATGGTGAGATATGATTGGGAGAACGAAGAGGATAAAGAAGTTCTTGAGCAACAAATGGACCATGTAGACTCGATAAATGAAAGATACGTATCGTTGATGCGAGTTTTGCAATTGATTGTACTGGAAAAGAGCAGATCATCATGAATAATCGATTCAGTTCCTGACAAATTCTTACCATTTAGTAATGAATAATATCGTCGTTGATGATTTCGTTCATTCATTCCTTCCCAGAACAGTTCTATCTCGTCACCTTCTTGCATTTCGAAAAATTCAATATCTTCACTGTCACCTTCAAAATGAAATTCCTCTGGACATCTACAAACATATCAATAACATATAGAAATACTATCAATACAATTTCATCGTACCGTTCACGTAATTTCATCACCGATTGATGAGCTAATATTTGTTGTTCATCTGTTGTTCCACAACCATGCCAGAGTAACATTAGATTTTCATGATTATTTGTCAATAACAACGATGTTCGACTACGTAGATTAGCTGTGCTTATATACAGTTCCCACCAATGTGTTTCTTCCGCAAGTTCACCAAGAAAAACGTATAGATGCCAATTGGATTTCTTCTCTGGCAATTGATTCCGTTTACCCATATGAATAGTTAATGTACCATCGAATAATTGTAAAAATGTAGCATCTTCATGTTCTTGCGTAACATGGATCTAATGCAGAGAAAAAAAACAATGTTTACTAAGATCATCCAACGGCACATTTCACTTACATGTGGACCTTTTTCTTCGTCGAAGAACACGGACATTAATGCCGAAATACCTTTCTCATTCGGATTTGTGTTTGCACCTTGCCAAATCCAATACGCAACGCGATTTCGACCTGTGTCCGGCTTCTGTCCGGGTGATTTGCCATTTACTATTGTGACTAATTTGTATCTCCAACGAATGATATAGACTTCATCAGAGTAGAATTGACCGTAGCTTGACTTCGGTAATTCATACCGTTCATTCTCATTTATGTACCAAATATCTAACGAATTCGTTTGAACTTCATGTCCGCGCATTTCAACAGGATCAAACCAATGTTTGCCTCGACCTAAACTAACTTGTTCGAGGACTAGATTGACCGGAGTATCCGGCTTAGAAAGCATCTTTTGCACATCAGCTGGTTTAAGAGTATCGAGAATCGACGGAGGCTAGACAAGAAGAGAACCCATGTGGCAAACTCTTCAATCGATACGAAAAACTTACGCGTTGTGAGGACGGTGTTTTAGTGACATTGTTTGTCGTATCACTGGCCGGTTTCAATTCTTGAAGATCACCTGGCCAATCGTAGAATTTACCTTTGAATAATAATGTTTCAACATTTTGATTCTGTTTTCCAAATATGCACCACTCCGGCCGAGCTGCACCGCTGGACATAGTTTGATCAGCTTGTTCTAGATGAAAACAAAAGTCATTCGAATTCTCAGCTCGTTTTTCAAGGCAATTTACCATCGAGTGGATCGAATGGATTGAGCGCACATTCACTGTAATCGTATGTGTCATTCCAAAGTTGTTGACCTAATTGTAAACCCATGTTTCTCTTCGTTTTATCAGCAAACTTGCCGTTCCAAACGTAGAGCTCAGCGCCAAAATCAAACACAAACACTTCATTAGGATCAAGAATTTGAATCGATAATGAGCGGAAACAAAAATTCTCCAATGGCATTAACAAATCATTTTCGACTCGGTACACGCGAGTCAATTCCGTGATATTCGCCTCATAAACATCATCATCTGTGACTTCGTCCATCGACTTGTAATCATCGATTTCACCATGCAACATATCACGAAATTCTGCATGACTGTCATCTTCTGTATCATCTTTAGCCTGGTCTAAGATGAAATACTTCACTTCGTTACGTAAACCGAAATCACGATGTTGTCTTAGATAATCAATTAGATCTGTTGTTCTTGCCTTTTCTAATGTATTCGCGTAACGACCGATCCATGCAAAGACTTTCAATGGTGTTATTAATAGATAGCAATCGCCTTCATTGATTGAGTCATAAATGGGATTAATTAACCGCAACGAACATTGACGACGGCCTTTTATTAGGATAAGCATCGTTTCCTTGTAGGGTTCATAACCGAATTTGACAACGGGAGAGAGATCGACTTTGCGTAAGCTTATTTCAGCGAAATTTTCTGTTGCTGCTAGTGCAGCCAACGCTTCTTGAGCTAGACCAGCATTTTCACCAACTTTGAAGAAAGCAGAAATGAACTCGATAAGTATCCAATCCGTGGATGAAATCTAATCTCATTCTTTCCGAGGGAGACTTCGAGGACGACGTAGAAGTTAACAAAACATCTCCAATAACGCATAACTATCCAACTATTTCTGTCATACTATCGTAAAACTTCTATGCTAACTATGTTAGACATTTGCTCATACTTTGTGCTCGTTTGATTCGACGAACTTCTTGTTCTGAAAGATCGGTGCGAACTTCAGTGTATTCGTTCTCTGTTGGTACAGTTGCTTGAATTTGACGCAGAGGATTCTTTGCTCCTTGTTGCTGACGGCGTGGTGGCCGAACACGTGCCGGTTGAGATTGCAATCTGATGAAAATGTCGATAGAAAATCGTTCGATTCGTTTGTTTTACCTACCGAACAGTATTCTCGGCAATACGATCGAGATCATCGACATCAAGGTGAATTGATGATTCATTATCGAACAACTTATTTCCATCTCCAAAGAAATCGTCCAGATGATCATCAGGCTTTAATACCGATACTGTGTCCGATTTTAATACCGAAACGACATTCTGATTCGGCTTTGCGGATGCTAAATAAACATTCTTTTCCGATTCAGATCTTGATGAAATTACATCCTTACTTGTGCCATTTCTGGTCTTCGTGGATATCGATATTTGATTAGCATCCTTGGGTTTAATAGTTGAGTCTATGATAAAAGCAAAAGTTTCAGTTAATCGTCTGATTTTCTTTGGATCATTGAGTACTTCTCGCATCCTTTTGTGGATTTCTCTCCAGACATTGTCCCATAATACCCAAACTAGTCTTCTCATCAAAATAATAATGACACTACGCGATTTATTTTCTCACATATTTGAACAGACAGAAAGACTAATCCATCCTTGTCTCCGACATTGTCAATAAATATGAAGATAATTTATGTCATCTGTATTCGTTCCTGTCGATTGCGATAGTCATATATGGATTCGAGAGGAAAGAAAGTGTCTCCTTTTCTCGTTTAGAATCATCATTATGTAAGAGAACAGTTCTCTATGCAAGAAATAGCTAGCGGCATTGATGAAACAAGTAACTAATCATCACTAAGCCAATGTTATCAATTGAGCAATGATTTAATCTGACTCAATTACGAGAAGTACGAACATGAATGATGATGTAAGACAAGTAATGGTTCATTAAACAACACTCACCAGTTTTGAGACGAACAATATCAACAGTTTTCGCACGTTGTTGCTGTTCAGTATTGGTTTTCTTCGCACTGTATTTCATTGTTGGTGTTTTACGTGTGCTTTTATGTTCTTCCATAAGTTTGTGTGGCTTTATCAATTCGGGTTCACCAAGTATTTTGAATTGCTCCAATCTGTAATTGAGTTTTACATAAACGATCTGACTTGTCTATGAAATGATAACGCTTACCTTTTGCTCACCGGTAGGATTATGTCTTGGTCGGGTGGATTGGTTTTGCTTGTTTCATCTAAAGAATCAAACGTTCCTCCGATATAGACATGTTCAAGTAGACAAAAATATACCAAATGTGTATTTATACACTTCATGCAGATCGGTTTCTCGTGCGTTGGACGATGATAAAAATAAATGATCATGCTCAAGGTATTCATATATTTCTACAGAGGCATAATGAATCAAACAATAGGAACATGGGACATGCTTATACATACCAGGAGGAATTTCAGTTAAATCTTTTGTACTCGATGGTGGAGTGAAGTTCACAGCAGCTTGAACTTCTTCGGCTGTAATTGGCTAGAATGAGAAGAATATATAGAAATAATTATCAATGTTTTCGATTGAAAATACTTGTGTAAGTCGACTTCGATTCGGTTTGGCTACTGCTAGCGTCGGTGTTCCGATGATATTTTTCTTTTTGAACAAAGTCATTTTTTCTTTGAATGATAGTTTTGAAATATCATCGTCGAATGTTTCATCTTCGGGTTGCTTCTTTTCGGTTGGACTGTCGGGTTTAGGTTGATCTTCTTTTTCAAAACGTTGATTCTCTATACTGAGTCTTCTTGCCGGTGGTGCAGGCCTAAAAAACAAGAAGGATTGCATATCAAGTAAAACAAAACTTATCGTACTCCTCAGTTTTGAACGATTTTGATCGAGGTAAAGTTCCTCCAAGTTTTGGATCCTTTGAGAATGTTTCAAATAAACTTTTCTTATCGGCAACACTTGCTTTTTCATCCAATCTAAATTCATACCAATAGAAGTACGTTCGTTCATGATTTTCACTTACTCATTCGTTACATCTCGTAATTCTTCATTTGATAATAAGACATTCAATCTTTCGATTGACATCTGTGCGCGATTATCATTACTATGTTCGAAACTGATAGGTACATCGACAGAAAATGCTTTATTGATTTGTTTAGGTTTTCGGTCCGTTGGTGAAGCATTTTCCATCACGGATGATAATTCATGCTCAGTTTTCGATGAAATCGTATGCTGATCTTCATCGTATGTGCTAGCTTTTTGAATCGATCGTTTGTAATCTTCGACTTTCGAACGACTATTACGTTTCCGTATGATTTCGGACATGCCACGTTGTTTTTCAACAGGTAGATGAATTGAACGATTCGTCGCTGTGGATGTGGATGAATCGTTATTATCGTCGATTGGTTCCGCCGACATTCGTGTTAATTTGTTTGCAGGAACCGATTCCAATGAAATTTTCTGTTGTGGTATAGGTTGACTCGATGAATTCGATAGTTGATCGAAGATTTGTAAAGATACATCTATGGATTCATGCGGCTTATTTTGCATATCCATTGGACGAAGACGCTCAAAAGGATTGATAACACTTGTGCTCGATAATGGTCGTACTGGTCGAATCATCGAAGGAGAATTCGCTAAGCAGATTGAGAAAAGCAAAGTTTGAAATTCAGTAATAAGAAGAAATAACTCACTGTCAACAGGTTCATTGAGAACGGATTCTTGCTTTTGTACTGTTTTTTCATCTCTGACCCAATGTATTGGTAACACTAATTTGATGAATAGTTTCTTATTTGAAAGATTTTATCAATAACCTTCTTACCATTATCACGGATCATTTGATTTCTGCTTAATTGTAGATCGGCGACATTATCGTGCGATATCTCATCCATTTTTCTTTCATTTAAGTCCGATCGTTTTGTTTGTGGTGTATTCGATGTTCGCGCATAGAATTGCGATTCTGTTAAACTTATACCTGCTTTCGATTGTTGCATAATGTCATCTCCTTCTTTTTCTCTTGTGATAATCGGTGTTGATATTGCATTGGATCGTGTAGAAGGAGTCGATTCAACCGTGGGATGTTTCCTTTCGGTTCGTGTTTCATTCTTTCGAACGGAATTTGTGATACCAGTATGCGTACCACTACTACCGATATGATGTTGTGCACCATGTCGAGAATCTTTGTCTGGTGTCGACGGATCTAAATAAGGAACGAAGACAATGTTTTCCTATTCTATAAAGTAGAAGGGTAACAAAACACAAATCAATCAGTGTAAAAAAAGAATGATTGCTCTGCATTTGTATCCGACAAAGGAAGACTATGCATTGACAAAAACATCAAACAACAGATTTTCTGACCGAATATAATATGATTCAGTTTCTCCTTCATTAGAAAACGATTACTCAAAACATATGAGAATACATATTCGAGACAATCTTCAGGTTGTTTCCTTCGTCTCAGATCCGAGTCATAACGACAGTCTTTATGAGGATTCTTTATTGCCTCTTTTTGTGAGTTATTTGTCTCCGAATAACAGACATATGATTCTAACAAAAATGTATCAAGTTTGCTGATCTCACTGGAAAAATAAATATTAATTGAATACTCTTCGTCTAAAACAAATATAAGTGGATAGATCTCTCGCAGAGATAACGCGAAGAACTGAATAACTTCTTTTTCTCCTTTATAGTATGATATTGTTGAAGGAAATCTCCACTATACATTACACACCCGTCTGCATCTATCAACTAATCCTCTTCGACGACAAATAGTTAGATAAATACAAACAAAATACATACGAAGTAATGTGCCTTCGGATTTTGCGGCATTTTTTGAGCTTGTGCAAAGCCTAGAAAGAGAAAAATGAGAGAATTTATTCAATAATCGAGTAAAGGCTAAAACGACAACTGCGCGGGAATACCAAAATAATCAATGGGCATTTGTATACGTACCATGCTCCCATGATGGTTCAATTGTGAAGAGTGAAAAGACTTGTCGAATATTACTCTTTGAACTTTTTCTTCGTTCTACTAGTTGAATAAATCAGACGAAAGATTGGAGTAATACACATACAACTATACGCATCAACATATGTTTTGTTGGCCTATCAGTCAACTGAATGCAGGCAGTCAACAAAGAAAAAACAATTATCGCAACTTAATTTAGATACTGAGATGTATCTGTGTAACAAAGTAAAGACGAACTGAAAGATTCTAGAGCAAAGAAAGTAACATTATTATCAGAGAAAATGTCTGAACATTCTCTCAATGTAGCAATCCTTTTTTCCTTGATTATATAAACCTCATTGTATAGAATAGATATATATACATGCTAGAAAAGATAAAGAAGGAGAAGAAACAAGAAATAGCAACTTATATATATGTCGAGTTCTTTTTTTGATAAACGCAATGCTTCTATATCTTCATGACGTCGAAAGACGATAGTAGGTGGAGGAACCGAACAGAAACGTCATTCAGATATATATATACATATATTTATATACATAAAACATCCTTTCTCTCCTTCTCTCTCTCTCTTCCCTTTTCTCATATTCTTTCTTTTTTCTCCTATTGTTGATGATTTCGTATTATTCTTTCTACTACAGTTATACAATTGCTCGGAGTACCTCATTAAGCTTTTCTTCTGTTTCCTCATTGAACTTCAGACTTGCGTGAACATTAGGGAGTAAAGCTGATGAGATGAGAACTGGACAAAAAGAAACTGAAAAGTAATCGAACATTAATTATCACTTCTCGACGACGACGTCAAGCTGAGTTTATACACACGCAGTTAGCTTAAATATACAAAAGTCATCTCCGACCGCTTTCGCACAAGCTTCATGCCATTCCTTCGCTTTTTTCGAAAGATTTTCAATAGCATGGCGAAGACCAACGGTTCAAATGTCCCATCATGGTTTTGTTGAATAACAAAGAACTGATTATCTTCTCTTATCTAAACAAAGATTCTTTCGTATACAGAAAAGTTATCCACAAGGTTCTTCCTGCTTGTTTCATTTCTACAGACGTCATCCGAGATAGATCGTTGTAAAAAAAAAGCAATTAGCAAGAGCAATAGAAACATATTCATACAAGGTTTTGTATTGTTCCGTGATGAGCAGATGTGTACATATATCTCTGAATAGGAAGAAAGAAATACACATGCCACCACGAGAAGAATCTCCCGCTTGATCACATTCTTTTCTGTATCTTTGACAAGTTAAATATCGAGTTGACATTGATTGATACAGATTAACGAATGTTAGTATAACGAAATAGAGAAACTACTTGTTCTTTTTTATTCTTGACTGTTCCATCATCAAATTAGACCGAGACAAAAAGAACCGAATTTAGTTGGTGAAAGACGCAATACAAGAAATAAAAATGACATCGATGCACAGCGCTTTGTTTTCGGTGAGATTAGAAAAAATAAACAAGTAAATATCGATCAATACGAAAGGTGAATGAGAAATTATATATTTCATCAGCCTAATCAAAGAAGAGACATGTATAGATGATGATGCGTGATGGATTTTCTTTCAGCGTCCAATTGGCCTATAACGGAGAGAAAACGAATTCATTTCGTTAGACTGATCGATGGCAGAGAGCCGTTTTTTCGGGTACTTATCTGGTTGACAGCTAAAAATATAGGCATAGATCACGGGCGAGTTTCATTAATCACACCAGAACGAATATACGAATAGTATCGTGCTATTGGGCAACATAGCGATGGAAGGTAGAGGGACACGGACGAAGACTATCATAGAATATACCTATCATGCATTAGCAATAACGTTCAATTGAACTAGAATTTTATACGCATTACAAAAGCAACAGCAGGATGATTAAAAGAACTTTTCGAGTAAATAAAGACATAGATATACATATGTATCAAAAGGCCTAATTTGATGATGGTATAGCCGCTGTCAACTAGATATCACAGGCAAGAGTATCAAAGCAAAGCATTATCTTACTTGCGCGGTTTCGGTATACCACAGACAGAATCGTCACTGTCAAAATCGTATTGTTTGGATTTCGTGAAGGGACGTCGATAACCATCGGTTGATTTTCGATTCGAGATGCGACTTTGATTATGAAATGTCATTGACTCGAGTGATTTATAACGAAGTAAAGCCGCTCGGTTGGTACGCTCAATATCGTCGGTTAAGGATGAAGTGGAAGAAGATGATGATAATGTTAAATCTTCTTGTCGTGCGAGATTCTCTCGACTTATCGAACGTGGATGTCGAAAAGAACGAGACGAATCATACGTATTTGTTGGAGAAGCAAATAATGAAGGTTCTTGATATAAATCAACACTTTTCGAACGTTTCATTTGTTTACGTCTTTGGAAACGACGACGCGATTGATGTGCTTGACCGTCGTTATTCAAATCTTCTACAACAGGCAACGGTGGAGCCGGAGGCGGTGCTTGATCAACAAAATTTGAACGTTTAGGTAGATCCGATCCTTGTCGACTATTGTTAATGATAGTTGTCGTTAAGGATGGTGGACGATAGTGATACGATGTCGGAGGGTTAAAATTATAGTTATTACTCGGTGAATGCTAGAGACAAGATAGAAAATATGGTAGAATAAACTGTTAATAGATCTTACTATGCTTGATTGAAAATCTGCCTGCATCGACGGAGAATTATGTCTTGATGAAGTCAAGCCGGCAGTGCGTCCATTGAATGATGGCGAAGTAATAGTTGGTAGTTGATGTAATGATCCATGTGAAAGTGATTCGGATAGTAGAACCGGTGGTGTTGTATACGAAGATAAATTCGACAGAGGCGGCGGTGATGGCTTTGGATAGGATGGATTAGGTACAAGAAAATCTGAATAGTGGACATGAGGTTGGCGGATATTGGAATTCATTGATGAATTCGTAGGCGTGTTTTCCATACTATTAAGATTAATACGTTCTTTTGATGGTATAGCTGCTGCTGCTGCTGCTACTGTTGTTGTTGTTGTTGTTATTGCTGGCAATTTATTTGTCATTGAAATAGGTTGTAATATTGCTGATGATGATTGATAGTACGGACGAACTGTATTCGTGTTGATGGAATACGGCTCAACTTTGGCGATATTTTTCGTACGCGTGTTGATGAGATCGTGTTCATTTAAACGACACATACGGTACATGTCGTAGGCGAGTTCAGATGGAGACATTGTATTACCGTTATTCGGACGATTAACTGATTCCAGACTACAATATGAATCGAGAGAAATGGATAGAGATATATTTCTGTGGATATGTAAATAAACAAATGCTGATCAATCATATTTAATCTGTTGATGGAAAGTGAAAGTATTATATAATCCTCAAACTAATTGCGTCGATCAGTGTTATGTTCTAACATAGCTTCAGCGACTCGAATGAAATCTGGTGTATCGAACTGTTTCAAATTGAAACATTTTACCACTTCATTGTTACGAAAATTGTACTGATTGACATGTCCTTTAAGAATCAAGTCTATGAAAAGAATCTGCGTCGAATAATTAGTTTATTACTAAAGAAACAAAACTCTTTCTAGATTATTTCTATTTATTTTTGCCTAACGGGGGAGTGCCATTAGAAATCAGCAATGATTTCTGTCTTTACCATCTACTATTCGCCTTCATTATCTTCTACTGTTTCACAATCTGCTCTTCCTTTTACACAACCGGTGATATCAAAGATTGAATAAGATTTTCCTTTCCAGTGTTGAAAACTACAAATTTTCTTCTGATTGAAAAGAGCAAGATATAGAAAGAAAAGAAACTTGCTGAAACGATAGAGTGATAATGAATTATGCATCTGTTGATGTCACTCATTTATATAATCCAAGGTTGTCATAGCACCCAATCTGACTGTCAATCAATGATACATACGTATATATATATATGCACTTTGTTTCGTTCTTTGATCTTATTATTTGTTATCTATTGATAATATTTTCCGATCATTAAACTACGGACATACCTGCTGAAGGTTTGTTGTTGAAACGTAGACGGCTTTTTAAATGAGGGAAATTGTGGTGTAACATCACGAACGATGATTGTTGGTTTATTAATATGACGTTGATCAGATCCACTGGTGTTGATTAAAGGTGTTGTTTTCGGTAATGCAGACGACTGATCTAATCTATTATTATTGTTATTACTATTATTATTAGTATTGTTATTATTATGAATCGAATTTTGACGTTGGTTTGAATTTGAGTTTGAATCTGTTGAGTTGTTTCGTTGATGGCCAGGTGGATCGTGTGATGTTTTTGTTACGAATAACTGCTTCAGTTTTTCTACACATGAACCATCGTCGATGATTGGCAAGGAAGGTTCATTTGAGTTGTCATCATCGTTTTTATTGTTAATATCCATTGAACTTTTACTACGGCCAAGTACAGGTCGATAAGATTCTTTTTCCTGCTCTGGATTAGTTATTATCGGCGATGACGGACGAATTGGTAATGGTGGAGGTGATTGTTCTTGTTGCAAACGTAAATCCCATTCAGATTTACTTAACGCTGAACACACACGTTTTGCTCCTGAAGGAATTAATGGTTGATATGTAGCGGCACTCTCATTGATAGGTAATCCACTTTCTCCTTTAAACGATTCATTCACATGGGGATCAACAAAAAATTCCGAACGTGATCTCGATGATCCATATTTAAGTATAGGTCGTAATGAATTGACTGGACTCGACACTGGCTCCACATCGTAAATAGCTTCTTGTCGTTGAAGACGCGGCAGTGACGATTGTCTAAGTGGTATCTCATCGTCGTAGATGCCTGTCTGTGATCGATTTAATAGAAATGAAGACGATTCGGACGGTTGTATGTAGTCGATTTTCGATGCAACCGTATGCCAGATATTTCGAGTAGTGTCCAACGCCGTACGTGGTACGATTCCAGTAGTATTTGAACTTCCTGGATCATAACGACGAATCAAACGTAGAACATTCGAATCCATGATTAAAGTTGATCGATATTGCTGATTACCTTCTCCACCGGTGGAAGATGAAGAAGAGATTCTTCTTGATTCATCGAACTCATCATCCTAGAAGAAAAAACAAAGTATCGATTAAAACCTTGAACCGGTTGTGAGAATGTCGATGATGCGCATCATCTAATAATCTGTATTATATTCTAAGAAAAAAAAAAGAAGAAGACGAAGAGATTAGAAGGAAATCTTCGCTCGTCTATCTTTCCTTCTTTTTTTTTCACATGACGAATAACTCGGTGTTGATAAGCAAAAAAAACGCAGGAACGAAGGAGAAAAATATCGGCAAGAACGACGACAGAATTGTTGGCAGCCCACACATATGTACAGATTGTTCTAATGATCAGACGCGTGCGCATCGGCAAGAATATGGCAGTGATAGCTATGCGAAAGAACGAAGCAAAAAACGCGTTGGAGCAATAACAGCGAGCTACTATCATCATTATCCATTATCATCTTGCTCTCGCTATCATCCATAAAACATATAGTCAGAGAAACAAAGAGCACCGTATGTGTACGTCCCTGAACTGCTTGAGATATGACGCCTACGATGATCAATTGATATTTTTATAGGAAACAGACGTGTCAATAAAAAAAGAGTGTTGGAATTGATCGTTCGACTTACCCAATAGTTTGAACTTTTGACTTGTGGAAAGAGAAAGATTTGTTGCCGTTCGGGTTGATTTTGAACATAATGTTGATAACATCGTTGGCCTTCATTTCCAATATTGATATTGCTATAGTTAATACGATTGTTGCTATTATTACTATTATTATTATTGCTGTTGCTGTTGTTCTTATTGTTGTTTTGGCTTTTTGTCACTTGAATTGGTAGGAAAACGGTTCCGACGTTTGTCGACGAAGCTGAGGTCGAGGATGGTGGAGAGGAAGAAGAAGAAGAATATGATAATGGTATCATCGAACTAACAACTATTGCCATATTATTACTTATAATATCGACTGGAATAGAACGAGTCAATGGTTTCTAGAGATAAAATCAATTTCATGAGAATTTGCCTTCGATGTTATTTTACCTGAATAGATGAAGTAGGATGCATCGGCGATGGCGATTTCTTTTTCATTATGATCAACGATGACGAAGTTGGGGTTGCACCGAATTTGCGACGTCCCTGAGTGATTATTGGTCGATAATCCATTGGCCTAATCTCTTTCGATGAAGACGAGGTTGGTAATCGATACATGTGCGTATTGAACGGACGTGACACAGAAATATTTTCAGTCGTCGAAGATTTTTGTATCATTGCTCTATCATATACTCGATTATTTACTGAACAATGTATAATTGTTTCAGGGATACGTTTATTTGCACATATAACTCGATCATTGAATTGTCCTTGTTCACTGAACGGAAGAGTTTCTCGTTTGGCTAATATATGTAAATTATCATATTCAAATTTTGCAGTTGGACATTGATGTTGGTTTGTGAATTCCGTTTTCGGTGGATGGTAATGAACATTAATCTTCGAACGATTGTTGTAGAACGAGATTGGTGACATAATATTTTCAAGAATCTAGAAAGAGAAAAAGAACGAAAGCTGAATGGATCAAACGCATCTCTGTTCGACTTGATTGATATTTTAAAGTCATCAAGAATACAATAGGCAAGGAAAAGGAAAAAAGAATATGACGAATGCTCGACACTCCTATACATTTCAAAACTCGATTAGTCGAAGATGCAATTTAGTTAAAGTCCTATATACTCAAACGACGATTGAATATTCGGTTTTACTTAGGAGTGTCTTTTCTTTTTTTTTTCTAGAGAAAAAGAATATGAAAAAAAGGAACAAAAGAAAGAGAGAAAGAGAGGAGCAAACCCAAAGCTACAGCTTGGAAGACAATATACCAGCATATGCGACAAGAAAAGGCATAGGCAAACAAAATAAACATCTATATGTACATATGCATCCGGAGAAAGTTTGTTCTAATCAAGTCAAATTGGTGACAAACGTTCTGTATATTTATATAATGCATGTAACTTTTGACTAACCCGAGTTCATTGAACATCTGTGTGTCGAGCGAAATCTGTTGATGTAAAAAACAAAACAATGCTTTTATCCGACAGCTACACGTTGACAAGGATTAGTTGAATGATAAACGTACTATTCAAATCGAAGTGTATACGAAGAGAGAGAAAATGTGTTGTATGTATAATCTATCTCTGTACCTGTATATGTCAATGTTACGTTATATAGGACCTCGAACCTAAATTCAATTTGCATGAAAACGAAGAAAAGAAATGTGAAGGTGTATATGCATGTTAAATACGAAGCATTGTGTCTCTCGGAAGAAATTCTACGTTCTCTATTCAATGCTTGATCTCACTTTCCAGACGGAGGGAGAGAGGGAGAGAGGCGAAGAAAATGATCAAAAAAAAACATCAGATTATTGCGATCAATNAGCAAGAGCAATAGAAACATATTCATACAAGGTTTTGTATTGTTCCGTGATGAGCAGATGTGTACATATATCTCTGAATAGGAAGAAAGAAATACACATGCCACCACGAGAAGAATCTCCCGCTTGATCACATTCTTCTCTGTATCTTTGACAAGTTAAATATCGAGTTGACATTGATTGATACAGATTAACGAACGTTAGTATTACAAAATAGAGAAACTGCTCGTTCTTTTTATTCTTGATTGTTCCATCATCAAATTAGACCGAGACAAAATGAACCGAATTTAGTTGGTGAAAGACGCAATACAAGAAATAAAAACGACATCGATGCACAGCGCTTTGTTTTTGGTGAGATTAGAAAATAAACAAGTAAATATCGATCAATACGAAAGGTGAATGAGAAACGATATATTTCATCAGTCTAATCAAAGAAGAGACATGTATAGATGATGATACGTGATGGATTTTCTTTCAGCGTCCAATTGGCCTATAACGGAGAGAAAACGAATTCATTTCGTTAGACTGATCGATAGCAGAGAGGCGTTTTTTCGGGTACTTATCCGGTTGACAGCTAAAAATATAGGCATAGATCACGGGCGAGTTTCATTAATCACACCAGAACGAATATACGCATAGTATCGTGCTATTGGGCAACATAGCGATGGAAGGTGGAGGGACATGAACGAATACTATTATAGAATATACCTATCATGCATTTAGCAATAACGTTCAATTGAACTAGAAATTTATACGCATTACAAAAGCAGCAGCAGGATGATTAAAAGAACTTTTTTGAGTAAATAGAGACATAGATATATGTATCAAACGGTCTAATTTGATGATGGTATAGCCGCTGTCAACTAGATATCACGGGCAAGAGTATCAAAGCAAAGCATTATCTTACTTGCGCGGTTTCGGTATACCACAGACAGAATCGTCACTGTCAAAATCGTATTGTTTCGGTTTTGTGAAGGGTCGTCGATAATCATCGGTTGATTTTCTATTCGAGATGCGACTTTGATTATGAAATGTCATTGACTCGAGTGATTTATAACGAAGTAAAGCCGCACGGTTAGTACGCTCAATATCGTCGGTTAAGGATGAAGAGGAAGAAGATGATGATAATGTTAAATCTTCTTGTCGAGCGAGATTCTCTCGACTTATCGAACGTGGATGTCGAAAAGATCGAGACGAATCATGCATATTCGTTGGAGAAGCAAATAATGAAGGTTCTTGATATAAATCAACACTTTTCGAACGTTTCATTTGTTTACGTCTTTGGAAACGACGACGCGACTGATGTGCTTGACCATCGTTATTCAAATCTTCCACAACAGGCAACGGTGGAGCCGGTGGCGGCGCTTGTTCAATAAAATTCGAACGTTTAGGTAGATCCGATCCTTGTCGACTATTGTTAATGATAGTTGTCGTTAAGGATGCTGGACGATAGTGATACGATGTCGGAGGGTTAAAATTATAGTTATTACTCGATGTGTTCTAGAGACGAGATAGAAAATATGGTAGAATAAACTGTTAATGTTAACAGATCTTACTATGCTTGATTGAAAATCTGCCCGCATCGACGGAGAATTATGTCTTGATGAAGTCAAGCCGGCAGTGCGTCCATTGAATGATGGCGAAGTAACAGTTGGTAGTTGGTGTAATGATCCATGTGAAAGTGATTCGGATAGTAGAACCGGTGGTGTTGTATATGAAGATGAATTCGACAGAGGCGGTGGTGATGGCTTCGGATAGGATGGATTAGGTACAAGAAAATCTGAATGGTGGACATGAGGTTGGCGGATATTAGAATTCACTGATGAATTCGTAGGCGTGTTTTCCATACTATTAAGATTAATACGTCCTTTTGATGGTATAGCTGCTGTTGTTGTTGTTATTGCTGGCAATTTATTTGTCATTGAAATGGGTTGTAATATTGCTGATGATGATTGATAGTACGGACGAACTGTATTCGTGTTGATGGAATACGGCTCGACTTTGGCGATATTTTTCGTACGTGTGTTGATGAGATCGTGCTCATTTAAACGACACATACGGTACGTGTCGTAGGCGAGTTCAGATGGAGACATTGTATTACCGTTATTCGGGCGATTAACTGATTCCAGACTACAATATGAATCGAGAGAAATGGATAGAGATATATTTCTGTGGATATGTAAATAAACAAATGCTGATCAATCATATTTAATCTGTTGATGGAAAGTGAAAGTATTATATAATCCTCAAACTAATTGCGTCGATCTGTGCTGTGTTCTAACGCAACTCCAGCGACTCGAACGAAATCTGGTGTATCGAACTGTTTCAAATTCAAACATTTTCCCACTTCATCACTATGAAAGTTGTACTGATTGACCTGTTTATTAAATTCAAGTCTATGAAAAGAATCGACGTCGAATAATTAGTTTATTACTAAAGAAACAAAACTCTTTCTCAATTATTTCTATTTATTTTTGCCTAACGGGGGAGTGCCATTAGGAATCAGCAATGATTTCTGTCTTTGCCATTTCCCATTTGCCTTCATTATCTTCTACTATTTCACAAACTGCTCGTCGTTTTACACAACCGATGATGTCAAAGATTGAATAAGATTTTCCTTTGCAGTGTTGAAAACTACAAATTTTCTTCTGAGTGAAAAGAGCACGATGTAGAGAGAAAAGAAACTTGCTGAAACGATAGAGTGATAATGAATTATGCATCTGTTGATGTCACTCATTTATATAATCCAAGGTTGTCATAGCACCCAATCTGACTGTCAATCAATGATACATACGTATATATATATGCACTTTGTTTCGTTCTTTGATCTTATTATTTATTATCTATTGATAATATTTCCCGATCATTAAACTACGGACATACCTGCTGAAAGTTTGTTGTTGGAACGTAGATGGTTTTTTAAATGAAGGAAATTGTGGTGTAACATCACGAACGATGATCGTTGGTTTATTAATATGACGTTGATCAGATCCAATGGTATTGATTGAAGGTGTTGTTTTCGGTAATACAGACGACTGATCTAATCTATTATTATTGCTATTACTATTAATAGTATTGTTATTACTGGTATTGGTATTATTATGAATCGAATTTTGACGTTGGTTTGAATTTGAGTTTGAATCTGTTGAGTTGTTTCGTTGATGGCCAGGTGGATCGTGTGGTGTTTTTGTTACGAATAACTGCTTCAGCTTTTCTACACATGAACCATCGTCAATGACCGGCAAGGAAGGTTCATTTGAGTTGTCATCATCAGTTTTATTGTTGATATCCACTGAACTTTTACTACGGCCAAGTACAGGTCGGTAAGATTCTTTTTCCTGCTCTGGATTAGTCATTATCGGCGATGACGGACGAATTGGTAATGGTGGAGGTGATTGTTCTTGTTGCAAACGTAAATCCCATTCAGATTTACTTAACGCTGAACATACACGTTTTGTTCCTGAAGGAGTTAATGGTTGATATGTGGCAGCACTTTCATTGATAGGTAATCCACTTTCTCCTTTAAACGATTCATTCACATGGGGATCAACAAAAAATTCCGAACGTGATCTCGATGATCCATATTTAAGTATAGGTCGTAATGAATTGACTGGATTCGATGCCGGCTCCACATCGTAAATAGCTTCTTGTCGTTGAAGACGTGGTAGTGACGATTGCCTCAAAGGTATCTCATCGTCGTAGATGCCCGTTTGTGATCGATTTAATAGAAACGAAGACGATTCGGACGGTTGTATGTAGTCGATTTTCGATGCAACCGTATGCCAGATATTTCGAGTAGTGTCCAACGCCGTACGTGGTACGATTCCAGTAGTATTGGAACTTCCTGGATCATAACGACGAATCAAACGCAGAACATTCGAATCCATGATTAAAGTTGATCGATATTGCTGATTACCTTCTCCACCGGTGGAAGATGAAGAAGAGATTCTTCTTGATTCATCGAACTCGTCATCCTAGAAGAAACAACAAAGTATCGATTAAAACCTTGAACCGGTTATGAGAATGTTGATGATGCACATCATCTAATAATCTGTATTATATTCTAAGAAAAAAAAAGAAGAAAACGAAGAGATTAGAAGGAAATCTTCGCTCGTCTATCTTTCCTTCTTTTTTATTCACATGACGAATAACTCGGTGTTGATAAGCAAAAAAACGCAGGAACGAAGGAGAAAAATATCGGCAAGAACGACGACAGAATTGTTGGCAGCCCACACATATGTACAGATTGTTCTAATGATCAGACGCGTGCGCATCGACAAGAATATGGCAGCGATAGCTATGCGAAAGAACGAAGCAAAAAACGCGTTGGAGCAATAACAGCGAGCTACTATCATCATTATCCATTATCATCTTGCTCTCGCTATCATCCATACAACATATAGTCAGAGAAACAAAGAGCACCGTATGTGTGCGTCCCTGAACTGCTTGAGATATGACGCCTACGATGATCAATTGATATTTTTATAGGAAACAGACGTGTCAATAAAAAAAGAGTGTTAGAATTGATTGTTCGACTTACCCAATGGTTTGAACTTTTGACTTGTGGAAAGAGAAAGATTTGTTGCCGTTCCGGTTGATTTTGTACATAATGTTGATAACATCGTTGGCCTTCATTTCCAATATTGATATTGCTATAGTTAATACGATTGTTGCTATTATTACTATTATTATTATTGCTGTTCCTGTTGTTGTTGTTGTTGTTCTTATTGTTGTTTTGGCTTTTTGTCACTTGAATTGGTAGGAAAACGGTTCCGACGTTTGCCGACGCAGCTGAGGTCGACGATGGCGGAGAGGAAGAAGAAGAAGAATAAGATAATGGTATCATCGAACTAACAACTATTGCCATATTATTACTTATAATATCGACTGGAATAGAACGAGTCATTGGTTTCTAGAGATAAAATCAACTTGATGAGAATTTTGCCTTCGACGTTATTTTACCTGAATGGATGAAGTAGAATGCATCGGCGATGGCGATTTCTTTTTCATTATGACCAGGGATGACGAAGTTGGGATTGCACCGAATTTGCGACGCCCCTGAGTGATTATTGGCCGATAATCCGTCGGCCTAATCTCTTTCGACGAAGACGAGGTTGGTAATCGATACATGTGCATATTCAACGGGCGTGGTATAGAAATATTTTCAGTTGTTGAAGATTTTTGTATCATTGCTCTATCATATACTCGATTATTTACTGAACAATGTATAATTGTTTCAGGGATACGTTTATTTGCACATATAACTCGATCATTGAATTGTCCTTGTTCACTGAACGGAAGAGTTTCTCGTTTGGCTAATATATGTAAATTTTCATATTCAAATTTTGCAGTTGAACATTGATGTTGGTTTGTGAACTCCGTTTTCGGTGGATGGTAATGAACATTGAGCTTCGAACGATTGTTGTAGAACGAGATTGGTGACATAATATTTTCAAGAATCTAGAAAGAGGAAAGAAACGAAAGCTGAATGGATCAAACGCATCTCTGTTCGACTTGATTGGTATTTTAAAGTCATCAAGAATACAATAGGCAAGGAAAAGGAAAAAAGAACATGACGAATGCTTGACACTCCTATACATTTCAAAACTCGATTAGTCGAAGATTCAACTTAGTTAAAGTCCTATACATTCAAACGACGATATGACGATTGAATATTCAGTTTTACTTAGGAGTGTCTTTTCTTTTTTTTTCTAGAGAAAAGAAGAAAAAGAATATGAAAAAAAGGAACAAAAGAGAGAGAGGGCCAAGCCCAAAGCTACACCTTGGAAGACAATATACGAGCATATGCGACAAGAAAAGGCATAGGCAAAGAAAATAAACATCTATATGTACATGTGCATCCGGGGAAAGTTTGTTCTAATCAAGTCAAATTGGTGACAAACGTTCTGTATATTTATATAATGGATGTAACTTTTGACTAACCCGAGTTCATTGAACATCTGTGTGTCGAGCGAAATCTGTTGATGAAAAAAACAAAACAATGCTTTTATCCGGTCGCTACACGTTGACAAGGATTAGTTGAATGATAAATGTACTATTCAAATCGAAGTATATACGAAGAGGGAGAAAATGTGTCGTATGTATAATCTATCTCTGTACCTGTGTATGTCAATGTTACGTTATATGGGACCTCGAACCTAAATTCAATTTGCATGAAAACGAAGAAAAGAAATGTGAAGGTGTATATGCATGTTAAATACGAAGCATTGTGTCTCTCGGAAGAAATTCTACGTTCTCTATTCAATGCTTGATCTCACTTTCCAGACGGAGGGAGAGAAGGAGAGAGGCGAAGAAAATGATCAAAAAAAAACATCAGATTATTGCGATCAATGCCATGTAAAGCTAACTAATGCAGATGATGTATTCATTGTATAGGAGCGCATTTTTCTTCTCTTCGGATGAGATTTTCATCGCGCTATGAAAAAGATTGATAGACATACAAACAAATTGAACGAACGGCTCTTTCAATCTAGTTAATGAGATCACAATTTGTTCATCCCAATATACATATTGTCTGTTGACATGACATTTTGTTGTACGACAATACATCACCATTACTTACATCTTGGTGAGTCTCTCACAGTAGTAATTAGTCGTCGTGCTCGTTACGAAAGAGAAATAATCAAGACCTGCATGACAAAAAAGATGTTCTGTGACAGATGTTAAGTTAATTAAACTACCAAATGATATGTGATGACCGGATATCAGTAATATCGTAGGCAAGATAATGAGTACATATTGTTTCTCATCATCGTATGAACGAGAGTGAATGAATCAATCATGCGCATAATAGCAATCTATGTCCTTTTCAATGAATGTGATTATATCCATAATCATAAACAAAGAATAGTCAATGTCCATGTGTGGATGTGCAAATCTGTTTCTCATTCGGAACGTTTTTTGTTTAATCTTTTCGTCAGTAGACGGCGATTTGATCATCGGGGGTGATAGACGAGTGTCTGGTGTGTCGTCATTTACTAATCAATGACTTGATCAATGTCGGGTCTGCAAAGGAAGGAAAGAATCAATCATAGCTTGCTCTATAAGTTAGCGATAATCAATGTACATGTTCATTGATAGTTTCTTTTCTTATCGACAGAAAATAAAACGGTTACAAGAGAGCATACAGGTGCCGAATGACCTTCTCTCATCTGCTTTACATTTGTAGACAAGTTGGGAAGCCCAATAAAGAAGCAAAAAAGAATTGATGATTGGCATCTTTTATTGAGACATATGTCATGATGATTACGCAAGTGATCTGTCAGCGAAATATAAGCGTCGGAGCAAAGTATACACACATGTACCAGATGATACGGTAAATTTTACAAACGAATGTAAATACATTGCAGTTCAAGGTGACATTTGTCGTCTTCATTTCAAACTTTGAAGTTTATCATAACATATGATTTCTCTTGAATATGAATTCGACATTGCTGCTACTGACATGTGTCTTTAAACGAATTCCTTCCGTGCACAGATGTTTCTTCTTTTAGCCTATGCAAATCAGAATCCGGGAAGAGAAATTCGTCCATGTCGAGTGAAGGTCTCGAAACAAATAACATTATTGAAATTATCCGGTCACTAACTGACCTTGACGATCTTCTACGCTTTCATTCGAACTTCAATTGAAATTTATTCATTAGTTGCATTTTATGCGCAGATGAAAGTCAATGACAAATTCATTTACATCAACAATCGGCCAATCTTTAATAAAAAGACAACTTGTTATTATTATGATTGGTGTTTTACATTTATACAAAGAATAAAAGAAGAAGAAATGTATGGAACAAAAGGAAAAACAAACACAACTGGTATAATCGAATTTCTGTTATGTCCGCAAGCAAGAGAGTGATTATTTTCATTGACAACCTTACCTGAGAAGTGGAAAAAGAAAAAAAAACCCACAGTGAAACATTCCGAAAAAGACACCGACTAACTAAAAAAGTTCCTTGATAGACGTCCAAGTGAACAAATGTTCATATTCATATATAAAATGTACACATTATACAAAAGAAAAACATGAGTAGAACGTTATACGTCATATAGAGAAATGATGCAGTGTATTCGAATGATAGGGAAAAGATTCACAACAGCAAACCACACGAAAAGGAAATCGAAGGAGGAAAGATGAAAACAACTGATAACACATAAACACACACACAAGTTTTCCTGAGTGATGCGGTTGTCTCTTTCTCTCTGTCCCTTCTTCTGAGCTTGGCAACTCTTTCTCTTTTGTTGCTTGATCGACAGCGCATCTTCATCGTTTAGCTAGTTTACTTTCCATTAGGTATAGCAATAACGTCCACACTCACGTAGTTCATATCAGTTAAGGAAAAATAACATGCTCGAACGAAAATATGTTACAATAGAAAAAGAATTTGTCACTACTAAAAAAATCAAATAAAAACAAGTATGAAATTCGATTGTTGCAGTGCATGATTTCGCCACAATATGTCATTGAATATTAAGTTAACGTTCCATACGAAATGTATCATCACATAGGTTTGAATCAAGAGAAAGATCAGCTCCGTTGAGCAACTGAAGAAGAAACGAGAAGAACATATGCAAACGAAGAAACGTCGTCGGTGATGTCTACTTACGAAATCATCTGCAGGTAACTGTAAATCTGTTGCATCAATTAGATGATCAAATGCAAGCGAAAAATCATTGTTCAATTCTTTCGAGAGATCTAACTTCGAACTATCGACATCTACGAATAGAAGAAATCAGAACCAGTGTCAAAAATAGTCAACCGAGAACATTCGACTGGCAAGTAGTCAGAAGAATATTAGGTGAGATGAAAGTTATCTAGACTGTTTCATAACTATAATTAGGCGTTGAATTCTCCTGATAATACAATCGAAATCTCTAAGGTTGTGTTACATTTAACTTTCGATTCTGTTTTGTTTACTATGGAACACTTTGATCTCACAGGAATTTCACTCGGATTGAAACACGCGAACCAAAGTTCATGTTTAAACTCACAGTGGTTCAACCGATAAATTAACTTTCGATACTCATGTGACTATCAGAACAAATACAACGAAGAGAAAGTCAAGATTTTGGCTTCTAATTATAGTTTCCTGAAAAGTAGTTCGAATCAATTATTACTCTAAACTACAAGGCACTCTCATTAATATAAAAAAAAACTATATGTCAATGATAATTTAGAGGAGACATTCTCATGCAGGATATAATTACCCGTTAAAATTATATTCGGAATTGTAGGACTCTTTTGATTTCCATTGTTCGACATACTTCCAGGTGATTGATTATGTACGTATGGAGGTGTCCTTTTGAAATGGAAAAGAATATGAAAGAAATGTAGAATAGTCAAAGTTTACATGTCATCGATAAACGATGCGTAGAACTCTCTTGGTGCAAAATTGTTCGAGACGGCAGGTGTTGTCGGAAGGGAATGATTTTGTTGTTTAGATGGTGGTGATTGTTGTTGTTGTTGTTGAGTGTAGAATGTGTTATCCTGTGAAGGAAAACTCGTGTTTTTTTTTGGCGTAGAAAAACGTTTTTCGTTTTACCAATGTGATCTGATCAAACTGATTTGGTAATGTAAAATAATGTTGTGTGTTATCTGTCGATTGCTGCTGCTGCTGCTGTTGTTGTTGTTGTTGTGGAGAAAATGGAGAGAGTTCATTGGCAGGACTTGCTAATAGATGAGGTGAATTTTGTGGTGAATAACTTGATAAAGATGGAGGACTTTGTGGTTCAACTCGATAATGATTTTGTTGAGTCTATCGAAGAATGTCTATGAGAAACGAATTTTTAGAAAAACTAAACTTACAGAAGACACATCTGGCGATGGTGAGTTTTGTCGACGTGGTGAAGCTGCTTTTCCATCACCAATCGGACTATGTCGACGACGAATACTTGGACTTGTCTTCAATGGTCCACTCTGTGATGGTAATTGTTGTTGTGGACCCTAAGAAAACCAACGTTTTCCTTTTTCAAACATTCGAATTCAGCAATCAAGACTTACGAGTGCATATAGATCATCATTATTCGTTGAATGTGATGCTGGTGCTGTATTAAAGAATGGTTGTTGATAATGATTATGACTGTGATTATTAGTAGTATTACTAAAAACATTTTCATTACGTAAATCAGGTAATGAACCACCACTACGTGGATGCTGATTGGGTGGCAACATCAGAACATTTGGATTAACATTTCCACCACTAAAACGTGGTCCTAAAAGTGCATGCTGCTGATTAGTTATCGTTGAAGGTGCAATTGGTTGTTGTCCAGATGAATAAAACATATTTGTTTGATCATGTGGATAATTATTATTATTTAAATCGTAATAATGATTCACTGGCATTTGTGCATGATGGAATTGTTGATATGTTGCTTGATTACCATAGTGAGGCGGTTCTAATTTGACATTATTGATATCAAAATCGATTCGTTGATCTAAACAGCGATAAAAAAGGCGAAATGATGAAAATGGAATTTTTCAACACAAACTATTATCGTGATTATCAACTTGAGCATGGTAATGTGCAACAACAGCTGGCATCATCGCATGGTGAAGTGACGAATCCGAATGAGTTCTAAGATAAAAAATCAAGCATGATCGAGATGTAGAAGTTGCTTTTCTTACCGACGCCATTGTGGATTTTCAGGCGGTTGTAGCAATCGGTCAGAGCCGTTGTCATGTTCCGTCTAAATAGAATTCACTAACGATTTTCATCGATCGATTTTATTGTTAACATACGTTGATAGACTGATTCGTATAATTATTGTTATCTGAATGATTCACTCTATTCGGTATCTGATAAAGTTGAATAAAATAGTCAAATTTTATCTTAACGTGAATAAGTTTACCTCATATTTACGCATGGGAACATCTAGTTTTGTTTTTGTCGAAGACCCTCGATCGGCTTTCTAGAAGGAAAAAAAGCGAAATATACTTGTTTTTTTCTTCGCCATCAAATTCGAGTGGTGTCATACCTGTTTGGCCGCTTCGACTTCGTATAGAATGGTGTTAAATGCTGCATCATCTTCAGCTTGTTTCTGTTGGAGAAGAGCGATTTTCTCAGCGAATTTACGTGGACTACTCATCACGAGTATTAATATTATTGGGCAAAAGCAATAAGGTGTAATATATTAAAAGAACCGAGAAGTAGGTAAGAAATAAGTTGTGAGTATGTAGACAGAAGAAAGAAAAAAAGAAGAAAATAAAGAAAGCGAAAGAAGAAAAAAATGAAAAGGTGAAACCTGAAAAAGAGAATGCAAACGAATATGTACAAGAGCATAATAATAACAGGAGAAAATAAAAAAGAAAAGAACGAAAGAGAACGACTAACTTACCGGCCAATCTATTTGTCAACACAGTCGATAATAGTCATAAATAAATTTTAACAAAATCCAACGATTGCAATATGACATGATGATCTCTTCGTCTGTATAAACAATCGAGAAAAAAAACAAAGGGAAAAACAGTTTCAAGTGCAGAAAACGCTTCTGACTTTGTCACAAAAGCAACACGCAGGCGTTTGACAGGTGTGCATAAAGATATAATTAAAATATTATCAAAGTAGAAATCATGATGAAAAAGAAAAGTACTTTGTTTAATCTTAGCGAAGAAGACAAAAAAAACCAATGACGAATTAATCAACTAATGTCTTGCTAAAAGATTTTCTCTCGCTCTTTTTTTGGGTTATACACACTCATGAGGAATCTCACTTGTTGTTACTCAAAAAATAGAAGAACGATGGGCAATAAATGTGTTGTTTTTTTTTCGGCAAGCAATTAACCAATTAGATTAATCAATTTGAAACGAATGAACTTTCTAATGAAATGTCGAACGATGTTTCTAGCGAAATAAACAATTGCAAATGTTTATTGATGCATTCTCATCTACTAGTTTGTTATCTAATACTCTATCGTCAATTCGATATTGGTGAGTCGATTGACCAATAGAAATTGCGTCATTAACGACGACGACGACGAAGAACAATTCAGCAAAACATACAGCTGCTGCTCCTTCTCACGAGTTACAGATTTGCCAACGATTTCCATTTCTATTTTTACCAGGTTCTTTCTTCTCAAAACAAATGGTAATATAACCGAGTACAGAGCAGCGATGTGTAATAAATTCTAAAAGGCTATTGATAAAGAATACATTAATGTAACATATTTATTCATATTCGTTCTTGTCTAACGGCGATGTGTTCCGGGTAAAAAAAAACGTTATTCAACTGAGAAGAAATTTGCTATTTTTCTTCATGATGACGCACACATCTCATTGGAACTAACTTTAGATTATTTGTTTCATCTTTGTAGATCCATGGCGACGCATCGTTTTCAAGTAACTCGTGTACCGGAGGTATCCGGTGAGCGCAATTCACCACCGGAACTGATACCCCTGATGACAATTGAGAATGAAGTTCCACAAGCTCCACCATTGCCAACAACAATTCAAACAGCGAATGAAAAGTCGTCGACGATTCGTTTGAGTTCATTTCTGAAACGACGATCTCTCGATCCGCGTCGTCGCGCAACTATTGCTGCTGCTTTTGCATCTCTTGGTAATCAGATAAGACGAAGTACATCTGCCGAAGTGATTCATGATAAAAATGCAATATCTACGCAAGCACTCCCATCTAGTCAAACGACTTATTCACTACCGAAAGACAACGAAGATTATGATGTCTATTCAACTACGCAATCTAATAATTACGATTCCAATCCGTCGAGTATAACGAATAAATTTCTGCAAGAACTACGTTCTAAACGTCGCGAACTGCGTGAAAAAAGTAAAAATATTTCAATCGACCTGCGCATTGATTTTAACCGCCGATTACACCAACGACCCGTTCTACGTGCTCAAGATATCTTTGCCGTTCATTTTCAATCTCACGACGATGATGATAATCATTATCTCTTTGCCGAACCGAATATTTTTACTGAGGAATCTCAAGAAAAAATTCGCAATGATATTTATCAAGAACTAAATCGTCAACAAATCAAAGAATATCGAAAACGCAATCGGCATTTATTCGTCGGTCGGTCACTCCTGATACTGATGACGGCAGTATTGATCATCATGGGTCTCTCGTTAATCTGTGTTGTTGTCGATACGTATGAACGAGCAAAATATCCCGACGCGAAATTTCCGGAAAAAGATTTTATTCCAATGATTTTTGATAGAACAACAAATTTCTAGTAATCAGATAGATATGATTAAAAATGAGTTATAGACTCTAGTCTTTACGCTCTCAAGTGCACGCTTTTTCATTCTTATCTACTCATGAGAGTGTTCATGATGCTCTAAGTAGTTTTGTAGTTCATTTGTACAAAATAAAGCATGAATTATACCTTTCGAATGGCTTTTGTCACTGTTTTGTCTGTTCACTCATAATAGATACTCACTGTATTAGACATGTGTGAGACTTGCCTCTAACGTCAAACTTTGTTCTGATATTTCGAATATGTTACATCTTATGAAAACAAAATTCAATCAGCTTTCTAGCGGCGACGGAATGTTCCCATCCGAGGATTTTGACGAATACTTCCGCTTAATATTTCCTATGCGAATCTTCAAAGTCGAGACGTACACAGGGCACGTTCGATATCATCCATTGTTTCTAATTGACTTTGTAAATCAATTTCGATATCATGAGTGAATACTAATGACATCGAACGTGCCATACCGATATCGACGTCAGCGAAATCATTCACATCAAAATGAATCGCTTGTACCGAATTAATCATAGTTATAACATCGAGGGGATAATTATAAACAATGTGTGCAATCCGTTGGATAACTATATGATTAGCTGCAAGTCCCATTAGGAAACGAACGTATTCTAAAGGAAAGTCAAACAAGAATAGAACAATAGATTTTCTTGTAAAACTCACTGTAAGCATGAAAACTCCAAGCAAATAGCACACATGTTGAAATAACTACAGCTTCAGTTTATATAGCACCATTTTGGGGCACTCGAATCTAGAAGAGATGAATACTTTTCTCAGTGAACAAATCAATGTTGAACGGACGATACTGATTAGCACACAAGTCAATGCGACGGGTGCTAACATCACGTCATTTCTGTTGTCTACTTTGAGAACACTGATACTTGGATTCGTGTTTCGATGGGTGAAAATGAACAGAATAGATTTAGAATCTTCGAACAAATTCCATCACGTTCTCATCAAAAATCCAATGCAGATTCTTACAGATAGTCAGAACCATCGCAACGATAAAAAACAGGGTCACATCAATGTCTGATGAAGTTTTATTGGATGATGCACCATGAAAATATCGTATATCTTTTAATGGTCTTTCTCCACTTTCGATCAGTATTTGTACACTTGCTGCACATATGACAATTGCAAGGATAATAACGGGAACTGTTTGCAGACGTGTTCGTCCTACAAGACATGATCGATATGCTTTTCATCAAATTTAAACCGTTCTTTTTCCTATCAGCTGGATATTTGTAGGGATCACGTCTTCGTATCCTACGAGCTGACCTAATCAGGACAAGATTCGTGCGAATATTGGTGATACCGTTAACGACTGAAGAACCCTATTGAGAGCGATGGTGAAACGACAGCACCGATGATTTTAATAACTACATGAAGCTTTAAAACAAGCAGATGAGTCTTTCGAAGGTAAGGCATACAAGCGATCGAACAATATTGACGATTAAATGAATGATAAACCAAGAGACGAGCTGCCTGTTGCTCTCGATACTGAATTCTTGAGATTTAATTTCTCTCTTCTTCAGTTTTCGATACCAGAACATTTTCAATTGATCTAATCAATTCTAGTGATTTAGTATAAAACTTTTCAAATAAAACAAGCCGCGTTCAAAATAAGTACCTCATCGGACTTACCGAACTTTTCGCGGTAACAATTTGTCATCAGCTCGACACAAAGATTTGTATTTTTGAATATGTGCTAAATATCCATACAGACTCGGTGGGACTGGCGATGATGGTTCAGGAAAATCTGTCAGATCGATGATTCGATCGGATTCGTTTTAACCGACGAAAACATTGACGATCTTATTGAACCCATAGCTAAAACAATAATCAGAGATTTAAAATATCATTTATACTTATCAGTGAAGCTTTGACTACGTGAAGGTAAAATTAGAAAACATGAATAATGAACACAATGACCTAAAGTCATCGAAAATCAAGCTCTTCCTGGTGAAATAAATCTGCCCAGAACGATGATACGCTCACAAGTGACTGAAATTGTCTTTTCAAAATATAAGCAATATACTGCTAAGTGAACAACTAAAAGTATGGGACAAGTGCGTCATCTACCGAAAGTCACGAGGTAATTGGTTCTAATAACAGCAGACAATACATAGCTGAATCAGTTGAAAATAATTTGTGCTTATTTCTTCTCCTACTGATAATCAAGTTGATTACTTAGAACAATGGCGAATAGACCCTATTCATGTGATACATTTGTTGTTTTACCACCTCTGACAGATTCAAATTTTCGCATATTTGGCAAGAATTCCGATCGACCAGCAAATGAAGTTCAAGAAGTGATTTTAGTCTCCAATGAACATACAAGTGAGAATAAAGATTTTGTTCAGGTAGAACTTTTGTTCTTCATGTTCGATCGCAATATTTACCAGAATTATCAATTTAGTGTACACATATTTCGATTCCACAAGTTTCAACAACATATCGATGCATCTTATCAAAACCAGCTTGGTGCTGGGGTGCCGAAATGGGGGCTAATGAACATGGTGTCTGCATTGGCAATGAAGCGGTGTTTTCTAAAATACCCTACGAATCACGAGAGAATGCATTGACCGGTTTAGATATAGTTCGGTTAGTCTCATAATTACCTGCTAATTATTGTTTACAAAATGCTCAACATAATGATCGAGATAGGTTGTTTAAATCGTCAGGGAGATTACCTTTGCGTTTACACTGAGTGAACTACGGGGTTTTTTTTATCATTCTACGAAGATATATGATGACTAAAGAGATAAGAACGATACCTGGATGTTTTACTGTGAGTGATGCATTATTGTATTATCGCTAACTGTAGGAATTAAAAGTAACTGGAAGATAGATATAATATTCCATTCCTGGCAGAAATTCGCAACGTTCCCTGATCGTGACACCAACCTATAATTACATCTGTTTAGATTATCACTGGAACGCTGTAAGACAGCAAAATCCGCAGTTACATGCATCGGTGAATTAGTTGAAAAGTACGGTCAAGGTGGTGCTTGTTTTCATGCCAGTGCGAATTTCTCCTACGGTTATGATAATAGCTTCCTTATTGTCGACAATGAAGAAGCATGGAGCGTAGAAACATGTAATCGTGTATGGGTTGCCAAGCAGATAAAAGGTATGAAAGAAGCTTAGCATTGCACATTGTCAATAGCATCAATGTTTTTCTAGAAGGATACTATAGTATGTCGAATGTATATTCGATTGAAGATGACTATACTCTGCAAAGTGATAATTTGGAAAAATTTGCACAAGATAATCAGCTTTGGAATAGCAAAGAGAAATTAAATTTTGCGGAAACTTTTCAAGGATCATCGCCATGTACCGATGCGCGTTTGAAAGCCGGTCGGAAATTGTTAGAAACGTTCACCAAGAATGGAAACTTTTCCGTTTTCGACATGATTTCCATCTTGCGAGATGATCAAGCTGGTATTTGCGTTGACGATCGCACTCGAGGTGTACGCACTACAAGCTCGCAAGTATCTCTCCTGACAACAACTAAAAATTCGTTGTTTAATGCTTGTCATCTTTTAACGGGAACACCTAATCCAAAACAATCCGTATTCAAACCATTTATTTTCTTAGAGAATGCCAACTTAGGTCCACTAACCGTATCTACACCTGAAGAGATTACATCACAATGTATTCATCCGTTGTACTCCGCTCATCAAAAAGCCAATTGGGAGACAGTCAATCGACAACGTTTACAAAACTTCGAACACGAAGAAATCATGGAAATTATTAATAAACTAAAATCAGACGACACAAAAGACGATGCTTGCCTTGAAACATTGTTTCACAATAGTGTCGAGACAGAAATTGAATTACTTCGGGAACATCCAACAACAGTATAACCGTCATGTCTGTTCATCTAATATTCCATATTAATCGAGCAATACAACTACTCTTAGTCTCAATAGTGGCAAATGTCTTTTCAATGTCGCACTTTGTTTTATCTCAAATTCTAATAAATTTCCGCACGCGTCTATTTCTAAAATCATAATTTCAATTATGGTTAATTACTATTCTATTCAGTACCTCTCGAGGAAGCAAATCCTGAAAGACAAGTAGACAATAAGAATTCTGCTCGATTAGCTACATAGTCTTGGAATCTCTATCCAGCTTAACTATTTTCTATGATTCGCTAGACATTTTGACAATTAAAACGCCTAAGGTGCTCATGATTCGCTCGAATACATTTTAATATATCGGATATAATCAATCGGCGAGATTACAGTATTCAGGAAAGCTCCCGCTCGAATAGTCAAGGTCAGTAGTAATTTGTCAGGTATGAGAGAGTTCTGCGAAATGCCACTGCTATGTCATTCGTCTCATTTAACTAAGATTCGTACGGAGAAGATCTAATGATTTCCTTGTCTGTTAACATTTCTCGTCTTCCGTTAGTTAATCGTCCATTTAAAGCATTTTTATGGAAGAATAAGTTAGACTAAGACAATGTCTCTGATGGCACATTGACCTAATTACTCAAAAGTCTTATTCAGAAATGAAACGTTTTTGAAATTCATGAAAACGGGAGTACTCTGGAACATACTGTCAGAGGGAATTTTCGATGTTTTATAGAACTCCAACATAATTAACAAATAATTTGGCTATAAATTTTTCAGGAAAGAAGAATCATTTATGAACAATTCTTTTGGATTTTATCAAAACACTTTTTCATATCAATGGCATTAATTTTGACTAAAATTCTCTGATATTTTACTAAATATAGACTTTCCGAATAATATATTCATCAATATGAAATAAGGGACATCTTGATAAATAAAATGTTCCGACTATAAATATTCCTTTCATATACATTTGAACAAAAGAAACCGTTTGAAGATTCTATGACGCATCTTGATAAATACGCATAGAAAATCAAGATCGATTTTTATTCGTATGCTAGTCATGCCATCAACTGTTCTCATTTTCCTATACATTTTACACGATTGAGTTAATTGTAATCGGAAGACACGTGATCAGCTCATGTTCATTAAGATTTGACCTAATGCACTGATATTTGAGTAAATGCAAAGATTTTTTCCAACGGCAACCTAAGTGCAAATCGCAATGAATGTCATCAGGGATTTGAATATACTGACAAACATTACTATCGTGTGAGATAGATGAACTAAAGAATACTGTTTCGACCACCTGCGTTTTTTATCCATAGACACTATTTTTAAACAGACAGTCATTAAGACAACTACGAATCAAAGTACATCCGTTCGCTTTCTTGACTCTCTTCGCATACAATGCTTATTTCCGTTATTTCGAATGTGTTACGTTCAGAATTGTTGTTAACTGGAGTGAGGCGCGAGTTCGTGCCGATGTTTACATTAGATCTGATGTGTGATCCATGCGCACTTTCGCAACATTCATCTGATCGTTGATTTTGCTTGCAGACAACATTGACGATGGCTTCGAAAATATTATTATTTTAAGAATTAAATAAAGTGACCTTTTAACAAAATAAACGGGTGAAGACGAATGAAAAAATCAAAAATTCGTTGGGGCGTTGTATGTTTACCCAAGTAAAATGGTGAAGAAAGAAAAAAAAAATCGAGTTTTTTTCTTTAATATATATTCGAATGTTTTGTCAGTCGAGCGAATACTTTTCATCCAACAACAGCATTCTCTGATCGATTATTTCAGCTAAACCATGACATCGAACGTCGAAGAAGTTTGTGATGGAGAGAATTTGGCGATCATCTTAGCGATCTATTGGGTTGTTTATATGCTCATCAATGCCATCGTCTTTGCTGGTGCTATGTATATTCTTCAACAATGTCTCGAGAAAAAGAACAGTAATCATACCGGTCGAAAATATGACAAAATACGACGACACAGTACTTCCCGTGCAAGCAGTTCAATCAGTTTGGTTTCGGGACACAAGTATTAACTTGAATGAATCGATTCATTGAAAAACAAACCAAATCTTTTTTTCGCTTTATTGTATGATTGAATGTTTGTGATTATTCTTATTTCAAAAGAAGGACCAAGTCACCGAAAGATCTAAAAATACTTCAGATCAATTAAATTATTTTGTTCGCAAAGAAAAAAAAACCTAATCATCATTTCAAGGCATTCAATGAAGAGATAATATCCGACTGCTTGATAATAATGCAGACATTTCACTTCTATTCTTTTTCTTTCTCCTTGTTCCATACAAAATTTTTCCATTATTCAATGAAAAATATTTAACTATTGAGATGCATACTTCTCTTCTCGATCAATGTTATTAACTCCGACGAAGTTCGGGGGCAGAAACAACATATGATTGCCAATGTTCTATAGAATAATAGAATAAATCAACGACGATACTCTTCGTAATTAGTTTTCCGCGAGTTGTATGGAACTTTCACGCCCAAACATCGTTCTCTCTCGATTTGAAAAGGGCCCAGAAGGTGAGAGCATTTCCATCTTTTTCGTCGAGCAAATCTGATAATAAGCAGAGCGAGAATATGTTTTCGATTGCTTCTTTGCATATTGTGTGTTGATTAATATTGGCCAATTGTTCGAATTAAGAAAAACGAAGGAAACAAATAATAGACGTTGGATTATTTATTCATGTTAAGTGAATATTCACACACACATAGTTAATTGCTAGGATGAGCTGTTCTGCGTGCTGAGAATAATCCGAGAAGTAGAAATTAAAGATAAAGAATCTCGTATATTCATCATGCAAATAATTACGCATTCTTTGCAAATCATGAGCTTTTCCTTTCTCCTCTTTGGATAGGAAAATAGTCACTATCTCATTACTCTAGTCTCTGCTATTCTTTCTCTGATAAACGAATGCATAGAAAATCTAGTGACAGTTAAGAAAATTTTCCCGTTGTTCTTCCTTCTTGTCAGAAGCGAGATATTCTATTGAAAGAACACGCACTATTTAGACTCATTTCTTCTCTTCTTTTCATTTAAAGAACATCGTTTTGTTTGAAGTGAGTTGCATCAGTTTCTTCGAGAAAATTTCAGCCTTAACCAACATTTTAAACAATGCCTGAACTAACAGTTGGCCTCGTCAACCCGGTAACGAATGGCAGTGAAAGTCTCTTTTCAACATATGACTATCTCAATGATCAAATGGAACAATACAATAGTAATATTAATTTAAATACCACTTATTCGAACGGAAATGGTCCGCAACATCTTGCCGAATTTCTGCAGCAATTATACTCGAAAATGTCAGATGAAAAACCTGTTGATAGGTTGCTTTCGAATTCGAATCTGACTGATGTCTCGTCATCGTTATCATTTTCTACTTCATTGCTATCAATGGATAGTTTGCTGCCAACATCGACTACTAAAAACAATTCTTATCATTTTCTTTCAATAATCTCATTTTGGATTGTTTTGATGGTCAATCCTATTGTGGTAAAGAATGTGTTGACTTCATTGAAAGTATCTCTGTTCTTTTTCTTTCGTATGTAGATTTCATTCGGTGTTACTGGAAATCTTCTTGCTACATATATTCTCATTCGTTGTAATATCGCCAAGTTACCTGTTTCGTTTTATACAATCATGCTCAATATTTCCGATACGTTAAACTTGTTAATACCTGTTCTGATCTTTTGGTTAGATAATTGCATTAATCGAACACCAGACAAGGGTTACTTTCGAGATCGATCGAATTTTCTTTGGTTTGTTTGCATGATTAAATATCTTCATCTGAATATTTTCTATTCATTTGTTTTAGTAAAGCATTGATGTGTCCGGATCAGCTATTTGCTGCACTAAGTGCTTGGTATATGTGTGCGATATCGTTCAATCGTTGGTATTCAGTCTGTCGACCCTCGTCTTATTTCTTTCGTGCTACTATATCTGGAGCCACGAGTACCAATACAAGCGATACACATCGAACACGCAAAAAGCATTCAACCGGTTCCATGATCATGTCAAATTCATCATTCATACTATTCTGTATTCCATTCCATTGCTTAGTCCAGAACACGAAACTACGACAGCATCTCCAAGCATTTCGTAGTATTTTCTTCATTACACTCATGGGTATCCTATGTTGTGTTTATCCAATATTCATGCACGAGCTTCGAGCTGTTATCTCAACCAATGGACACGTTTTTGATTTAGAAAAGAAGAAAGCGCGCACTTATGCTGTTATATGGAAGCGTTGTTATTACAGTCAAAAACATGAATATGCCTATGACATTATCGGGATAATATTATCATGTTTTCTGCATATATTACCACTAACATTTGTTGCTGCGATGAATATCATGATTATTTTGCGTTTAAGAAAACGGCAACGTCTCATGACAATATCAGCCAACTTATTCCCGACGAAGATGTTGATCGCCAAGAAGAAGAAACCGCTCGTGGAATCGCAAAAATGCACATCGTATGTGCCACGTTCTCCATCGGAAAGAAAAGACACGTCTCAAAATACACAGTGGATGCATTCTCAACCAGCGATTTTAGCTACGCGCAAAGATCAAGGAACGTCGACGGATCTTTCAATCCAGACACCTCGTCCAATGAATCAATTAAACATTCCATCAACGTTAGCTCCACCTCGACGACATCGCTCACGAGATCGAACAATAACAATAATGCTTGTCAGTGTCGCTCTATCCTATCTAATTTTAACTCTTCCCTATCGCTTATTTTGGTCTTATAATGTTTATATCAAACGTATGCATCCTGAGAAATTAACATCGGCAGTTTATTTATTAAAAATGCATTATATCGACCATATACTTCGTACCATACGTAATATACACTATGGAACGAATTTTGTTTTCTTTATTTTTCTTTCGAAAACATTCCGTCGAAAATTTCGGCAAATATTCATTGAGAAACTCTTTCGAATGATGGGACGTGTATTGAATCGAAGTTCGCCGGTCGCAAATACGCCTGAACATGCGGGAAACTCGAAAACCAATCGTCAGCGACGCGTAGGAGCGAAATCCAAAGAACGAGCAAGCAAAACAAAGCCAGATTCGTTGACTGAAAATGGATCTCGAAGTCTATTCGACGAAATTCCAAGTGCTGAGGAAAATCGTATTCGTGAAGACGAAATTCTCCCAATACTCGAACTTCAACAGTATCACATTTCACGGTATAACGGTGAATAAAAACGGACCTGCGCAATTGTTGTCGTTGTTGTTTTGCTTATCTGAACTGGTTTGTTCTACACGTACAGAATTAAATGTTAAGTCTGAAGTTTCTTTTATAAATTGATCTAGGTTAATTGCGGACATGTTTCTACTTTCAATGTTAACAATGATGCCATTCTTAACATTATTTAGCGAATAGTTTCTTTTCTCAAGCATCATTTCTTCATTTATCTATTGCGACATACGCGAAAACGATGTACAAAGGTCGAAGACATCACGCAGCCTAAGTATTATTGAAGAGGCAAAGAAATTTGCAAGAAAGACTTGTAATTTGAACGGACCTTCAAATAGGAAAAGTACCGAGTGGTTATTTTTGTCAAAACAAAACTCACAGAGATGTCTCCACTCTGTGTTCTTTGATCATATTCTTGCAGTTCAGCTCGTAGAACAATACTCAACTTGGTTTGCTCCGTACTCTATTTTTAACGTCGATACGTGCGACGAATAATCATTGCTCAGTGATGGAGAGCATTCTCATTAGCGATGCGTTTTTTAATACGCTTCTGTCAAAACGATACTTCTCTTCCGAAAACAAGTTTCCCTAACAACTGTGAACACAAGGGGAAAAATTATCTTTGACAGTTAATAGATTGGATCTTCTTGTGAAACAGAAAGGTCAACATTTCTAATCTGTATGCGATTTAAGTTTTGGAAGTAATCTGCCGCATAATGATGATAGCTGGATCATACTCTTCGAACAAGTAGAACTTCAATTAGATATCCATGATAAAGAACACTCGTATTAGCATGTACCGTTGTTAATTATAAGTTTTATGATTAATTATTTACTTAAAGACGTATGTTTTAAACAAGAACAAAGGAAATTCGGGATGAGGCGATTAAGATATATGATATTTGTCAAAACAATAGGCGCAAGAAAATATTTTGTGTGCGTGGGATGATCTCTAGAATAAGAACAATTCTTCATATGTAAATATGCTTTCGTTATTTGGTTCTGGTATGGACCTCACATTGTTAGTACATTAGCATAAGTGTGGTTGATGCATATGCATATTCAAAAGCATGAAAGAAATTCTTACACAATTCTTTTTCTGGCAGGGTCACATGTTCTCAGTGGAAAACGAACTCATCAATGTTTGATCTATAGACGAAGAAATTCGTTTTAAATTAAATAGCAAGAGAAGCTTTTGTATTTCTTTTTTTTATTGACTTTTTCGTGATCAACAACAAATATATATATATAAATAAAATTCTGTGCTTTGGAACAATGACTATTATACCCTGATATGGTTTTTATTAAGTACATTGTCGCTTCGCAAGATCTAAACGAATGGAAAATATTTTTGTTTCTCTGTCTTACTCTGTTTATCATGTGAAATTTCATTACTTCGATTGTCATCATCAGCATGCGAACGTTTTTGAAGAGATGTCGTTGCCGAGTGTGAATGTTCAAACCATGAATTTAACCGACCGAATGTCAGGAGACGCAAACCATTCTAGAAGAAAATCTGCTTTCGCACCAGTTCGAATACACCTGGATTACTCACTTGAGCTTCATGTGTAATATCTTCACGCTCCTGATCCGTGAGATTACTGCAAATATTGTTGATAGCATCCGTTTCCCATGGTTTACGTATCCCTGGACCATCTAAAGGCAATGAATGTATACACAGAATAATTAACGTTCTCCAACTTTAGCAATTTCCTGCTAGTCTCTTAAAATCAGTACGCAATATTCTTAAAGTGTTCTTCTCAATTATTTACTCAAGAGGAGCGTTTTATTTTGAGCTTGTACTGACCAGACTGCAGTTTATTTCTTGAACTAATCTTGCATTTATGAAGAATAATTAATACGCGCATGCTGTAATGCTAAACTTGAAAACATTCAAGAGGTAAAAAGAATCGGTACTTGCATACGCTGCACTCCACATCATCGATAGATTATGGCAAGAGACCTGTATTCTTGATCACGAACAATTGATCTACTGACAAGTTCCACTATCTCAAGTGAATTCTCTAGAAATTAAGATTTTTCCGCCACAAGCAGAAAGTAGATTGAATTTCTTCATGAACAGGACGACCTTTTAGTGGTGTAAGAGATAATCTACTGAGGATAAGAAGATGCAGACTGACATGATACCATATTATTAACTATTCCTTTTTCGACATTAGTCGAGAGGCGTGTGTTACGAACATCATGAACTTACTTGACAAAACTAAGCCACCGGCAAGATACTCAAGGACGCGTCGAAATGCTCCGATAGGTGACGTAGACTTGCTCAGGACGTTATCAATGATAATTTCAATGGCCTGAACCAAGTATAAAGTAGAATTTTTCAAACTAAATCAATTTTCATACTTCAGATGGCAATGCTCGCCATCGGGATGAGATTTTTGTTTTATAAAGTAAACACCGTATCAAAGCTGATGCATGTTGTCGTCCGATAATTTGTTTCTGATAATTGAGAAGAAGAGCAATGATTCAAATGTTAATAAAATCGATCAAATAAGCTTTACTTGAAACCATCGAACAGAATGCATTGCATCTATATCAGTCGAATATCTTGTTCTTGATAAATCCTGATTCGACATTTTATTATTCGTTGTTGAAATAGTAAACGATGTAAATGACATTGAAACACACATCTGTCCTTCGCTAGTATGTGTATATACTCGAATACCGTCTTCATTTCGTTGACATTGGATACCATTATCATTTTTCCATATTTCCTAAAGCGAAATGATTGTATCCATAATTCTATGTGCATTCGATTTACGGATAACATCGAAACGACTTTGTCGATAAGTTCTCGCGTTGGCCACTCAACACAAACGATAACAATATGAAAGATCCGATCAGTTTTTATCAGTAAATTCTTCACAAATGAACCAATACGAGAAAAACCTAACAATGGACTTTTGTTTCTAGAAAATCAAATTAACTTTCTTAGTAAAGATAAGCATCAGGTTTGTAACGTACATCACAGTTCCTAGAGTATTCGCTGTTGTGGACATCGATGAAACGGAAAGTTGCTCCGAACATGATTGCAACGCCGTCTCGACATTACTAACAAACCGTTCGATGATACCAAGCTAAAACACAAATCTCGTTGGAATCTTCTTTCTGTATTTACCACTTACTAAGTGTTCGGATGGTACAATCTGTTCATGTAACATCATGAGATACTTCGTGTCGTCGTCGAATTCTGTTTGACTGTTTTGCGAATTCGATTCTTGTGGACAATCGGGTTGTCCTGTAAGATTTGATTGATGCTTTGGACTCGATGGTTTTGTTCGATTATTTACATCGATTTTCAGATTTGGATCAACTTTTTTCTAGAAAGTCAATAAATTCCAATTGAATTTTGCTCGAATTGTATTACTTTATATGACAATTGATGGCGCTTGCCTTTTAAATGTGTATCTCTTGCGTTTGCATCGTTAAATGTACAATTACATAATTTACAATAGTATGACTTGATAGTGTTAGTATCATCGTGCAGTGTTTCGATATATTCTACACCTAACAATTGCATACTATTATAACCTGATTGTTTGATTTCATTGATTATTTCAGATTGAGATTCATTACTAGTGAGAGATGAGAGAGGAGTAGGTTGAGGGATAGTTTTGCCTAGTTTCAAATGTAATTTCAGAGTCTAAACACGCATAAGAACACATGGGTAAGAGTTGAAGAAAGTTACGAACAGCTTCTTTTACCTTCTGATGTTTATTGCCTTCAAGATGGGCGTGATAAGCATCGACATTTGTACAAGTTATATCACATAGTTCGCAAAGAAACACATTGCTTGTTTTTGATTGAGTTTGACAATTACCGGCTTTCTTTATATGCTTAGCACCTTGGATATGTGCTTGGTACGATGCGTGACCACCGCATTCTATTCGACATGTTTCACAATAATAGGTACGAGTTGGAACTTTTGGGGTGTAGGTTGAATTCATTCCGGTCCGACGAATAGCTCTTTGCGGCGGAAGCAATCGAGGTCTGTTCATGACAGGTTGTTCGGAAGGAGCAGTGAATGCAGCGAGCGTTTCAGCAGCAGATTGAATGAGATGATCATAACCTAAATACATGAGTGAGCAATCGAGAAAACCATCGGATACACAAATGACTGACTATTATTGTATTGTTGTGATTGATTCGACGCCGAAGGATACGCTGGCTGATTGGCATATGGTGTAATTGGCGGCTTGAATTGTATATCGATGAGAAGTCTTGTGAAAGAGAGCTTCCTACCTGAGAATAACGACGTGGATAGTCTTGTCTGTAGAAAGGTTGCTGTTGAACAATATGAGGATATGGAAAAGTACTAGATATCATACAATAAAATGGAAGTTTTGAACGAAATCGATGACGTACTTGTACATAGGATAGTTCATCCCATTGTTGGACATGTTTTTTAGTAAAATAAAAACAAACAAGAAACAAAATGAAATAGAAAAGCGGGGTTTCTCAACAAAACACTTATTTATTTAACAAGTTGTCCTAGAGAAGATGTTCTGTCCAATCATCTCTCTTGTGACGTCGAGTGGCATCTGTCGAGTGAGTTGTTTTGAATGGAAGACTACTCCGTCGATTCCCCTTGCCTTGATCATATGTCTTAATCTTAATAAATACCCCGAGTTAAACGAAAACTAGTTTATCTTTAAGCATCAGATCTGAATTCAATCCATGTATGCTCGAAAGTTTCTACTCAAAAGGTTTCTTCGTCAAGAATTCGGTATGGTCACTATCGATTTCCTCGTAATTTACCTCGTGACTTTCTTTCTTAGACCTGTTTATAAAGCCGTGTTCCACGAGGCCACGGAGTGCATTTATACCAAGGTCTGAGCAATTACGTCCTTACTCGTTATCGTCTACGGTGTCAGCAAGATCGAACAACAATTCGTTTACACCACGTGATATTGGTCAAAACTCGAAAAGTAAGTCGAAATAGCAACAAATGTCGGACCTAATTGTAACCATCTTTCAGATGGTGGAAACAATGATGATGGTTCGGGGAAAATAACATTTCTCTGTCCGAAATGTGGTGATGTTTGCACACATATTCAAAGTCTTGTTTGTAAGTCGTTCTATTCGCATCTCTTGATTCTTCTATTCATACGATTCATCTTTAGCATCAACAAGATTTGTCAAATGTGAGAAATGTAGTCATCTTTTTGTCGTTCTATCAGAAAACGAAGGAAATAAGAAAACAAAAGAAGATAAAATTAAAAAGCGGCAACCACCACCAACACCGAAAAAGGTTTGTTTACTTATGAATAACCTTTCTATTAACATGTTTTATTTCACAGATTTTTGAATTCCTCAATAAGTATATCGTTGGTCAAGAACATGCCAAGAAAGTTATGTCCGTAGCTGTGTATAACCATTACAAACGTTTATATAAAAATCTTCCAGAAACAAGCACGACAAAATCTCAGCAAACGTCAACCGATTCATTCAACGGCCTTCTTTCAACTCCGCAGCAACAACAACGTAAATTTTTGAAAAAAAATTCAAGCTCTCTTCATTATTTTATCAATGATTTGTTTAGGTTTTGTTCTCAATGTTGGAATTCCATTTTATACACTACCATTAGACAGTACAAATCCAAATTCTCCAATCAATAACAATCCAAACAGTAATGATGAGTTAAGACATGGAAGTTCGGTTTTGAATAATGAAAAATTTGATCTTAAACTCGAAAAGAGCAATATTCTTATGCTCGGTCCAACTGGATCGGGTAAAACACTTTTAGCACAGACCATCGCGAAATGTTTGGATGTGCCATTTGCCATTTGCGATTGTACAACATTAACACAAGCAGGTACGAGAAGAGAAAAACGATGTTGCATTTCTTTCATTCACTAGTTTTTAGGTTATGTCGGAGAAGACGTTGAATCAGTGATTGCTAAGCTATTACAAGATGCTAATTATAACGTCGAACGGTGTCAGCAAGGTATAAACTCGAATTTGAATGGATTTCATATCTGATTTTGATTTTTTGTTCCAGGTATTGTGTTTTTGGATGAAGTCGACAAAATCGGTAGTGTACCGGGTATTCATCAACTTCGTGATGTCGGTGGTGAAGGTGTACAACAAGTATTCATTTAATTTTCTTCTTTATCGATCATTTTCAAATATTTTTTTTATTGTTAAGGCTTTGCTAAAGATGCTTGAAGGGACCATAGTTAACGTTCCTGAAAAGAATTCGAAGAAGATGCGTAGCGAGACAATACAAGTTGACACAACGAATATCTTGTTTGTAGCGTCAGGGGCATATACAGGCTTGGATAAGATCATTAGTCGACGCAAAAAGGAGAAATATATTGGCTTTGGTTCAACCTCGAATGAATCGCCTTCACGTCGTCGTGCCTCTCAAATGGATCTATACGAGCAAAATGACGACAAAGATGCAAAGATAGAAGAGGAGAATTTAGAACGCGATCGATATCTCCAAGAATGTGAAGCTCGCGATTTGATCGAATTCGGAATGATTCCTGAATTTATTGGAAGGTAATCTACAGATCAGAAATACATTTTCATATGAGTATCAACTGTTCATTTCGATTTAGGATGCCTGTGATTGTATCATTTCATAGTTTAAATGAAGACATGTTAGTCCGAATATTAACTGAACCTCGAAATGCTTATGTGCCACAATATCAAACTCTGTTTCAAATGGACAAGGTAGAAGGTTTTATATCGAATGAATGATTGACTTCGATTATCTTTAGGTGCAATTGGATTTCACAGATGGTGCTCTGCGTGCGATAGCTAAGAAAGCTTTGCAACGAAAAACAGGCGCTCGTGGTCTTCGCTCGATACTGGTTCGTTGAAAGTTGTTCTTCTTATTCCATATTCGATTGAACGTTTATTTGTATAGGAACGTATTCTACTCGAGCCGATGTTCGATATTCCTGAATCTGATGTTGTCGGTGTTCGTGTTGATGAAGAAGCCGTCAAAACGAATAAATGTCCGGAATATATTCGTTCGCGTCCTACAAGCACGACTGAAGATCTTGAAGGGGACCCATCAACATCGACTGATATCAAAACTACGGAAGATAACAACAGCAAAATTTCCATACCGACCGGTTAATTGATGAACTTGATTTCACTCCATATCCTTGCGCATATTTATAAATAACACATCTATGTTGTTCTCCGTGTATTCGACAAAAAACAAAAGCAACTGATTCGAGATTGTTATTGTTTATTTTATATCTTTCTTTTCGTGAAACAAAAAAAGCATCACTTCACTTGTAAATAAACATAGATTCAATATAATTTCTAATCAAGAACTTGAAATATATAGTGTCAAAAAAAGAGACAATCAGTAAAGAAAACTTTACTTTGAACAATTTCGACAAATTAGATACATGCAGAATGTACTTTTTGCTCGGTTCATTTTCTTTGTTCATTTAATGTTAAAAGATGCTGCTTGAATTTACCTCGATTAATAGGATTATATGGGTTAACAAAAGAATTAGTCAAATACAAGAAAGGAGAAGAATTTTCTTTTTCTTTATCTATATTCTGCACCGATGTAGTGGATAACTCGAATTTATTTTTTCTCTCATCGAGGCAGTGCTATAGTCCTTTCTTTCTCCATAATGATTTCTTATATATCATCATCGATAGATGTTTAATAAAGAAAGACACTCGAGGTCTATCTGATGAAATCAAGAAAAATCTAGTGAGAGATAGTGAACAAATAAGTGATATCATCGTCACTGATCGAAGGTAGAAAAAGCCGTGTTGTATCGTTGTTTCCCTTCACTTTGCACACGAACGCGGTCAACGTCGGACGCAAACGCGCATCAGATTAATAGAAGGATAAACAGAGAGGAGAGACGGTTACCTATCGTCGTTTCTATATACGTTCTAAAATCGACATCGGTGTCGAATTCACAGTAAACCCCAAGATGAAACAGGCATGTGAATCGAATCGTTTTCTTAATTAAAATCCACAATCATTAATTTCTTTTGTTTTACAGGTTCATATGAAACTGTTATTGTGCCTTCTATTGGCAACCAGTGCCACTGCCCAAGGAAACAGTAATTAGAAACTTTCGATAGGATTTGATTTAAGTGATTTCTTTCTTATTTGCCATTTTTAGGTATGTTTGGCAGTTTTCCAACCACTAACACATTTGGTCAACAATTAGGTGCAGGTATGACAAATTTCGGTGGTATGAACTCGTTCGGTTCCATGTCAGGCATGAATCCATTTGGTGGCATGGGTAACTTTGGATCAGCTCAACGAGCAGGTATGGGATCACCATGGTCAGGATTCGGAGCTCAAACCAGTTTCGGACAAACTGCTGCTCAACAACCAGCACAAGCACCTGTTGATCAATCAAGCTTTTCCCAACAACAAGCACCTGTTGATCAATCAAGCTTTTCCCAACAACAAGCACCAGCTGCTGATTTACCATCGCAGCCAATAGCTGCTAGAAATTTTCAAAGTGACGATACAGTCAACAATGGTAACGGTAACGGTAACGGTTATGGCTATGCTGGCTCATCATACAGTAAGCCCAGCAGCTATGGCAATGGTTACAGTGGCTCATCATACAGTAAACCCAGTAGCTATGGCAGCTCATCTTATGGCAATGGCAATGGTTACGGTAGCTCATCATACGGAAACAATAACAACTATGGCTCATCTTATTCTGAACCAACCTATGGCCCGCCATTTGGCATTCAATCCACAGGCGAATACACAACATACTATCCAGAAAAACTCGATCTATCTAAATGCGGACCAAGTAAGATCGATCAAAACAACTTGAATATGTGTCTAAATCTTTTCTTTTTCGTTTCTTTTCAGCACCAACCGAAAATCCGTGCACAGCTTACGGTCCACAATACTATCCATTACCCGGCTATCCAAACTGTTACATTCAATGTGCATTTGAACGTATGTTCGTTAAACCATGCCCAGCTAACCTCGTTTGGAACGCACGTATAAATGTCTGTGACTGGCCTACAGTTGCTCCTGCTGGCTATGACAACTATGGCACATCCTCATATGGCAACAGTGGAAATAGCTATGGAACATCATCATCATCGTACAGCAGCGGATCAAACTATTCTTATGGACGAAAGAAACGTTCAACCACTGAACGTAAGAAACGTGGTTATGGTGGTGGTGGTGGCGGTTATGGTAGTGGTGGCGGCGGCTATGGAGGTGGCGGTTATGGTGGTGGTGGCGGCAGCTATGGAGGTGGCGGTTACAAATCATCAAAATACGATAAAGGTTACGGTGGTTCTAAAAAGAGACACGGTTATGGCGGTTTTCCAGGCATGTTCGGAGGACCTTTTCCATTCCCACCCCTTCCATTAGGTGAGTTGGACGGTTCTGAATACTTCTCTAAAACGTTCAATTCTTTCTTATTTCAGGTTTACCATTAGCTCCATTTGCACTACCAGGTCCAGTTGGTTTTCCAGGCCTCGTCGGATTACCAGGTCTTCCACCACCAATCGGTATTCCCCCACCAATGTAAGTGCAATATATCTATGATGAACATCTGAAATTAAACGTTTTACTACTATTTTAGTCCACCAGTTGCTCCAGCTGCAGTGCCAGCTGCCGCTCCAGTCCCAGCTGCAGCTCCAGCTGCAGCTCCAGCCCCAGCCCCAGCTCCAGCTCCAGCTCCAGCTCCAGCTAAAGCTGCTCCAGCTTATGGCAACTCATATGGTAATTCATATGGTAACTCATACGGTGCTCCAGCTAAAGCTGCTCCAGCTCCAGCCCCAGCTCCAGCCCCAGCTGCTGCTCCAGCTGCTGCTCCAGTTGCTGCACCAGTTGGAGGTGCCGTTCCTGCACCAATTGGTGGTATTGCTCCAGGTGTAATTCCGTAAGTACACCATATATTTAAGTGTACTCAACAAATCGATATTATCAAATAATTTTAGACCGCCAATTCTTCCACCACCAATCATTCCACCAATAGGTCCATTCGTTCCACCAATACCTGTTCCTCTTAGTGCTACATTAAGTATGTTTCCATTGATAGCATTGATCTTATTGCTTTTGTTCTTTACTACTAGTTCCTGGTCCATTGTTTCCATTCGGTCCTCCATTCGGTGGTCCATTCGGTGGCCCACTACTTCCACCATTCGGTCCATTCGGTGGCCCACTAGGTGGTCCTTTCGGTGGTCCTTTCGGTGGTCCTTTCGGTGGTCCACTAGGTGGTCCACTAGGTGGTCCACTAGGCGGTCCTTTCGGTGGTCCATTCGGTGATCCATTCCTTGGCGGTCTAGGTTTCGATCCATTCCTCGGCGGTGGCTATGCTGATCCATTATTTGGTTTCGATCCATTATTCGATGGCTTCGGGGTTGATCCATTCCTTGATGGCTTTGGCGATCCGTTCTTCGATGGATTTTCGTTTGGTGATGACTTGTATTTCGATGACTTCAATGCTTAGTAAGTTGCTTCATATTCATGATGATATATTGAATTTTTATCATGAACTCTTTCTTCTCATGATTACAGTGGCAAGCCATACGGTAATAAATACGAAAAAGGCGGAAAGAAATACGGTAAAGGTGGTTACGATAAGAAATATTCGTAAGTTTATTCTTTCTTTCTTTCCGATCCTAATTTGTGTCACTGCTACTACTCATATTTTAGATCGTACGATGATGATTATTATCCAAAGAAATCAGATTACAGCAAGTAAGTTAAATATGTGCTTAGGTGACTGAGAATATTTAACTTCTCCTCGTTTTCTAGGAACGGTAATTTCAAATCCTATTCAAACAAAGGTAGCTACAACAACGACAACTACGGAAAGAAGTACAGTTCGAATAAATACAGCAAAAATAACAAATACGATTCTTATGATGATAATGATTATTATCGTAAGAAACGTAGTTACGGTTCAGCTGAAGAACAAGTACAAACATTTCCCGGAGTACCACAAGCAGATCAATATAAGACATCATACGGTTCCGTTCAAGTTCCATCATATGGTGCAGTACAACCACAAGAACCACGTTTGATTGCTCCAAAACAACGTAAGTTGACGCTTTCCAATTGCTTTCACTTTACCGTAAAGTCTACCATTTAGCATCACCATGCACTGGTAAAGAACCAAAAACCAACGTTGCACACCCATCAGATGCTAGCAAATATATTGCATGTTTAAATGAGAACACTTATGAAGTTATGGACTGTCCAGCTGAACTTCTCTACAATGCTGCTGCTGATCAATGCGAAAAAGTTAAAAACACAGAAAGTCTCTGCGAACGTGACCGACCATGTATGAACGATGGTCAATGCCATCAAACAAGTCCATCAACATACAAATGTACTTGCCGTGCTGCTTGGACTGGTGAACGATGTGAAATTCCAGTTTCATCCTGTGCTGCTGATCCATGCGGTCAAGGTAATGAATGCCACACATTGAAGACCAAAGATTACGCTCAAGATTTCGTCTGTGTCTGTGATGGTCGTCAATCATACGGTTTAAGTTGTGGACGAAACACAGTACCAAACCCATGCTTAGCTGCCTCATCTGAACAAGAACAATACTATCCATTTGCATTCAGCGCTCAAGCTTACGTTCAATGCAATGGTGACTTGCTCTATGTTCGCCCATGCTCTGAAGGTTTATACTGGAATCAAGAAAGCAAAGTCTGTGATCGAATCGAAACATCGCCAGTTCCAGGACCTGCACCAGCCTTAGATCAAACTCCATCATATCAAGTTACTTATGGTAGCCAACCACAACCACAACAACCAACCTATGGTCGTCCAACAGCTAGCTTTGCCGATAAAATTATTGCTACACAACCAACTTATCAACCTAAAATCATCAAAATCGCTGATCAAAGGTACATATCGCACAAACTTTTCTCTCAACATATCTCTTATGTCATTTGTTCTATTTAGCTCATCTGCTTATGGATCATCGGTGAACCAATACAGTGCACCACAACCAGCATTCAAATCCTTCCAAACAATGTCACGCAGTTTCCTACCACGTCCAAAACTCGTTAGCAACTACGAATCATACGAACAACCAAAATCAATTCCCATGAGCCGAACATCATGGACACCATCAATCGTACGTCAAGCTCCAGTTTTGAGCGTCAACCAACAATATGGTTCATACGGTCAACAACCACAACTAGTTCGATCGCTTCCACGTGTCTTTCAACCTGAACCATCCAGAAACTTAAATACTGATTTAACCGGATCAGGTTATCGCCGATAAGATAATCATCTTGTATAGTATGATCGATTTGTTTTTGTCCTAGTGTGATATTCCTATGTCATAATCGATCTTTTTCTTTTACCTGTTTTATAACTTGATTAACATCCGTTTTCTATTTCCTTCTCCCTCTCTCTTATCGATTCGTTTTAGTTTTGTTTTATTTGTTTACGACCTTGACATCTGATGCAAATGAACGTTTTATTTTAAAACGAATAAAATGCATCAAAGTTTTTCGAATCGTTATTTTTCTCTCGTTCTCCAATACATCGCATTCACTCAATATCCTCCGGGCAATTAAGATACACATAAAGGTAATCATAATATGAAATAAATTATCTTTTCCCATATTGACGTACCAAAAGTAATACAATAATTATTATCTCATGGTCAATGAGTGAAAACAAATATTCATCATCAAGATATCCACCAGGAAATAGTACTAATACTCACTTCAGTATGTGAATGTATGTGTACAAATGTTGTTTTCATACAATTAGGTTTTCATTTTTGTTCCGAAATAATTTACTTAATTTGGTTAGCATGGTTGCACTCACACAACGTCACACGTTAATTGATGACATATAAAATTATTCGATGTGAATCATCAAAAATTCGTTGACATAATTCAATTATTTGGATTCATTCAGATGGACTGATGGATTTCTTTCATTTTGTCATTGACATAGCCTCAACATGATTTATTGGCGATGGAGCGAATGTCTAAGTAGAAATAAATATATATGTATATATTTATATACGATGAATGAAGGTAAAAGTTATTATATGTATATTTACCAATCATGTTTTATTGTGAGAACCTCTTTTTTTACACTCTCTTCTCCTCTCTTTTCCATGTTCTGCTCGACTGCATGCGCACACTCTCATTTGCAAGAATGCAACGTATAGCTAGTCGGTGAAAATGAGTATAAAACCTTGATCGATCATATATATTTCAGTACAATAGGCTATTATCTGTTTACGATTTCCCTTCAGTCTTTGACAATAGCCAACATATCTATATTTTCGAAAGTGTAATGTCTTTTTTTCGACGAATCTTCGGCGGAAATCAACCAAATGATAATCTTCGTATTATTATCACGCGTCATGGTGAACGAGCTGATCTTGCATTGGGAAAGCAATGGTTAAATAAAATGCTTCAGAATGGCGGTCAGGATCCTCGAATACCACCGTTAGCTCAGCGTCCTCAATTTCGTGATTGGTATTACGATCCTCCTTTAACAATTGATGGCGAACACCAAAGTGCGAACGTTGGTCAAAAATTACTTCAGATGGGTTATCAGATTGACTACTGTTATTCGTCACCAGCTTATCGATCGGTACAGACAGCTACTAAGATCCTTGAAAGTCAAGGACGCAAGACCGTTCCAATTAATATCGAACCTGGTAAATGAGCGAAAACAGATTTTATCATTTATCGAATAAACATTTAATTAACTTTTTATTTATCATTGAAGGTCTTTTCGAATGTCCATCGTGGTACGCTGGCAAACCATTCGTCTTTGTTCCTCCGGAGTATCTTGCTGCTGATAGAAGATTCAATGTTAATCCCGGATATACACCGCTCTATTCCGGTGTCGATCCAACCGAAGATGAACGTGTATATTACCGACGATCTCGGCATCTCATTCGTGAAATCATTCGCGCACATAAACATCAAGGAGGAACCGTTTTACTATCAGCACATGGTGGTTCCATTGAAGCAGTCACACGTGGTCTGCGTGGCTTACGACATCGACGTGGTCGACCCGAACATCTCATTCAAGAAGCATTAAGAGTCGATTATTGTAACTTTGCTATCTTAGAACGTGATGCACGTACTCGTGATTGGATCGTTCGATTACCTGAAGCACATAATGCTCCTTACGGTGCAGAGCTAACTCGGCAAAGTATCATACCACTTTACGGTATTAGCACACGACACATTACTCCACAAACCGTGGGACAACTACGGCCACATCCATCGTCACACTCTCATCGACGTCGGCATCGACATCAAAATCAGTACCATCATCATCATCGTTAATAATCACTAATGAATACTGTTGATTTCTTTTTTCATGCGTTTGTTACAGCCCGTTTTTTTTTGTTCGAAAGAAAACACAATTATGGTTTGAAATTTGCAAAAAAAAGAGAAAAGAAGAGAGCAGAACGAAATTGTGACATATCTATAGAATGTACCATACTAATTCTCACATAAATGCAACTGACTTGACCGAACGGGTTTGTTTTCTTGCAAAAACAAAACGATAAATATGTGTGTACAAGAAGAAGAAGAAAAAAAAGAAGGAGAACAACATAGAATGACTGTTCTAAACAATAAAATAATGAAGTATTGGCCAAGAGAATTTTGCTCCTTTACATTTTGGTGTCTTCGATATCGTGATCGCTACTATGGGTCAATTCGTAATGACTTCGTTCGCTATGAATGTGTGCATGATTTGCACCTTGAGCAATCATGATAAAAATCTATACAAACAAAACAAGCGATGTTTTTCGGAGTCATTGATAGAATCAGATATTTACCAAACTGATGATGATCAAAATCGACGATGCTGTTGTTACAATACTTAAACTGAAATAATCACGATAAGACTAAAAACACAATTAACACACACAAATCCAATTGAATCGAATTTCAAAGATAAACTATACTCACCGGTTGACAAACATCAGCGAGCTTGAAATGTGCTGGCTTGTCATCAAATCGATGAGCATATTGGTTGATTTCGTTTAGAACTAGAATGAGTTTGATTTATACCAATCGTCGATGGCATCTAATCTTTGAACTTACTGTTAACAAAACTACCTCCCGCTGTAGCATATCGATTACTACATACGACAAAATAAACATAAAAAAGGCCATAAAATGGAAGAAATGTAAGACAAGCAATAGCGATCCACGAGATCGTTAATAAAAATGTAATCAGTAGAAACTAAAATGGACGAATGTTGATTGCATTGATCAAGAAAATGATTTCTTCATTGAACTTACAAAACCATTCAATATTCGTGCACAAATGTTCTTTCTATAACTCCAGAAATTCTTTCGACTCGCTTTTCCGCTGAATACACTTGCTAAGAAGACTGAGCATAAGCCAAAAAGAAATGTAATTGTCACACCACAGCCCACAGTCAATCGACTTAGTTGTAAACTAGAGAATTTTAATCATTCTTGTGTACAGTCATTCACCTGTCAACTTACCATTGTTGGCATGACCATTTTCCACTAAATTGAACTTTATATAACGTATAAATAGTTGACATTGTGAACAGCACACAGCCGATCATGAGAAGTAGAAAAGAAATCAATGATGGGTACGGCGTTTTGTAGATCATGATGAGCGAAGTGAACTTTAGTCTGGTCTGAAAAACAAAACTTGAGAGAAACAATATTTATTTATTATCTTTTCGACATAGTTAGCGTCGTGATACAGAATATTGCTGAAAGGATAATGAAACACTTCGCTTTTTGATTGCATAATGGCAATCTGATGATGGGTGAATGTTATTGAAGGGAAAAAAGAGAGCAGAAGAAGAAAGATTATTCTACAATTGATAGACACACACATGCACATACATAAACACGTAATCAGTATCACCGTTAAGTATTACGCAAACAACGAGAGAAGAGAAACGCAGGAAAATCTCTTCTAATTTTCAAAAATCAATCTTTTTTCATCTGTTGCTCAATTTTTCTTCCGCTTTTTTTTATGATCGCGCATGCACTTCAAACAAATTCAATCGTTCTCTGCTGGGAATGATCGTATTCACAGTGGGTGACGATGTTAGTGCATGCTAAGCAACTATGGATAGATCATAGTAAGCGTTATGTAATCGTCTTCTATCGGTTCCATTCATCAACGAGAATGGCCACATATACATGTGACATTGATTCCTAACTATCTGATTTGTATTCAGGAACACATGAAAAAGTATCGACGTTTTCAGAACGATGTTTAGAAGGCAAACATTCGTTTTTCATAAATTAAGAACTGGTTAGTGCGATTACAATGAAGGTTATGAATATATGTATCTGCATAGAGAAGCAAAAGGCCAATACGCGCAAGGTTATTTCTCATTTGCTTTTCTATCATACAATATCGACAAATCATCAGTTAACCTCGAACAATTGTACAAGGAGAACAACTTATACTTACTAATACTTCGATGATAACGATCTTGTTTTTCTATATACAACAAAACAACATTCGAAATAGAACTGATCAGAAAAACTGATATTACTCAACTATCTCATATTGCAATCGAAAGATTGATCGCGATATGCATCATCGAATCGAATTAGAATTTAATGCAAACGTTCACTAGCTACGCTCATTGTCGGCAAAGCAAAAGATGAGTTATTATGAAATAATCGTTCACATCTGTGTTTTCAGGGAACTATCCAAACAGTTGCTCGCGACTGTTAAAAGCATGTTCTAATGGTATACATCGATTGAGAAAATCATTCGTCTCGCTAACGCTCACGCATGGTCTTTTGTTCAGCACTGATAGAAGAAGCATGAACATAAAACAATAATTAGTCGGATTGTCAGCAGGGTAATCGAGCAATGTCTGTACTTCTTACTTGTTAATCATCTCCTATTAGCAGTTTCTTTTCCGTTCGACTGAAGATGAATGAAAGAATGAAACTACTTATTCATTCAATATGCGAAAGGAGAAAAAAAAAACGCTCCCTGTAATTTTATGATATTTACATTAACAAGAATAATAGAAGTATGCACAAGTATCCGATTGAAATGTTTTAATAGTGTTAACCTTCGGCCTCATCTGACACTTACTTACTTACTTCTCTTTTTTTTTCAACGTACATTCACATACGTCGATTCACTGTAACAAAAAAATGGACCTCCGTACTTCATTCAGCTTTCCTTTTTTGTACTCTGGCTGATGCGGTGAACTTTTTTCCTCTTTTTCTTTCCGTTCTATCCAGAGAGAAGAAAAAAGAGGCGACCAATAGTTCCGTCAATAGTTGCCTGTACAAATAGAGTATGATCTAAGATTTCTTGCCCTTTCTCCGTATGTTAACTCGACATCAGATAGAGGAAATGAATGTTTCTTTTTGATTGTCGACTTGTGGGGAAGATTTCATGAGGTACGTGTTTACTTTATTCGGTTAAATAACGATCAAAAAACGAAAGAAAGAAAATCCAATGATAAAATAAAGATGGTACATCTATACGCATGCCAAAAAGAGAAAGAAGAAAAAATGTTCTGTACTAAACAAAAAAACGAAACGCGAACAATTTCCTATGTAGCAAAGATTAGCCTACGAAAGAGCAAACATAAAAATAAAAATAAAATGAATAACCGAGTTGAAATCCATCGCTTCACATACGTGTCTGTGTGTGTGTGTATAAATAACGGAATAGAACTTAATGCTTCTGCGTTTTACTACTCATTCTACAGAAGCATATTTTTCGACAGCTTCAAGTCTACTAAAAAGAAAATACAATAAACAAGTCATGCGTATTTACTTATACAGGAATAATCACGCCTATCTAAATTGAAATAGAAAACAAAATAGTGTATGTACAGACAAGCTTTCCTACACACAAATAATGATGCACTTCCACTGTTCCTTCGAACGAGTAATGTATATATATAGAGAGAGAAAGAGGGTGTGTGTGTGTGTGAATACATATGTAGAAAGGATTGACCTAGAGGTTCGAAAATAAAAATATTATCAGAAGAATAAATAAGAAGACGAAGAGTTGAAAGGAAAAGTTTTTATTGTTTCGATGTTGATGAAAGTAGAACGTGTTTGCCGTGAGTATGTTTCGTTTGCCGTTGGCGAGGTGATACTGTTGTTGTCGGAGTGTTGGGACTAGTATCAGTTGGTGGAGTTTGTTGAACAGTCTTCGATTTGGTTTGTTCAATCTAAACAACAACACGAATGTGAATAGGACCAATCAACTTGAAAAGGAATATGATTTGTTTTGATATCGCATGAATTTACATATTTTTGTATGATGAAATTTGCATGAAAAAAAACACACACACACACGAACTTACCAATGATAGTTTTGATAATTCTTGTTGCAATTGATTTTGTAACAAACGAACATCATCGAGCGGTAATTTCATTAAATCATGATCACTTGGGAATAAACGTGTGTTATTATGTACAAGTAATTGCCGCATCTGTTCGACTTGATGAATTGCTTCGTCACGTTGTTGAATAGCACGATTCTTCTCTTGTTCCAGATGCTGGGCAAGTCGATGGTGCTCTTCAGCTTCACGACGCCAATGTTCCGATGCCTAATTCGATAGGAAAATATTCTGCATCGATAAGAATTCTGATGATCTAGACAAACCTCCTTCTCAGTCATTGCCAAGACCTGCATTTGCAAAACACGATTTCGCATGATATCGATTTCCGATGATGATGACGACGAATTTGTACTTGCGGTATTGAAACGTTGAAGAACTGACTGCGGTGAAGACGATTGTACTTGATAAGAGGATGTCGGTAGATCTTGACTGAAACCAGCCATCTTGTACAATTCGCCAGGTCGATTACTTGGACCACTCGATGTCGAAGGTTCAGGAAATGGTGTGTCGATTGGCTAGGTAATCAAAAACAACGAAATGGATTCGAACAGATATAAAATTAACATACGGATTCAATTGATCCGTCGAAGAGATGATTTGGTGCATCGAACGGTGATTTTGCTGATGATGAATGAGAGAAATAGTCATTTGAAAATGAATTTGGAATATTCATTGGTCGTGACATTGGATTTGTCGAACTTGCTGATGTATTATTCGTTGCTGGTGTTGTTGAACGTTCGAAACTATCCAAATCATCATCAAGAAATGAACTTCGCTTTATACCCAGCGTATTCATTGCTGATTTGTCAAAATCACTTTCGTCGACGTTATCAAGACCGATTGCAGTTAATGATGATTCGATTAGATTCTTCACATCGGATGGTAAACCGTGAAATTCTTGAGCATCTTTCTTCTCACCGAAATAGTTTGCTGTCGGTGGTGTTACTGTTGTATGAAACTGCTCGTTGATCGATGAAAGCAAGTTCGAAGCGAGTAATGACGACAAGTACGTCGTTGGAGGAGGGTAAGAATGACTGGCAGCTAGAGCTGCAGCTGATAGAAGAAATTGATCGTTTAGAAATGTTGGTGGCAATTGTGGAGGAGGAGGAGGTTGAAATTGATTGAAACGTTGTTGCGGCGGTGGCTTTTGTACGAATGCTTCCTGCATAGGAAATGTTGTCCCACTTGGAGAATTGCTTGTCATCAGTGGCTAAAAGATCGAAATCGAAAGAGATACGAAGGAAAATGGAGGATAAATGTTAATACATGTTTTTCGAATGGTTTCATCGCAGCGCCAGGAAATGATCCAACCTCAAATAGAGATGGTTGAGAGGACTTTTTTGGAATGTTTCTCGCTGGCATTAATGACTAAATGTAAATGCAAACTGATGAAATGCGAAAAAGATAACAAAGTTATTCGCTTACATCGATGTTTCCAACTTCTTTATCTTCTGGAATCGGAATAAACGATGATAATGGTAATTCACTTGTATAGTGAAGATCAAAATCTCGGTAGGACTTTAATTCTTCTACAAAACAAACAGAGCAATTGTTTTCGACGAGCTGTTTCAGCGCATCGTATACATACGTTCAATATGAGCGAAAGCACAAAATGGTCCACGTGGACAATAAATTGTTACTGAGACATCGTTACATTTAGTTGATTTGTAGATCTATCAAATGAAACGATTTCAGAACTCTACAAACACATTTTTCGTAGTCAAACCTACTTCAGGATGAAATTGTTGTTCAGTACGTGTATGACAATATTTACAATTATCACCAGCTTCACATATGGTCGGATCAATCCATTCGTCACTCTGTTTGACGTGTGGACACGGCGTTGATCTAGACGAGAAGTTTTCCAAAAGTCCAGACAAAAGATACTTTTCCTTACTTATATTTGAATATCGATGGATTACGGCGACGGTCACGGGGATTATGATACTGTGGACAAGCATATCCTTGCCGACACAGACGTGGCGGACGCTTACATGGTTCGGTTTTATAATTAGCCAGAACATAATGCGAATCTAAAAGATTTTCGAAGAAAATGATTGGATAGAAAGAAATACGTCCGACATACCACTCCATTTTGGATCATCGTTTAAAGCTCGTTCATTTTCCAAGCTAATACATAATCTTGCTAATCTTTCTAAAGCTAAATCAGTATTTTGTATTTCTCTACTATCCAGTATTGGCTGTCGAAGATCATTTGAACCATGAGCATAAGAACAATGTGGTCCGTTCTTTAAGCAATGCCCTTTGGCATCGGTTTCGTGCGTACATAAGCCTGTTTTGTAATAACGAAGATGATAACGTTTCTCTGTATCATTTGCATTTCGATGTAACAGTTGGCAACTGGGAAAAAAACAAAGTCTGTGGGGAAAAAATGATTTGAGTTCAACGTACTCATCTCCATTTGGACAAACGCCACTTTGTTCATCGTAATCATTGCAGTAGAAGTCCGGATCGTATGAGAAGGTTCCATCCGGTCGGCAAACTGGTCGTCGACGACGTTGATTTTGAAAATGCCAATAAAAACATGAAAAAGGACGATGCCTAAAGACGCTCCCTAGTTCAGTACCTCTGCTGAGTCATTTCTGTTCTCTTACTGTGTACATTTGTGTTGTAGAAATAATTGACATTGCTCCACGCGAAAATCTCGTAGATAACTGCAAGCGAAAGTGATTTTCGAAGTGAAAAATAATCGTGCAAATGACCTACTTCAGATGTAAAGGTTTCTCAATCAAAGCAAGTTGCTGTAGATCATGGGCCATGATCACTTATCATGAATAAAAACGATAAAAAACGTTTTTTGAGTTACAAAAATAAGTTCTCACATGATTTGCTCTATTTTTGCTACGCTATTTTTCTTTTGTCGTTATTATTACTTATTTGTTGACAGTCAGGTGATGTGCAAGTCTTATCCAATAAGGTTCTCGATATAGACCACTCAGCAG